GCGCGCGGACGCTTCAGATATTAGAACAAGACCCGCGCCGCTACTTCTAAGTCGCGAGCATCTTGGCCGCAAGAGTCCCCCGCAGCTCAGACGAGGAGCCCGCGCCAAGTACTAGCTGAAGATGACCAGGCCAAGAACTGAACCACTTCGCCACGGAACGAGGCGAGGTAGCCCCAGCCTCCTCCTGGAGCAGCCAAAGCGAGAGACGCCGCCCCTGCTTCCCCAGCCGCCACCTGGTGGCCGTTTTCGAGCGACCAAGTAGCCGCATCCATCTAAATGAAAGAACCTCGGCGCGAAGCGCCAAGGCTCACTGCGCCAACGGCTGCACATTTTGGCCCCCTTTCTGTTCTTGCAAGGTTTTACAAACCCGACGCAAGGCAGCCCGCGCGTTCAGACCCTTTAGCCCTACGCAGTCGCGAAAGCACAGCGAGGGGGAAGCCCACGGGCTGCGCCTCGCGGGCCCCGTTCTGCGGAAAGTAGAGGAGCCAGCAGCACGCACCCCGATCACATCACGACCGGCCGCGCGGGCTGCTTTACCTAATAGCTTGTAATGTTACAAAATCAAGGAGCCCACCACACCAGCCCAGGCCTCTACTATAAGCGCCCCGCGTCGGCGCGGAGACAAGAAGTAGCCAAATCAGCCCAGACCCCGCAACCAGAACGCAGCACCAGTCGGCCACTGCCACAATTATACGACAAGAACGCGAGCCGCCTCCGCCACGTCCTCCACGAACAACAAGGCGCCGGACGATGAAGAAGGAGCGCGGCGACAACTTAATACGCCAAGAGAACCAGCACCCCCCGCCCACGACCGCCCCCACAACGCCGCGAGCGGTCGCAAGCGGAGCTCACACCGACGAGCAAAGGCAACGGCCACCAGCCGGCTCGCATTAGCCTAGCACACCGCACCGCAGCGGCGTCGAGCAAGCTCCTGCCCAGCTTCGCTGATCATGGCCCACGGCGGCGCGGCCGCCTCCAGCTGCCTGCAGTATTAAGCAAGGGCGAGGCAGTCCCTCACCAGCCAGAACAAGAGCAGAAAAACTGCCACGCGAAGACTGCGCCGCGTGCTGGCTCATCTTACTCATCACATGAAAAACCCCCCGCCCTTTTTTCAAAAAAAATCTCGCCCGGGGGCGGCGACTGCGTATAATATTACTCGAAGGGTCTACCAGTAGAGCAGGACGCGACGCGGCTCGGCGCTCCTGCGGACGTCTCGCCCCTAAGATGGCCGACCCACGTCGCCAGCCCAGCGCGCGGCAACATCATGCGAGGAAGATCTCCCCACACATCTGCGCGAGATCATGCCAGCCCCCAACCATCCCCAGAAAGCTGGCAGCAGTAACGAAGAACCCACCAGACCCACCGAGAAACAGGTCGACCAAATAGCCCCACCCGCCTGCCGCTGGACTCTCTCAGGCATAAGACAAGTAGAGGAGCGCGCGAACCACCGCAGCCCGAGCAGCAGAGGCCGCCCAGGCGTAGCACTCCACTGCGGAGGCCATGGCCTCAAAAGATATAGCAGGCGGAGACTACGAGCGAGGCCCCGGCATCACTTTGATCAGAATGCCCCGCCCACCTGCTCCGGGAGGTCAGCACCTAGAAGGAGGCGGCTGCCTCTGTCCGAGCGGTGTCTTCTGCTCTGACAAGGCTCAAAGAGCAAGAACGCCGCCGAAGATGTCCTCGGCGCCGCGGCCTCCTGTCGAGAAACAACAACCGCCGGCACCTGCAAGCTGCTCCGGCCTTGTCATGTTGGGCGTGCCTCATCTCCTACCAGGCTACCCTTTAGGCGCCACCACTTGCACCATCTCGGGCCACACCGCACTACGCTGCCCCCGCCCGTCTTCGTCGAGCACCACCTTCCACGCCAAAAAATGCTAGCAGCTGCTCAAAAGAAGCGGCAACACGCTACAAGCTGCGAACCCTTCACCAAACCACCCAAAGCAGCACCCCCCCGCCCAGCAACTGCGAGACCGGGTATTCTGCTGGCGCTAATCCAACACCGCCAACCAAATCAAGAGAACAAAGACGCCGACGAGGCGCCGCGCAGCTATGTTGCTACTAGTTAGATGAAGAAAGCGAACAAGATGAAGAAGAAGCACCAGAGCAGGCAGCAAGAGCACTACCCCGAAGGAGTATATAAGTACTAGGGTAGAAGAAGAAAAGAAGCACAAGAAGTAGAAAAGAGGCGAGGAGGCAGCTAAAAAAGTTAGGCGACGAACGATCTGGCTCGCCATTGGTCATCGACTGCGACTACAACTAGCAGACGACATCGCACCCAGTGAGTCGCACCGCCTAACCGGGTTAGGTCGTGGTGCGACTGCACATCAAACAAAGCGCGCCAACCATAAAGGCACCAAGGTCCCCAGACGAGGCAGCCTCGCTGCCAGCTCTGTCACCCAGTGCCTTTCCTCACGGGTTGCAACTGCTCACAACTACGACGCACCTGAAGAGAGTGCTCGCAACTACCTAACGCGAGAAACCCCTACAACAAGGAGAACGGCGCCGCTTCGTGATTCTTATCCATAAAATAAGACCACACAGCCGCGACTGCCTTTAAGTAGTAGCGACGCGCGGCGCCCGTCTTGCTATTCTCCTGCTACTAAGCTCCTAACTATACTCAAAACAAAGGCAGCACGCAGGCCGGCCCGCGACCATGCTACGACCCCGCTCCCGCTCCCTCCTGCTAAGTAGAACAGAGCAGTAGACCGCTTTACTTAAAAAGAAGTGCCATCTTAGCAGAGAAGAACTACAAGCGGCCGCGCGACCAGATAATTACAACGAGGCCAAACGCTGAGAAATGAGACCGCCCCAGAAAAGCACGAGCCTGCCCCGAGCTAACAAACAGATGGGCCTTATCTTGAAATCTCTGCTCTGCTCTGCTCCTGCCACTTTGTGCTTCTTGCAGCCCTCGCTTGCCAATCTCCGCGACAACTGGAAGCGGCGGACGAACCGGCTGCGCTCCTGAACAGCACGAAGATGCAACACCTCCCCCAACTCCTGCAATGTTCGTGCTGCTACTACTTCCACCTCCACCGCTAGCGCTGCCGTTGACTGTAGCACCGCTAACAACTGTCCCCGGAAAAAAATACTGAACAGCTTGCTGAACTGCACCCGTCAGGAAGTAGCTCCCGCGACCATCGCGCTCGCCGTCTTGGCCTCTGTTGCAGCTGGTCTCTGCAGCTGGTGTCGTGTCCTCTTGTTCTTGAACCTGGCGCAGCTGCTCGCTGCGTTGTTTCTCTGCAGCATCGAGAAAGTCACTAGCAGCCGTGCTGTTCTTGTTGTACTGCCTGCCAGGAGCTGCGTCACAACTGGCACCATCGTCCCGAGAAAGGCCCGCGGCCTCATCATGACCCAAAAGAGGAGACGCGCACGAGATGAACCCAATCAGCTTGTTTTTTCGGTCGACTAGGTTAAGCGCCTTCTCTTTTGTCGGCTTCTCGTCGCGGTCAGGTCGCCGCTTGGCTGAGTTGTGTGGGTGTAGGTCGCTGAGCTTATCCCCTCTAGAAATTGAATACGTAAAGACGATAGAGCAACTCACTAGCCACGCACAGACCAGAAGCAACGAAGCAAACAATCTACAGAGAATTTCGAGCCGAAAAACATTAACCAAAACAACAAAGACGCAGCCACGTTCACCCACCACTGCTGTCGCAGTACCTACTCGCCCGGAGGCAGCGCTCTCCACATGTATCCGCGCTGTCTGATCAGTGCAGTCTACTTGCATATGCACAGCGCAGTGCTTCTGTTTCTGGACGAAACCCCCCGCTTCTTCATCCATGACGACATTGTGGACCATGGAAACCATGACCCTGCTAAGTCGCTCCTCATCACTCTGCGCATATTTGCCAGCGAAGTACTTCCGCGCAGCTTCTGCAGGAGTATCGTAGTCGTGGCACTTAATTAGAAGAGCAGAACGATCCCCGCCGAGCGTTTCGTCTAAGTTCTACTAGCTCTCTCTTCTGCGTTCTCTTTGAGAATTATCATGGCGTAGTCTGCCAGCTCTTTATTAAATGAATGAGATGGGCGCGAGAGCTTCTGGCGCTGGTCGCCCCCAGCGCCTTCTGAGCTGCGCAGCGTCGGGCAACATCGACAAGGAAGATGAGGCCCGCAGTCTCGCAGCTGCTCCACTTTGATGAGATCACACCACACCGCAGGCCTCGCAGCTGTGAGCGAGAACAGGAGCCGCACTACATCAACACCTAAGGCGGCGAGACAACCATGGGCAGCTCATCGACGAGCAAGTCTACACAGCCACAAACGCCTCCACGCTACAGCGCAAGAGCGTCAAGCCCGGTGGCTTTCAGAAGCATCACGCAGGCAACTACTGCGGGCCCCTCAGCTGTCGCAGCGCGACATCAGCAGTAGTTACATGGTACCTCGCATACAAACATTTCTTCGAGAAATATAATTTGCGCACAGGAAGGAAGACCTACAGAGTGGTCACGGAGGAGCATGAGACGCCGCCATCAAGTGAGCACTAGAGACAAGGAAGCACCACATGATGCGAGATAACTAGGCCCGCTCAACAGCGTGTACAGGAATTGGACCCCAGCACCAGCGCACGGTCCTGATGAAGAACAAGAGCGGTGAGAACGCAAGTGCCGCGAACCCGGAGATGCGACTATGTGCGTTGCGCAAGAAGAGGTCCCTTCAACGCCGCATAGCAGAGAGTAAAAGCAGAAAAGAGTCTGCTGTCAAGAATAGATAGGACGAAGTCCCGACGAGAAAGAAGTCTGCTCCGGTAAACGTGAAAAACTATCAGACTCGATAGCAACACTGCCAGTTGATTGATTGCCTAGTTTCTTAACAAGGGACAGCAGTCACAGGAGAAGCGCCAGTAGTATCCAACATCTAAGTATACTGGCCGCTTCGACTGTTTACTGAACAATTACGTTGCTAATGCGGTAGTAATACTGCATGACCATGCTACATCTACAGCCCTTAATGTGACTGGTCTTCCTGGACCTCGTCGTCCTGGATCGTCCCGCTCAAATTGCCGCTTAGCGTCTATTTCCGCTCTGGATCCAGGATCGTAGAAGTGCTTTATGATCCAGCCGCGAAATCGAGAGAGACAGACAGAAATAGCAGCCGACATTTTGACTCATCTTAGATAGTACATCACAAACATCGCATCTTGTCGCACTTCTTCAATAGATTTGCCCACTTTCGAACGTCGTTTATCATGACTGTCATTCCTATGTAGTGTGTCGGGCTGTGTCACGTGACACAGGGAGGAGCCACATATTTCATGATGTGAAAATCAACAGCGTAGCGGCAGGTATCTCTTACCAGTCGATATCCGTTCTCTCTTGGGTGAAAAGTTAAAACAGACTTCTACCAGCTATGATAAGGCAGCTAGAGACAAGACCGAGTTCCCACTACCGATTTGCCACCTACAACAACGGCACAGCAACCGATCATGAGAACTTTTCCAGTACCAGAACATTCAGGAGTTGATCATCTTTAGTTCCAGCGCATTCTTGCTCTTCCTTTCTTCTTTCAAATTCGTGATTTTTTTAAATCAAAATTCTTTTTTGAATGATTCAATATCATTGGACTAGCAGGAGGCTACGACTCCTACTAGCCCACAAGAACGTGAATGAAAATTGAGCTAGCAGGATGAATCATCCTGCTAGCTCATACGAAGAACAAATGCGGTTTTGGACTAGCAGAAGCCCATTGGACTCCTACTAGCCCATACGAATAAAGAGCGTGATTTTGGGCTAGCAGGAACCCACTAGACTCCTACTAGCCCATATAAGAACAAATACAGTAATGAGCTAGAAGTGCTATTTACGTAATGTAAGTAACCCAACTAGCTCCTCCTTTACACACGATGATTCTTGATTATATTTTCTTGGAAAATATTCTATCGCTAACCTCCTCTATTGAATGAATAATCAAATTATTGAATGAATAATCAAACTATTCTATATCTTCTTCCCCATCATGTGTTTCTTTTCAATCTTCGTCACGCGTTTTTCAAAATCTTCATCACGCACGATCTACCTCTTCCTCACGTGTTGTCCACCCCTTCAACACGTCTTTGTCCACCACATGGCTCTTTAGGCCGAGCTGCGCTTATCCGCGGAACCCAAGATCTCCTCGACGTCCGAGTCGGACGCGGGCAGCGCCTGTCAAGGATACAAGACATTATTGTAGAAAACTGATAGAATGGAAAGTAGTATTACGTTAGAAAACTCTACGTCGATAATATTCTACGTTTGCGAATATAACAAAATGCGAAGTATTAGGATAAAAATCAAGTAAGTACCTTATTGGCGAAAACAGAGGAACCAACTGCAGCCACCTCAACGGCAGCCACCGGCTGGACCTGCTCCTCCACCACCTGCTCAACAACGGCTCCTCCGTTATCGGCAACGGCTCCGGGGATATTGACGCGGTTGGCGTTCATCTGGATGCCGTCTGCGATGTTCCCATCCGTTGCTTCTCCTGCCTGCAGCTTCATGACCAACACGTTCAGCGTCTGGGAAATTTGGTTCAACATGAACAAAATGGTCTGATTGGTCGAGTCATCCACCACCGGGTTGACCGTGTTGTTCTGCACGGCAGTGTTCTGCTTGATCAACCAGTGCGTTTGCTGCTGATTCTTTTTCACCTGAAATTGATTGTAAAATTGAAAGAAGATGGGAAGTTGATTTTGAGAAAATGCGATATGGTAAAAGTATAACATAGTACAGGAACAACTGACTTAGTCAAATATGATGTAAAATATAAATGTTGATTTTGAGAAAATGCGATATGGTACAAGTATAACATAGTACAGGAACAACTGACTTAGTCAAATATGATGTAAAATATAAATTATGAAGGTACAATCTGGCAGAGGTGCGGAAGCACGTTGGAGTTGGATCCACGCACTTTCTCCGGAGAGCAAACATCCATCGAGATGGAGTTAGAGGCGTTGGTGCTGGAAGACATTTTGTGAGTTTCGTCTTCGTTTGAAGATCTTCGCGTTATTTTTAGCGTTTTAAAAACCCGACCTAAATCCTCGATCCCATTGAAGTTGCAATGATGAATAATGGAGATGGACTAACCTGGCCAAAGCTAGAAATCAATCAACTGCAGGAAAAAGTCAAGCAATCAACATCAACTGTCCAAAAAAACAATCAATCTACCAGCCATCAATTTTCATGAAGAAGAAAGTAAATAGTTTTTTTGATTTGGAGATATCAACACTCACTCACTCCGGACTTAGCCATTTCGGAACTGAAAAAGTCAAGCAAGGTGTAGGAAAAAGCGGTATTCTACACATACAAACTGCTTCTCTCCAGGGAGTGCTTTCTTCTCATTCCCTCCAACGAGTTTCTTCTTTTCTCTCCTGTATTCATTCACTCACTCATTGCTTCACCTACTCAGAGCGCCTCCGCCTTAATTGATGCTTTTCAATATTCAACGCAAGTAGCTCCAGCAGTCTCTCCACCTTGGTCAGCCTTACATGACTGAATTCTCCTACAAAGTGTTAGGCTTTAGTTTTCTGCCTGCACACCTGGTGCGCAAGCCTCCTTATCGTGCATCTTGAGAATGGTAACCAACTAGATTGACAGCGCAAAACTCAAGCCCAAAATGGTACGGTTCAGTTTTATGCTTTTTCAATTTCGTCATGGCATGTGCCTGCCAACCCTGATAGTGTATATACACACTACAGACTACAAGCACTACATTGCACATATACACGCTCATACCGTGCGCCTTTCAATGTGTGCCATTAGGTAGCACAAGAGTCGCCATGTCCTCTGCAAAGTTAGTTCCTGAGTAGATGATTTACTGATCATCGTCTATAATGACCAAGAAACATGCTGTAGTGACGTCAATAAGTCTCACGCACTGATATTGGAATGACATAGTAGCACAAAGTAATATGGAGACGCTCTGGCGATATGACGACCATCCTACAGCCCTCCCTACTAGGTGGTCGACCAAGCACATCAACAGACGAAGGCTCATAGTAAGAATCAACGACGACAGCGACTGCATCGCCATCCATTCGTGTATGCTGCGTCATCCGAAGGCTTGGATTTATTACCAGCTGTTTTCGTCAGACAAGAGCTTTTGATACGTCAGAACTTCTGCTGATCGCAATCCCACACGGAACTGTCGGCCGCTTCAGTCTTCACGATTAGATCCATTATTCAATATCGTCGCCCGTGAAAAAAAGTGCCCACCCTTGCGTATTCTCATCCCTTTGTTTCAGTTACATGGAAAAAATACGCAAAATACGCCATGACAAGTTACTACTAATGAGCCCAGCGCTGTCCTATCCTTAAGAAAAAGTCCATCGTCCGTAGCTCCGGCTCCTCGATCACAAACGCAGCTCCCCCTGCTGCTACTCCGAAATAAAAATCCATAACATGGAGGTATCAACAATCCTATTACTTGTGTGCCTGCTGCATGCATCCTACAGATTACAAAAACCTCATCAGTATCATTTTGAAAGACCTCAGCGATCAACTAGACAATTAATAGTACTGGATCATAAAATACGTGGATAGATGCTAGTACTAGAAGACCAAGCAATTCTCTGAATTGCTATCATGATGAAATATAACTAACCCAACCTTTGTATAACTATTCTTTAAGAATCAACTATATTAATAAGCTAAGATAAAGCACGCACAGCTACTTGTCCGCACGTACTAAAAAAGTAATGATGTTAAATGATCGCGCGCCTGCCGCCAATCGAATGACAGCACCGACATGGGCCGCGCCTACACATCAAGCAGAAAGAGATCGAAACTCTCTGCAGAATGAACGCGACCCATGTAGAAGATGCCGCCATTCGTTAGCCGCATTCGAGAACTTCAGCCGCAGGTAGCAGGCACAAGCCTCGAACACGTTTCCAGAGGGCGCCCGCGAGGAGGACTAGGCAGCAGGTCTTGTTACTGGTGCCCTCCACTTCCAGCACGGAGGACTTCGTCGCCGATGATAGGGATGGACTTTCGACCCACATCACACCACCGAAAGAAACAAATTGGCCACGCCTCCACTACTTGCCCAAGGGGATGGATCCGGGATTTCTCCGGGATTTTTTGGGGATTTTCTGGGGATTTTCTACACGGCCTGCCTTGTTGTTTCTGATGTTTGTAAAGAGGGGCGCTCGTGACAGCTTGAAGCTGTCTGCTCCCTCCCTCCGCTCAGGGAGTGTAGTACGCAGTAGCGCAGTGTATAGAAGGGCTGCAGGTAAGTAGGAGCGCCTGCGACGGCTTGACGCCGTCTGCCTTCCGCCCCCGTCGTAGCTAGGTAGAAGTGGTGCGGGTCAGTAGTCGCGCTTGTGACGGCTTGATGCTGTCTGCTCCCCTCGCCAGTTGTGTGTAGAGGTAAGACGTGGACGCGTTCCCCCCATAAAGAAGTGTGACGCATGGCGCGGCTCTCTCCTGGCAAAAAAAAACAGAAGAACACGCGCGAGGAGACAAGCACAAGGAAACAACGAAAGGCACCCACACGGAAGGGCACACACAGAACCAAAAGACAAACACGAGAAGACGACGACGACGACGCGCAGCGCCAGACTGGAAGCCGTAGAGGCATAGCCTAGACTTCGCGCTTCTCATCTCCAAAACATGCGAGCGCATAGGAGCAGAACCGAACGGAGAGGCAGCCTGCTTTGCTAGAGCGTGGGTTCTGTGGAATTCATCTAGCTACCTGCCAGGCCGAGAGGGTTCGGCATTTCGGGGCGGTACAGAGCTAGTTTAGTAGATGTAGAATGGGCCTGGCCGTCGGTATAGAGATCCGCCTAAACTAAGCGCGGGGCTGGGCTGCCGCTGGGAGACCTTCAAGACCTCCACCACGCAGGTGCACAGAGGTGGGGCCCCGTGGGGTGGTGGAGATACCCCGGGACGCACTACCGCCAGGAGACCCCTGGGACATGCTGGAGGGGGTCCTGGAATACTACAAGGACGCGAAGGCAGTCCGCCAGGAAGCGGCGCAGCAAGGCGGGCGCAGTCCGGAAACTTCGCCGCTTGTCGTTTGAATTGGCAGAAACGGGCGCGCCGAGAGTGGTGCACAAGCTGGCCCACTCCTGGGTCTACAGCGCCGCCAATCTTGCACGGGAGCGCGGCGTCATCCACTGAAAGAACGCGCTCAGGAAAGAGAGAGAGGCAATAAGAAAACACTCCACCAAGACACACTCAGAGAGGCGGAGGTAGCGGCGGTCATCTCGCTGGGGTCCACAGAATCCCGCGGGGGAGGCGACGAGCAGGGGCCAGGGCTGCAGGAGACAACCGCCCCCGCCTTGCTCCGCTTGATCACCAAGGGAGAGAACCAGAGAACAAGACACACGCCACAGGCAAGAGGTGCCAGGACCCCGCTCACACTGTGGGGGAGGATCCACCGAGCGGAGAAGCCCCAGCCGCCCGCCGGGAGGCGAACTGCTGGAAGCCAGCCCGTCACGCTTCCAAGAAGTTGCTCAACAACACACGTCGCACAGCGACGACCGCGGCCGACACCATAGGCGGCGGAAGAAAAGACGCAGCCCGCGAAGCCGGGCGCGCGGCGTCCTTCAAAGACGAGAACAAGCGGCCGAAGGTGGCGCAGTCGATCACCAGACAGCTGCGGAACACGAAAGCGGGCGACAGCTTTAACCACCATCCGACATGCCTTCAGATTGCGCGGAAGGCGATTCTGAGAAACAGCAGCAAAGAAGAAGCCACGAAGCTGAAGCGGTGGCTCGACAAGGAGAAGGAGGGCAGCGCACTGCCCTACACGCCACAGCTGACAGGCAGCGGCTACAAGGACAGAGAAGGCAAGGAGGCTGAACCCCCTCGACAAGAAAGAAGACACGGCGGCGCGAACGGCGCTAAACAAAAGACTGAGCAGTGATCTTTTTAGCAGTTGCACTGCTCAAAAGGTTGCGCGACTGCTGAAAAGATGCGACAACTGCCAAAAATATTCTTTCAAGGAACTACTTAAGCAACAGACTCGGCTGGGTCTCCTAATATAACAGATAAACTAATACTAACGGAGACACTAACGGACTAACAGATAGCGGAAAACCAACGGAAAAACTAACGGAACAAACGGCCCCCGCGCGATCTTTTTAGCAGTCCAAGCTGCTCTCTCAGCGGTCCACACTGCTCTTTTTAGCTGTCCCCAAGCGCCCCAAGATCTTCTCAGCAGTCCCAGGGCCCCGCGGATCTTTTTCACCATTCGGGGCACCTTTTCAGCAATTTCCCCACGCCTCTCTCTGCCAGTCCTCCCGCCCCATTTGGCCCACTAGCTGTATGGCGAGACACCTACTATACAAAACAAGCAACGCAACCCCCACCACAACGCGGCACCCTTTGGCCCGCTTTGCATTTGCGCCGATGCACATTATATATAAGCGGCTGCGCACCTACTTGGAAGCCACGCTGTCCGCCGGCGGCGTCGCTAAGAAATACTAGAAAGCCACGCAAAGCCATACCTGCCAGACACGACAGACGCGCGCGCCCACACGACTCGCCAGGCGCGGCCATACACGCAAGACACGCGCCACATTACCCACAACAGCGAACACATGAGAGGCAACAGCAAACACGCAAGACACCCATAGCCCTCCCAACACACCCACAAGACACTAATGGAACAGAAGACGCGAGGGACTCACACTCGAAGGCCACAGCCTGCACCCTCTCGACAGACACGGCCCACACCCCCCCACAAGACGCGGCCCCCACTCCCTCGCCAGACGCGACAGGCTCACACTCACAAGACGCGGGCCACACTCACACGACACGACTGACACGCGCAAGACACAGCCCACACCCACAACCACGAAACGCGACCCACACCCACACGACGCGGCGCACACTCGCAAGGCACAGCTGGCCCACACTTGCTAGACACGGCTCGAACCCGCAAAGAAGAGAAGACACCACCCGCCAACGCGGTGCGCGACTCACACGACGCGACCCACAAGACACCACCCGCACCCGCAAGACGCGGCCCAGACCCACAAGACGCGGCCCGCACTCACACGACGCGGCTCACACTCACAAGACCGACGCACGCACAACCCGCAGCCGCACGCGCAAGACGCGGCCCACACTCACAAGACGCGGCCCGCACCCGCAAGACGCAGAGAGGCCGCGCTCACGCGGCGCGGCTCAGACTCACAAGACACGCACACGGCCCGCACTCACAAGACGCGGGCCGCACTCGCACGACACGACTCACAAGAGGCGACTCCCTCACCACGCTCACAAGTCACAGCCGCAAGGAGATAGACACACGCGGCCCGCACTCAGTCACAAGACGCGAGCGCGGCAAGCTCACTCTCACACGATACGGCTCGCAAGACGCGGCCCGCACTCGCAAAGAAGACACGACTAACACACGCACGACACAGCCCACAAGAGAAGACGCGACCCGCACGAAACGACTCGCACTCACAAGACGCGGCCCGCACTCACAAGGCGCGGCCCATACTCGCAGCCCGCAGATCGCACTCACAAGCCGCGCGCGACTCACAAGACACGACCCGCACCCGCACCCGCGCCCGCACGACGCGGCCCGCACTCGCAAGACCCCACTCGCACTCGCAAGACGCGGCTCACACTCACAAGACGCACGCAGCCCGCACCCACAAGACGCACGCGCCCCACACTCACAAGACGCAGCCCACACTCGCAAGACGCGGCCCACACTCGCAAGACGCAGCCCACGCTCGCAAGGCGCGACCCACAAGACGCGACCCGCACGACGCGACTCGCACGACGCGACTCGCAGGGCGCTCCTCGCGCTCGCAAGACGCGGCTCACACTCGCATGACGCGACTCACTCACACCCACTACAAGGCGCGACGCCCACACACTCGCAAGAAGACGCACCACGCGGCGCGCACTCCCTCGCAAGGCGCGACTCGCACTCTCTCACAGGACACGACTGGACTCACTTGCAAGACACGACTGGGCCCACTCGCAAGACACGAGCACGACGGGGCCCACACTCGCAAGACGCGGCCCGCAAGACACGGCCCGCACTTGCAAGACACAGCCCGCACTCACACGACGCGACTCACTCTCGCAAGACGCAGCCCGCACTCTCTCACAAGACGCAGCGGGCACTCACACCGGAGGACGCCGCTCACACTCGCAAGACGCAGCTCCCACTCGCGAGGCCGACGCGGCCCCCACTCACAAGACCGACGCGGCCCACACTCGCAAGACCGACGCGGCCCGCGCTCACAAGACACGGCGCGGACTCACAAGACGCCGCTCACACTTACACGACGCGACTCACACGACGCGACCCACACGACGCGACTCGCGCGACGCGACTCACACGACGCGACCCACGCACACGACGCGACCCACGCACACGACGCGACCCGCACGACGCGACCCACACGACGCGACGCGACTCACGCGACGCGACTCACGCGACGCGACTCACACGACGCGACTCACACGACGCGACTCACACGACGCGACTCACGCGACGCGACTCGCACGACACGACTCACAAGGCGGCCCGCACACTCGCAAGACGCACGCGGCCCACACTCACAGGACACGACTCACGCCGCCCAAACCCACTACAAGACGCGAGCGACCCTCCCACACTCGCAAGACGCACGCGACGCGGGCGCACTCGCACGCCGCGACTCGCAAGACGCGACTCACACTCACGGGACGCGACTGGGCTCACTTCCAAGAGGAGGCACGACTGGGCTCACCCACAAGACACGACAGGGCCCACACTCGCAAGACGCGACTCACACTCGCAAGGCATGCCTCGCACTCGCAGGACACAACTCACACCCGAAGAACGCGGCGCGCACTCACACGACGCGGCTCCCACCCGCAAGACGATGCTCGCGCTCGCGCTCGCAAGAGGCTGCCCGCACTCGCAAGACGTGACCCGCGAGGCGCACGCGCGCGCGCGCTCACAAGCAGCGCCCCACAATCACACACACAGCGGCCAACTTCTCGCGCCCACTTCGGCACGCCTTGGCCTCCCTGGCAGCTCCTTCCCTGCCCGAGACGAGTGGCGGCCTCATATGGGCACCCTTTCCAGCCTCCCTCTCTCTGCGGCTGCCAGGCTTGTAACTGCTCGAAGGTTTTTAACTGCCTGGGGGTTGTGTGCTCATGCCTTTGCATACCCGAACGGGACAAAGATCGCAAAGGAACACAGCACAAAAGAGCCCAAAAAAGAGAAGGAACAGAGGACGGACGGAGGAGAGAAGGAAAGGATGGAAAAAAGAGACCGGCGGCAGCTCCGCTTGAGGGGATCAGAGAAAGAAAGAGGGAGAAAAAGCCCTCCGAAAGGGAAGGGGGAAAAAGGAAGAAGGAGCCGGCGGGGGAACCGCTCCAAGACCCCCGGAGAGGAAAGAAAGAGAAAAAGCCGCCCAGAGAACTGGGAAAGGAAGAGCACAGCGCCCCGGAGAAAAAGGGCGAGACAGTGGCAAGGGGGGCACCGAGTGGCCCCACAGGAGCAGCGAAGGGGAAGCAGAAAGAAAGACAAGCGGAGAAACCGAAACAAAAGCGAAGAGGACACCAGAACAGACGCGAGAAAGAAAGGAGAGGAAGGCAGAGAGACCAGCAAGAAGACCGCTGGACGAAATGAGGCCAAAAAGACTAAGAAAGGAACAGAACAACAAAAGAGGACGGCCCAAATGAAGAAGGGGCCGCTTAAGCGGAGACCCCCCGACGAAGGGGGAGGCAGTGCAAGAAGGTAAGAAAAGAGTCCGCGAAGCCCCCCGCGCCTCCCTCAAGGTCCCCCGAAGAGGTGGCGGACGCTGGTCCAGCCTCTCTCTGCGAGGTCGAGTAGGGGCGCCAGCCCTTCACCTTAAGGGGGGCGGCCCTCTTCCAGGTGAAGTAGCTGCAAGGATGAGACGGCACCCCGCCCCACCCGGTCGGTGGGCTTGTATCATCATCATCGCCATCATCATCATCGACGTCGCCGTCGCTCGTTCGTCTTGTTTGAGCAGCCATAATATAGCACTTGTTCTTGCTCGGCTCACAACAATAGTACGCACCGGAGCAGGCTGACAATTCAACCAGCATCACTTGCTGGAGGTTGACATTCCCTCTCCTTCGTTCTCATCAATCAGTATAGCGCCGCCCTTACAATGTCGCGCCCATGATCGAACTTGTAGTGGTCTATATTAGAGGACTACTAGAGGCGGCGGCACAAATCTGACCTATCAATCAATCAGGGTGCCTCTACGGGGCTTCAAATATTTTTTCGCTATTTATTTGCTATCGACGTTTTCAGTTCGCCCGAGCAAATGTGACTGTGTCTACAATGATGAACTCACCTAAGAAGCGACCCAATCCACCAGAAGTGCCAAGAAAAGCAAACATGTCGGCTCGAGTCCTAGTATACTTTGTGCACTGATCTTCACAAAAATAAATCTCAGCTGCTAACGCTCATGCTGCCCTGGAGGGTGTAAAGAAGAACAAGAGGAAGAACGTAGGTAAATACATAATTAAAAGCTGTAGTATCAATCTGCATCGGGTCATAGGATAGGAAGAGATCCATCTACAATAACAGGATAGGCGAGGATAAGATCCATCTTCTATTACTAGCAAGACCTACTTCCCTGCTTCATAACCGCCCGCGACTCATGGTTCCGCCCATCGTAGAATACCCTCCCGCCGTCATCTCTAAGATGGCGATGTCTGATCATGGTAAAATTTTTAACGCTAGAGCTTATTTTTCAATATCCTTCGCTGAGTGTTGTATCTTTCCCCTTAGACAGATCCCCTTTCCCCTTAAACAGATCCCCCCTTTAAATCAAAGGAAACCCCACTCAGCATGCTCCACACGGGGACGGGACAGTGATAGCCTACCCGTAAAAAACTTCCCCGCAACTTCGTCCCCATAGTAGACTGCTTCGTCATACCAATCGTGGTCTTTCGGTTTGTCAGCGGTCTATGAAAAGGGTACGCAAAGGGATCCCTCTGGATTACTCTAGTTGTTCCTGTGTCCGATTATCACTGAAGCAAGTGCGTAGCAAGGTGCACAGTAGCCAGCTGTTACATACTGAGTGCTCTCCGACTCCGCCCTAGCTTGCACGTCTTTCTTCTGAAAGAAGAACTACCGTGACGCGGGTGCTCTCCTAGCTCTCACGCCTTCTATTACTTGCAGTCAGTTACTATACGAAGCCGGGCGGTACTCCAACACCATGCAGCCCGAGAGTCATACGCGGGGCCCAATTAGTCCGCTGGTGTCAGTATGGTCGCGACTTGACTCGCCGCAAGTCAACACAAAGAAGCGCGAGGCAGAGGCGAGCTCGCCCAGGGCAGTCACGTCCCAGGGCGGGGGACCAAAAGGCCACACATCCGGGCCAAGGAAAGCGGAGAACTACGCACGCCCCACCCAAAAGGCCAGACTAAGGACGCAGCGCCGCTGCTACTGCAAGAAAGCCGGCGCGCGGGGCTCACAAATAGAGGCGAGCTGCTCGAAAGCAACCGAGTCGAGGAAGAGAGACAGCGGCGAAGAGGCACCAACACGAAAGCAGAACGAAGTGGCTCGGAGTCCGAGGGAGGGAGGAGCGCAAAGCCATGTCGCAAGCCATGGCGCAGGAGGCGCCAAGAGTCAGCTGCCTGCATCCTCACAAAAGGGGCACACGGTAAGGCGCAACGCCTGCACGCAGAGGAGGCCCAAGCTTCCAGAGTGAATATCTCGACAGATTCACTGGCCGCCGCTTTCAATCTGTAGCGGACACACACGCGCCGAAGCGCTGACAGGTCTAGCTGGCTTGGCTCAGTCTGTGGCGGACATGCACGCCAGTCACGCGGTGCCACAGCCGGGAACTGCGTCACCAGCTGGCCCAGCTGTGGCGTGAATCAACTGCCTCGACCGTCATGGTCAGCCGATTCGGCCCGCGGCTGAGTCTTCAGCCAATTCAGCCCACGACAGCCGAAGCAGCTGACTCACACCCCAGCCGAATCAGCTGGGGGCCACCTTCTGCGATTCGCTTGAACCTCGTGCCGCCTAAAACGGAGGCCGCGGCCCGCTGACTGTGTGGCCCGTCCTTCCCCCCGTAGCGACCGCAAAGCACGCCCAAGGCCCGCCCGACCCGAAAGAAGACAAGACGCCCCGCCCTTCCTCCCTGAGTAATTCTCCCAGGAGCGCTCCCGTCCTCTGACTTCCTCCGAAGTCATCGGCCCCAGAGAGGCCGGCAGGTTGCGCCCTCAGCCCCCAGCGCGCGCAAAGAGTCAGCGAGCTCATTGATTAACTTGACACCGAGCGCGGGGGCTCACGCGCTCGACCCGAACAGAAGCAGCACAAGAGCAAAGGAAAGCGCCCCGAGGTCTGTTAACAAGGCCCGCTCTCTCCGACGGGGTGCCTAAGCCTACGCCGTCTGCAGCCGTGACGGTCTCCAGTCGGGCCACCAGACTGCGCGAGCCTGTGAGAAAAATGACACACCCCCCAGGAGTGCGGCCCGTGCTGATGAGCTGCCGGGCCGTGTGGTGGAATGCCACCCACTCGCTGGATTCTTTACTGCTGCGGCGCAAAAAGAAGCACAAGGCAAAGAGTGAGCGCACCAGGCGACTGACTCCCGACCAGGATCCCCGCAGCGGATCCCTCGCTGTGCTTCTCCTTCTGCTTGTCTTTAGGTCTGAAGAAGCTCCCGCCGATGGCGACGGCGAGAACTCCAACCACCCGCGAAAACCCAGCACGCAAAACTTCGCCGGCTTCCAAGCTGGCGGCCTCGGTGTCTCAGGTCTGCGCCCTGGCCGCAAGGCTGTGCACCGCATGGGAGGCGGTAGCCAGCGGGCCTCCTGACGAATAGCAGGGAAATCCCAGCCAGTCTTCTGCAGTACGCGCTGGGCGCTCTTGAGCCAACCGGGGGCAACAGCCTGTCTGGCCGGTGGGAGCTCAGGCGCGTACGTTGTGAAGGCCGGCAGCTCATGTGACTCACTGGGCGTCCGCCGTGCTCGGTCGCCCGACTGCTCACGAGGTGCATGGGGACGGCGTTAGAAGTGACGCCAGCGGGGGACAAGCCAGAGTGGGTGCCCGACCCGGAGCAGGTAGCTCCCGACCGGTGTGCCGTTGGCGATATCCCCCAGATTCCGTCGAAGCGTCTGCTGCCACCACGTTGCAAGAGCAGACGCGTCCAGGCGCAGCATAGAAACAAGTGGACGCGAGCCCGCAATAGACGTGGCTTCGCCGTACTCCAGCGAAGAGATGGCGCCACGTCGAAGCGCCGCGCTCTGGCCCCAGGATGGCATCACCCACCAACATGCGCGAAGCTCGTGCGCAGAGATTGAAGGCGCGGGCACTCATGGCCAAAAAGCGGAAGGACTCGAGGCGCATGGTACGCACTTGCCCAATGGCGACGCGCGGCGCCAGGTGAAAGGCGTGGGCGTTGATCATCCGAAGGTTAGAACAGACCCCGCGGCATAAGAGCCCCGCGCCGCTATGGCGAAAGTCACAACTTGCGTCACCAGAAGCGGACTGCCATTGAGGAGGCAGGGGGATCCGCCCCCGTGGAGTATCCCATAACTTTTCGAAGGACAGAGATGCGCCCGCGCGCCTTTCGGATGACGCCCGAAGTGTGCTTTTTGAAGTTGCAGCAAGAGGCTACCGCCACCCCTAAGATTTGGGGAGAGGAGACTTGGCAGCATAATAAATAAGCCCGAGAGGCCGATAAGAGGCACGCCCGCTCTCTCCTGTGCGCGGTTTTGATGGCAAGCTGCAGCCCCCCAGGCATGTAACTCCGGAACGGAGAGCACGAGGCAGACAGTTTTACTTACTAGCGTCCCGCTTCAGGTGGAGGCCGGGGCGAGCGCCTGCAGCTTTTCAGATAACTCGCACCCTGCACCTGGCCACCAGCTCGGAGCCCGTGCCCACAGCTGGGAGACTTGCACCATCATCCGCGAAGAAGAAGGCGCCCTCGCCGTCTCCACTGAGTTGCCCCAGGGGTGCTGAGATGAAGACAGTCCAACGCAACGAGCTTAAGACTCCTCCCCTCTGGTGGAGCTCCGTTGCGTTCGGTCCCTTCGACCGGGGGAGCCCCCGAGGCGGTCGCTTCCACGGGGGCGCCATCGGTGCCGGGCGGGTCCGGGGAGCTTCGGAAGACAGGCGAACGCAGCATGCGCAGTAGGAGGCTTTCCACAAGGGCCCAGCTCGGCGGCGCCGACGACCAGTAGTCACGCTCAGAAGGCCCAGACGGAGCTGCGTGCGAGTGGGCGCGGTCCCGGGGCTCCCGCGGTGGCATCGTGTCGCCAAGGCCCGTAGCGTGGGGAACGAGGAGGGAACCACTCCCGACGAGGGTACTCACCTGCGTAGGCCGGGTCACTCAACGTCGTCGGAGGCGGCGCCCCAGGCCAGTGCGGGGGCGGATCGTGCTGAGGTCCAGGAGGGTGAACCGGCGGGGCCAGAGGCGGGCACCAAGTACGAGGCGGCCCATCACCGCGCCCCGATCGGGGCGGGCACCACATGCCACCCAGGCCGTAGAAGGCTGGCCTCATCTTCCGACATTTTTGTTCGCGAAGACGTACAAACGAGATAGAAAAGGAGAAGGCTGATCGTATGCAGCTATTGCTGCGCTGAGGCAAAGCGAGGCTCTGTATCAATCTAGAGTGAGGATAGCTCCTAAACTACTGCAAAAACGACAAGCAAGGAGAAAAAGAGGGAGGGGACGAAGCTCACACCCGGCGACCCGAGTCACAGGAGAGGAGGAGCGAAGAGACGACAGCAAGTAGAGGCACTTCTTGGCGGAGTGCTCTCCAGCCAGCGAAAGCCCCGCAAAAGAATCCGTCTAGTGTCCTCGTCGCGGGCCGAAGTATCTCGGAACTCCTCCTGTAGCCCTATCAAGACAGTAGCGGAGCCTCACTAAACAGAACGAAGGCGCGCGCCCGTCTTATCTTTCTCGCGCCATACATACTCAACAGAAGGGACGGGCGGCCCCGTCTTTCTCACACCATGCTCAACAGAAGGGAGGGGCAGGCCCATCTCCCTCACGCCACGCCGTGGCATCTTGTGGCTATTTGACAGCGCTCCGCCCCCCGTTACCCATTTAAGGAGGACGGGTCTACTACTTACATCGCAAGCCAACTAACACCCAAAGGGTGTGTTTGCGTTGCTGCTCCTTCTACTTCCTGAGTTATTACTTTACGAATTCTGCAAAAGCCTGCCCATTTCATCTTAAGGCGTCTCTGTCCATTGGTCGATATCCGCAAGCGGTCACCCAATAATACTGGACCCTCATGCGGAAAAGCTTCAGCAGGTGGTCCACCTCTTAGAAGTTCTCGCACTTGTCGCCATCATGTGGAGCAGTAGCGGTTTGCTGTAGAAATTCAGCATGTGAAGACAGGCTAGAGATAAAGCTCCCACATACTGCACCTCTTCAAGAACAAGGAGCAGTCGCACCCATAACTTCTCTGCGCGTTACCACCTGCTTCACGCGCCAAGTCATCCATCGTCCCTTTGAGAAAATCGACATCCATTACAACCAGTAAAGTTAGAAGTAGAAGAGTGCAGCCAGATGAACACTCAAAGAGCGAAAAAGAAAAGCGACAACGCCCCCGCCAATCTCTCAACCACATACACCCGAACCAAAAGCACCAGAGCCAAAAACTACACGCGACCCCCGTACAAAATTTCTCCGCTCTCTCCTCTTATCAACAGACGAAGCAACAAACAAACAAACAAACAAACAAACAAACCCAGCCCACCTACCACTCCCTGAACCCAAGAGCCCATGGACCGAGGCCTACAACTTGCCACCCTGGCCCTTCAGTCCATTTTTTTTCGATGAAGTTAAAACTTCCACGATTTTCAAAATTTTAAACGTTGGCAGTGCCACAGTCTTTGACTTCATCAAACGAACCTAACAGAAGACCAGCAAGCCCCTAAGCCTCCCACTTCCAGGCCCGGCTATTGTGCTGCCCTGCCGATCGACTCAGCCCGACGGCTGTCGCGAAGGGAAGGAGCCGGGGAAGCGGAGGCACCCAATGGCGGGGAAAGTGCACGCAGAGGGCGGGGGGCAGAGTCTTCATCCACACTGTTGGCAACTTGCCCACGTCAGTCCCAAATGCCTGGCCCGTCGGACGTGAGGAGAGCAGCCGGCCTCAGTTCTATCCGTGCCTGCAACAGCCGGCAGCCGAATCCTTGCAAAACCCAACCACCACAAGCCCAACTCAGCAAGACCCCACCACAAGCCACGCCCTGCAAGGTTCTCACTCTTCCGGTTTGTGTGTCGATTTTTTTTGCTAATTTCACCGGGGGAAAAAGGCCAAAGGATGAACACACTAGAAAAAGACACACGAGAGCAAGGCAGAGCAGCGCGCGACAATCATGCACCAACCAACACACCACAACCACACGAAAACGGAAGCCGAACCAGCTGCGCACGAACTTAAACGGCAAGAGACCCAGCAGAACCTGCCCGCGGACTCTCTTCACCTGCTTGGGGCTGGGCCTCCTCCTCGATACCCAGCGAGGGGAAAAAAGACAGAGCGGCACAGCTTGACCCAATCCGCCACCGGAAGACAAGAAGAAAGCCCGGCATCTGCAGGGGGTCCACTGAGCTAACCAGCGTCGGCAGTAGACTGCAGCCTTCAAGAAGCAGAGGCCACCTGCTCGGTATTGGCATGGCGCGCGCACCTCGTTCACGAGCTTCACCCGGGAGAGCACGAGCCAAACACGAGGCAGACAGCCAGCGCGACACAAGTCGCCCACAGTAGGCCCATGACCTAACCTGAGGACAAGTCACAACCACGCGCCATCCAACTACCGCGCACAAGGCGCGCTGGTGCCCTCGGCTGAAAATAAATATGGGGCAGAGAATTGCGCACGAGGTTACAGAAGTGGGCAAGCTTTTGAATCTTCCGACGCGGTGCGGCTACTCTGAGAGCGCTCACGGAGCCGCAACAACCAAGGCAGCCGCCGCGGGGTCTCCTGGATCGATAGCGAAGCTACAGACGTGCTGGCAGTAGTCAGATGCAAGAACACAAGGTAGGCAAGGCGAGCATTATGTAGGTGGCCAGTCAGCGTCACTGCCCCCTGTCGCTGTCCCCTTAAAAACCGAGGCACTTCCATTGGGATTGAGGTGGAAAGTTTACAAATAGCCACTTTTTAGCCTACGGCTCTAGCACTGAAAACCTGCGCTCTCTCTTGATCAAAACAGGGGGGGCCTTTCATGATCAACACTACCAAGACGAGACGCAGAATCCCACGCGGATCCGACACGATTGCGAGCTTCCAAACTTAACTCTTCAACTTTTACAGAAAAAGCGAAGCAGTTTACTGATGCTGTCCAATTTTGGACAGGACTACACTCGGCGCCTCTTCCTCCCATGTTTTCAAGGGAGCGAAAAGCTTCCGCTTTCATGAATGTCGAACACAGTCGAAGACCCTTCGGCGCATCCATGCCTTCTACCAGCGGACGAGAGACCCGCATCAAATGGCGCGGCAGAGTACCCGGCTAAGTGCGTACCTGCCAAGACTTACGAGAGAAAGTCCAGCGATAGAAAACGCAGAGAGCGAGACACAAAACCCACAGTCGAGGGCGACAGCTTGGAGGGATAAGGACTCACTGCCTCAGCCTCAAGAAGGGAGCTCGCTCTAGAAATAAGCACAAGGCCGCCCAAGCGAAAGCTGAACACAGCACCCCCATAATCAGCCCACCCCTGCAATTTCTAGAAACTTACACAGCCGGAAGAATCGGGCGGGGCGCAACCGCTCAAACGGGTACGAGGAAAAAGGAAAAACGCGGGAGGAAAGGGTCGCTCTCGTCTCTCGGATTTCGTGGGAGGTTGCTGGGCCGACAACATTGAAAATACAGAGCGCCCCCACAGGTCTTCACAGCTCTCAGAACAGACACAGACCACGGACCGAGCGACCCCCATCTTCGTCTTGTTTTCTTCCTCACCCTCATCCTGCTCCTCTGGTCTGTTTCGCTCACCTGATTAGAATCTTCAACCGAAAACAGACGCAACACTTGGGAAACAGCAAGCCAATCCTGCCCGCGAAGTCTGGCACTCGAGCCCCCACCTATAGTAGGGCCGGCCTACAATAGCACACTAGGCGCATAGCCACTTTTCTCATATGCGTTCTGTTGTGTTCGGGTACGTCTTTACTTAAAGTCTTCGCACCCTTTCCATGTTCAGCGCCGTGCTTTTTTATCGTGCTGGGGGCACATGTCGAGAAAGCTCACGAGGAGAGGGGGGCGCTTCTGTTGAATGAGGGTAGAAATTGATACCCTGACTACCATGACGTCCTGAAAAGAACGCTGCGGCGTCTCGGGCGAAGTGAGTCGGTGGATCGGGTTCATAAGTCTGCGCGTGATATCTTCATAGCTTTCGAACAGACGCTAAATCTTTAGAGTAAGTCTATTGCTTTCGTCGTCATGAATTTTATTTCTCTCGTGCTTATATCTGCAGAGTGAAACTACTCGCCGGCAATCAGAAGAAACAGCCGATAGTCTTACAGGCGAAACTACAAACATGAAGCCGCTAGCGTCTCTGATATGTTGCGTCTTTGCTCCTCATTATATGAATTCCTTCTATCTCATGAGTTGCCTCCCATAAAATCCGCCGACTTCAGTGAGCGACATCACGGGCCTACGCAATGCTATCCAGTACAAGACCGACGCTACGCAAGAAGGGATAGACATAAGAGCGAAAAAGCCTGACGCTAGAAAGTCGCAAGAACTGGAGAAGCAGATAGACTAATAGGACAAGAACAAGAGAAAGCGACACTTTTCAAAGACAACCATGATCGAAGTAAATTCATACTGTGTAGCACTTGGATGCTGCGAGTTCCGAACTACGTAGGTGAGACAACGCATCAGATCACGGGAGCCACAGACCACGACAAAGTAGCAAAACAATGAAAAGACTAAAATTACTCCAAAGGGTGCCCATGAATCTTCTAGACGTGACCAACTGCAGAGGAAGACTGCGGGGCGCCATGCTTTAGTTACGGCTCTCGCCTATATCTAATCTCTCCACTAGCCAAGCAATAACACTACGCTTACGAATAGAACAAGCGAGGGCGCGCAACTCTGCGCAAGTCGTGTAGTCCTTCTTTGCTCTCCTAGCACTACTGTGCTGCCTGAAGAAGCGCTAGACTACTACAACATCCCGAAAAAAGTCAAACTTTCTCTTGACCACTTATCTCTACTCTTTGCGGCCTTCTACGACATGCTTACAAGTCGTCGCCGCTGTCGTCGTTGTTTTCTGCAGCTTGTTCCCCGATGAACTCCACGTCGATGCCGTTCTCCTCCTCTGCTGCCTCATCATCCCCATCAGCTGCGGCACCCGCTGCGTCCCCCTGTCCTTGCTGATCCTGTTGCAGGTAGAACTGGACGCGGTTGCTCTGCTGCGCAGCGCCGTCTCCTAGACCTTGTGGACTGATCGCGCGCGTAGCCGTGTCGATCTTCTGCGCGTAAGAGAGACGCGATTTGCGATAGGGCCACGAAGTGCCAAGTATTCGCCATACCGTTAAGCACGTCCATGGCGTCCTTCGGCAAGTCTGTCTGGCGCTGTGTTTTCGTGAGAGGTTAATCATGGATGTGGGGCGTCTCATTTTTAAGGCGTTGCAGGTGGGTGAGGGGGTAGCTGCTCTGAAATGCGATAAAGGTAAAGCGTCCACTTAACCGAGTGAATTACTGAGGGACAGCAAGGAAGTGTCTAGCTCCGACCTAAATTTTATCACTTTGCGCCAGCTTCTGGCCCATCTTCTTGAAGGCATCGCTTGCCACTTCGCGAACAAACGCGACGCAGACACTCGCCAGCGCATCCTTCATCTCCGTCAGGGTCTCTGCGCTGTTAATTTCGTCCATGAAGCGCGCGATCTTCTCCACATGGTCACGCGTGCTCAAGACGAAGCCACCAATCGCATCGCGAAAAGCGATCACCAACTTCGCAACAGGCGCGAAGCCTCTCGTGGGCTCCGCCTCGAACTTCTTGAAGAAGTCGCGACAACTGCCCAGGCGGTCAAGCTGCTTGCTCGTGATGTGGGAGCGCATGGCGTTCAGGTTGTGGATGAACTCCTGCACGTCGGCAGGGTGCGCCCTATCACGCAAGGCCTGAATTTTGCGGCGCAGCTTACCCACCGGCGTCGATTTCTCCAGCGCGCGGCTCTGTAAGAGGTGCGGATGCAAATTTATTAAGGCAGCAGGATGCTTATAATCTCAGCCAGAGCTGAGTATGTAACGCGTTCTATCTCTCTACTTTCTCGGTGGGGTTTGTTTTAGGCATCTAGATATGAAAAATGTGCCACGTTATCGAGGACAGCCTGTAGCCTTTCTCTCTATCTCTTACTACGAAGCCACAACTCATCTATTTACATCAGCATCGCTTTCGTTTGAAGTACGCGAAGGCCGGCTCCCACGGGGACGATCACGCTGAAGAGCAAAGCCAAGCCAAGAAACACAGGAGCCGTCAACGGGATGGCGATGCGCGTCGCCAATATCACAAGCCAGGCGCGACAGCGAGGCCCATCAAGCTGTAGAGTTAAGACTTATGGATAGAACTCAACACACCTAGGCCCTAAATGTCGACTAATTTCCGTGGTATGTAGTTTAGCCTGGGAAGCTTTCTCACTGGGGTCGTGCTCTTCTTCCATCGCTCTCCCATCTGCGTAGCGAAATGAAAAGACTAGAAAGCACCAACTTCCACGGGCAGCGATCGAGGGCCAAGCTCCAGCACTGCGAAACGCACATGGTCAGCAGCTTCAGGAAGAAGCCCCATTGACAATCCTGGATAGTGGCCACGGCCAGAGCGATCGCCATGCCATTCAAATCGGCCGCGCGTTGCTCGGTCTTGATCTTCTCTTCGTTGCCGTCCTTGACAGCAGCACGGATTGCCCGGAGGGGAGGGGGATGCGATCGCTAATGAGTAATACCTATGGGGGCAAGTAAGTGGCTCTCTCGTTTCTCAGTATGTATGTAGTTCATCTCTCGGAGTACTCAGCAGCTGACGCGCACGAATATTCACACAGGTATAAAGTTACATACTTGAACGATTGCGAATAAAGATACCCGCAGAGCTCTCGTCACCTCCTCTCCTGAGTCGTGAGGTTCTGGAAGTACTTGCGGAGAACCGAATTAGCCGGCCCCTGAGCAATTGCGCGCGTAGCTAATTCCTTGATCTTGGTGAACTCGCCGCGGTTGATGTGTTCGCTGATACCATCGTAGAACTGCTGCAAGCAGTTCACGTGTTCCAAAATGTCCGCGCTGGTCTGCATCCTGCGGCGATGTGAGGTATTAAGAGACTGAATACTAGGCGCAAACGACGGATCTTATATTTTAGAGAAAGCCCAGATCTGACGCACAATGGTGCGATAATAGACGAAGATCTGAATCATGCCTGCACAGATAAAAAAAAAGCCATCCACTTCCCCACTCGTATGAAAGTAGTGCGTGTCCACCACTCGACCAAAATCCCAAAAAAGGTAATTACCAGTCACGCATCTGGGTCAAGTTATAAGGTCCGGATCTGTCGCCCCTGGCGTGAGTAGTCCCGTACTCAAACACGACCAAAGCGATGCGCTCCAAGCACGTGATCCGCTCGGTGTTCTCCATCATGTTGATGCAGCGTCCAATTGCGCGGAGCATGCGGGCGGCTGCGGCGCGAGTCGTCTGCGATTCCCCACAGGTCTGCAAAGCGCCCTGCAAGGGATGACGTGGAGCGTTTTCTATGGGATGAGGGTACTTATGGCGAGTCGCTCACTTTGATCTCAAGAAGGACTTCGACTCTCATGGAAAAGAACCTAGATGAAGTAAACGGAGAGAAAACCCTGACAGCCAACGTTGTTCCGAAGCGATGGACTCAGCCACTTTGCAGCCCTGGACAAGTGCAGCAATCGCGCGTGCCTTCTGGCTACGTACGACGAGCCATCGCCTGCTGGGCCGCGTTTATGGCGTCAGAACGTAAAGGGACGGGCCCTGGCGTCAGAGTCGCCTTCTCAGTTTTCTTCTTGTTCCTGCGGTTGTTGTCACGGAAAACCTCCCGAACGTTGTGCACGACGTTCGGCTCTTGCTGTTATGGTTTTGGATGGTTTGGGTTGTAGTGAAGCAGGTAATTTATTAGGGAGCAAGTGAGTGGGTAGCTGAGTATCATGATTTTGCAGGCCGTGATAGTGGATAGGTAGGAGAAATCGCGAGGGTGTGTCTAAGAACTTGAGAAGAATTTCAGTCGTCAGCTAATCTCTAGCCAAGAAGTCGACGCCTCCAGATTGACGGTCGAACACACGTCGCACGCAGCACGCAGGGAGTCGCGGGCCTTCAGAGCCTTCTTCTTCGGCGAGCTGGCGCCTCCGTTGTTATTCGGCATCCTGGTGCTGGATTTTGTTGCTTCTGAGGCAATCGCCTGCGCCCGAAATTCGTATAGCAAAGAGAGAGAGCGAGCGACTATTTTTTTTCTGAGCTTTTTCCAAGGAGTGTAAGTTTTATAGGCTAAACTTTTTTGGATGTTGTTGCGAGCGATCGTAGAAAGATAGACTCTCGATGATACTAATACCACTACCAAGTAGAAAATGAAAGACGTCAAGTCTCTACTACGAAACCATAGCCAGCGTGTGGGTAGAAAGTCAGCAGAGAGATACCACTTCCCTCAACATGATCAGAGACACTCCCGCACTTTTCAGCGTGCCTATAAATAAGCCAACTACTGCAATGATCTCCCCCCACCACCAAGCTCTTCGGATCTTGTTAACGGAGCCAGAACGAGGATCCTGTGCTTCTTCAAGCTTTTAGCTACCGATCACGAGCACACCCCAGACAGCGGCGCCATCTCCTTTCTTGTGTGAGACAAGCATTTACAGCTTTGCCACTGTTCCAGGAACACGCCGCCATCCTCTTCTTTCTACTCTCTTCACGAGCGTCGGCAAGCTCCTACCACCGACTTCGCTTCTCCAAGTCCCCCTGCCAGTTCCCCTCTCTGTGGTAGGCTCCAGCACAGGTTTCATTTTTCTTCCAACTATCGAAACGCAGAATGCTGTCGTGGCAGTCTAATGCCAGGCAGAAGTCTGTCGCGGTGTTTGTCTTCTGTTCCAGCTATGGCGTTTCGCTGGGGAGTCATCCAGCTGGTTTTCATGGGATAAAAGGTCGCGCTTCATTGAAATGCACACGGATGGAAGCGCTACGGAATCAAGTCAGAAGTACGCTAGAAACGAGAGGAATTACCTACGAGGGAGGTGGTCTACTGATGAGTGACTGAGTTGATTCCCTAAGCAACTTCCCCTCTAGTTGCAGCCGCGGGACGCCTCAGTCAGTGTCCTCTGCAAAGTCCACACCCGTTGCTCCTGGCGCGAAAGTCAGAAGGCCTGAAAACTCGCAAACAAGCTCGCGCCCTCCTTCTGCAACTTCTCCGCAAGTTGCTCAGACGCAAAGCAGCCAGTTAGCGGAAGTTATGTAGAAAAGTCTCGACTCTTATTTTAATACGATAGAAAGTGATGCTTTTGCATAGAAATAATTTGAAGCGTCCAGCTTCTTTTCTGGTGAAAACTTTTGAAAAGAAGGAGCTTTTTTCGAGTATGCAGCCACTACCTGTCTGAAGCATCCAGAGTAGAAGCTCAACTTCTCTCATAATTTTTCATGAGATCCGAGGTCTGCCCGCTGCAACTCTCGCCGCAAAGTCTGGCGACGTTGTAGCCAAAGACTGCCCCACTTCTGCTCGACTTGTCCACCGAATCCACATCATCACCTTCGCAACCTGCTGGGCCTAGTGTCGTCGCGTCTTGTAGGAGATACTCGAAGACATCGTGAACCAGGAGCAGCAGCTGAGACGTCCACGCAGCAGCGCAACAATGTCGCCCCCCAAGAATAGCAAGCCTGTGGCCTTGTCATCGCAATGCTAGAAGTCGTGATCTTATGGAGGAGGTTGTAGCACTAATATGAACAACGACCACGACAGCAGCGCTCTTTTTCATTTTGGGGCTAGTGATTAAGCGACGCACCAAGCAAGCTACACAGTAAAAGAGTACACTCATGACAGACGAAGAGAACTACAACACTGATTAGATCTTGATCCATAATTAAGTTAGTGCTTTCGATAAGACGAAACAGCGATGACATAAATTGTAAGGGTGTTGTTGAATTGCAGGAGAACTGACCACAAGCATGCACATGAAAAAATCTAAGTCAAGAGCGTGCTGAGGTATCAACTACTTGAACAGTGCGGCGCTTCTTATGTTAATTATGTGACTTGGCTTTTTATTTCTGCACCCCATCAGAGAAACCTTGATAGCCGGGGAAGTCGTCGAAAGCTTGGCCCACGCGGCCGACGCTCAAAGTCCGGAGCGCCTCGCCGCACAAGACAAGGCACCGCCGGTAGGTCCGCACGTTTTCGCCTTGCAACATCTTCCAACACGGTCGACCACGCAGGACGGCGCCGCTGCGATACTTCTCGAATTCTTCTTGTAGTTTGGAGCTGTCGGCGCAAACATATCTTGAGTCCTTGAGCACGTTCCGGACGCGGTCAAGGATGAACCCCGTTCGAACAGCAAACAGCGCCGCGAGATGGCCAGCAGCTACTTCTCCATCCTCCGGAAATCGAAAACGGCGAGTAGACTGCGCTCCTGCAGTCGTAATGGGGTCAGTCGTGGTCTCATTTATGACTCTTAGCCACGTCTTCGCACGTGTGCCGACCGCAGACGCTGTTATCCTGTCAGCGAATCGCTCGCAGATGCTGCGCGTCCCTCTCTTACTACCGTCCGCCAAGCTGAAGCCAGAGATCTGTAACGGCACAAGTGTCGCAGTGGCATGCATTTTCATGCGCAGGCGATCTTGCTGCATTGATGGGGGAAGGTCGTTCTCTTTCAGCTGGTACTTCATATCATTCTCCGGCCCCGGCAGGTCACGATCAAGATCAAAGAAAAGCGCGCAGCCTCCTTTGATCTCGTCCTCGCGTTCTTCTTCTGTGACGTGCTTCCCCTTGTCCTTTTTGGCCTTCCGCTGCTTTTTTTGTTTCACGGTTTCGCCATCCGTTTTGCGCGCCTGCCTCTTCAGCGTCGCCTCCTTCGTCTGCTGCATGATTTGCGCAAAGTGTGAGAGTTCTACTGCCTTCCCCGCTGCTTTGATCTTCTTGTTCTTACTCTGCGTTTTTTTCGGCCGCACCAAGCTCCCCTGCTTGCGTTCTAGAAAAGTCCGCCCATCTTCCTGCTTTCCGCGCGGCAACGCCTCCCAAATCTTGCAAGCCGCAGCCTCGTCTTGTGCCGCTCGTCCCTGAGGATCTTCTGGCTGTGGAGTATTTCTCGCCGCAGAGTAAACACTTGCCCGCCACTGCGTTCCTCTGTGTTGACTCGCACTGCAGAAAAGTCGCGAGCTTGTAGATCAATTCACACTGTGGCGAACCACTCAGGCGAGCAGCCCTCCACTGGTGAAGACCGCTCTTGTTGTTGCTCGTTACTATCCCCACCGCGAGAGTCTAGTCTTACAACAGAGCAAGTAGTTGGAGCGTCAAGCAAGTCCCCACCCTGCTCTTCGTCGTAGTTTTCGTCAAAAGAATCTAGCTCGTCATCTACTTCTTCGTGCGCAGTCAGCTCATCATCCGCTTTGCCGCTCTGCTTCTTGCGGATAGCCCGGCAGGCTGCAGCAAGACCCAGCTCTACTGGATGCGGCTGCCGAGGCCGGACCTCTAAATTGCCCGCCGGCTTGGACTTCACATCCTGTAGCCATCTCCGCGTCTGTAAAAGTACTAAGTTGCGGAAGCTGGTGCCAGTTCTTTCGTCAGTAGTCCACATCCGTTGCACAGCCGACTTGATTCCCTTGTAGTACTGCTTCTCCTGTTCAACGCTGACCAGATCGCCTCGCGCTTCATTACTTCCCCCGCCTCCTCGTCATCATCTGAGTCCCACTCCTCCCTCGCAGGACGCTTTTCGTCCGCACCACCTACACCTTCAACAACGTGAGAGCACAGCAACCGCACAGCCAAGCGCCTCTGCTCATCGTCCGAGTAGCTATTCATGCTCTTACTGATTTTCGCAGGGCTTTCGCCTGCTGCTCGTCGCTCGTTTGCCTCCCGCGTCCGCTTTCCGCGCAGCAAGTCGATTCCCCTTTTGTAGCTGTGCCTCTTCTTCTTGGGTGCTGCCGGATTCTTCTCGGCGATCTCCTCTGCTTCCACGCGACCTAGTTTCGCGCTGAGGTCTCCCCTCGTGACCTCGTGGCGAATCGTAGTCATTCCACGCCACTGGGAATGGTTCTCTGCTGCTCTTTTACTTCTCTGCGCTTTTAATTCTGCGCCTTTACTTCTACGCCTTTCCGCGTTCATGCGGTTGAGGAAGCTTGTTAGATGATCCATTTTTTCTTCTTCTGTGCTGCAGTTGTGGCCCAACCAGTTCCGCAAGGATAATAAGCAATACGCGCCGGCATCTCCTTGATTTGGCACGGACAAATCCACGTCGCGCAGGTCAGCCCATGTGCGCAAGCCTACAAGAAAACCCTCCACGAATTCTCCATGAATATCGGTGGCCGTTCCGAACCTCCAGTCAAACATCGCCTCCAACACCGACAAAGCCAACAACGCGGACGCAGAAAGGCTAACGACCTGTCGGAGTTTCTGTATCAGTAGGTGCGACAACGAGAAAGAAGGCGATGGCGATTAAGTCACGCGGTGGCGGTTCAGGTAAGAACAGCCAAGACTACACAGCGAAACACGAGCGAGGCTCTATATTCGCTGGCAGTTCTCCCAGAATAGCCTCTAGCAGGTTACTGCTTGATAAGACTCCTCTTCTCGCGGCTCAAGCTCTCCGGTCGAACTACAGTCGAAATATAGGCAACTCGCGACTTAATAGGATGACCAATCCGCAAACTACAGGGGGGCCTGTCAACATACTGACGCATAGTCGTGATTTTAGGACGTACATTCCTGATTTTATCATGAAGATTCTATCACCTATGCAACTTATGCCCTACTTTCGTAGCTAATAGCTATTAAACTTCCGCACCCCCCTCCCGCCGGTGCATAAATTATCTTAGCCTACGAAAGGCCCTAACTAGTTTACTCTGTGACAAGGCTAGCCATACTCGTACAAGGGACATATCTAGAGTAGATCTAGGCCAGATCGTACTCGGGTCGTATTCTAGAATCATGACTAGGCCAGCCGCGCCCTCGCCGCACTGTCGAACCATCTACAGTCTGGGACGATTACTCGGCGCCTAGAGATCGCCCCAGAGATCGCAGAGTGAGCATCTACCAGACTAGAGAGCTCAAGAGAGAGCGAAAGGCCATCCCATTCCAAATGGTGCCAGAATCCAAATGGTGCCAAGATAGCTGCTCCAAGTCATTTGCTAATAGGGAAAAGCTTCCAAGATCTGCAACAAGAGCTCCAGGTCTTTACTGAGAGGGACCCATCGAAATAATAAAAGAATAGCTACTGTCTTATCGAACAAAGAAGGCTCGAGATCGCTCCAGTAAGTGGCATTCTTTTGATCTTACAAGGAAAGTCGCGCTTTGATCTCTCGCCTACTCTTTCGCTCAGATGTCATGGCACAAAGATCGACACTTGACCCATTTAGTATCTTCCCAGATGACTGAGCACCCAAATGGGCCACGCCTTCGGATCATACGCTATGTGAGTAGAAGGGTGCCGGACTGACTTCCAAAGATAAAAGACTACGCGCTTTATCCTCGTCACTAAGCTTATCAGTTCAAGGCAAGCGGAGGCCTCTTTCCTATGCATTGTTTTCTTTGTCGCCGCACATGACTCACGGCCGATTTGCCACAGAGACTCTTTCACATTGGTCAAGACTGACGGACAGAGACAGGAGGGGCCGCGTAGTCGTCCGCTTATAGCGTTTGACTTCACAGGTTGACTGTGTATTGGAGTGCCCAGCCACAACCCATAAGCAAAGCGCGCTTGGCTTCACATCATTTGGCTTCGCATCTGTTTGAATCATTTGCCTCCGCATTTGTTTGAATCATTTGGCTTCGCATTTGTTTGAATCGTTTGCCTTCGCATTTGTTTGAACCATTTGACTGCGCATTTGTTTGAATCGTTCGGCTTCGCATCTGTTTGAATCGTTTGCCTTCGCATTTGGTTGACTGTGTACTGGAGTGCCCAGCCACAAGCACAATCCTTAAGCACATATAAAGGCTACACATTTTATCCTCGTCATTCGGATTGGTCAAGACTTTCAAGATTTTCAGGCTGAGCAAGATACTGCAGTCAGTCGCCCGCCTGTAGCGTTTGACTTCGCATCTGTGTCGATTGTGTATTGGATAGCCCAGCCACACTCCGGAAGTGCATCCATATTCATTTGCGACATTTGTCGGACGAGGAACCTCTGAGATGCATCTGCGCCCCATTTGTTGCTATTGAATATCTGCGCCGGGAACAGCCCACATCTATAGACGCGAGATCCAGCACTTTCTAGGCCGTCGCGTTGCCTATTAGGAACCCTCCCCCATCTTAATTTGTTTAAGTTGTGCGCTCGTCTTAGTTGGTTCATGAGGTTAACGCTATCAGCCGCTACCGCCTCTAGCTGTTCCGGTGAAAGCGGTGACTGCTGCGTAATCAGCTCGGTCTGCCTTGTAGTTGTCGCTATATCTTCAAAAGACAAACGCACCGCCTCGCAATCAGGTCGAAACGTCCGACGAGTTTCATCATGTGGCCCAGCTTCCCAGCATACTAATTCTACTGCGTTGACAGGGGCACGAAAATAGGAACAAAAAAAATTACGAGAAGACGGCAACCCCCCAACTTCGCTGCTGCGTGGGTTTGTCTCTCAGAAAAAATTTTATTATTCCGATTCCATCCGGGGCTCTTTTTTTTTTGTAAATAATTTTACTATTGGACGCACCTTTAGCCTTTAGCGGAAAAATTTTTACTATTCGTGCGATTCGTGGTGCGCCTACTATACGCACTGCGCCTACTATTCGCACTAGAGGCTGAAAAGTGCCTCCCAATAGTACTTAAAAAAACGAGCCAGGTCCAACGTCGACCCTGACACAAAAAACGCAAAAATTTTTCACACCGAAAAACTTTTACGAACCAAAACGAAACGCCGCGGCGTCCTCCTGTCAATGCAGTAAAATTAGTAAGATGGGAGACGGAGCGCTTGAATTCCGTCGCGACGTCTGATTTTGTCGCCCAACTCGGTCAGCAAATAGTGGCCCACTGGCTTGCAGAGGTCGCGCACAAAGTGCCCGGAAGTGCAAAGCATGACGTTGCCATCTGAACACAACAAGGTGAGACGATGGAATTGCTCACGAAAGTACTAAGATCATAGGTGGAGGAAGTTGAGTGGGAGATCAGAAAAAAATCAAATACCATAAGGAGGCCATGACTGCTCCATATAAAGTAGACCACAACAGGCAACAAGATCACAAAAAGCACACGAAGGCGATGATCTACGGGCCCAACCAAGAACAGCTACTAAGCTTAGCGCCTCGCCGTCGCTCCTTCAGCGTCAGACGATTCGGGGCGTAGTCCTCTTTGATCTTCAGCTGATCACCGTAGAGCCGGCCTACTATCACCGCGATGCTGAAGACCATTGCAGCACGCATTTTCTGCGGGGCCGTTGCAAAAGTGACCCACCTACTCCAACTAGGCGCCTTCAGAGCTTTGCGCAACGAGTGGGCGGCCGCTCTTGTCTCCTTGATGCTCTTCTTGTGGACCCGAAAGCGCGCGCGCTCGCCTGAAATTATTTCGACCCTCTTCAAGTATTTCTTTTGCTCCTTTGGTGCACGCACCTGCTTCAACAGCTCCGCCAGCCCAGCTGTAGCGTTCAGCGCTGACTCGTCCTCAACTGCCAGCATATTCGTGCTCAGGTACTGAGAAAGCCGGCCCGGAGCGTATCTCGGCTCTCTTCAGCTGCAAGGTTTTGGCCTGCGATGAGAAGGAGACCCATACGATGAAGCTGCTGCTACGACAAAAGTAAAAATATTCATGGGAGCGAAATTGCATCGCTATTACTCTTGTGCTTGTGTCTAAACTGTAACCCAGTAGGCCGTAGAGCTAGAAAGTGGATAATTATCAGCGCCGAAAGGTGCGCCCCCTTTTCCCAAGTCCGTGGCCGAATCGCCGATAGCGTAAGCAGCGTGCCTGCTGCTTCTCTGCCGCAGATGGCGCCCTGGTGGATGCGGCAGCGGCCGCTCCAAAACGCGAACTCACCCAGCGTTCCGTCTGTACAAAAACGCCCAAGCCACAAGGCTTGGCCCAGCGTACTGCCTCCCCTATCCATATAGAATAAAATAAAACGCCGCGGGTTTTCCGAGAGGACAGTCGCCAAAGATGTAGCGGAAGTCGGTCGTTTGCAAGATAAAATCAGCAAAATCTGCTGTCTCTGGCAAGGAGTTCGGGCTCGGAGCTACCCACTGAGACTATATATTCACTGGTAGTTCTCCAAACATAGTCTTTAGCAGACTATTGCTTGGAATCGTCCCTCAAGGCCCAGACTCTCCGGCCGAACTACAGCGGAATATAGGTAATCCACGACTAAGCTAATCTATCTTGATAGAGGCGACTAATTCGCGAATTACAGGGGGGGTTTGCCAACATACTGACAATCATAAATAATCAAAATTCTTTCATTTTACTCGAAATAGGTACGATTTCATCATATATTTCGAGACCTAACTAATCTTGCGGCGTGATAAGGCCATATCAAGCACGTACGAGAGACATATCTAGACCCACGACAGACCACATCAAGATCACACTCTAGAAGAGATCGCCCTAGAGATCGGAGAGTGCGGATCTGCTAGACTAGATAGCTCAGGAGAGAGCGAAAAGATCGCCCCACTCCAAAAGGGTGCAAAAGAGCACTACATAAACAAAATTGCTTTCAAGATCTGAAACAGAAGTTCCAGATCTTTACTGAAGAAGGACCTACTGAAAAAAGCAATACAAATAGTCGCTATCTTATCGAACAAAGGAGGTTCGAGATCGCTCCACTAAGTAGCATTCGTTTGGTCGCATATGGAAATCGCATTTGATCTCTCACCTATTCGCTCGACAAGTTAACACGATTCAAAGATCGACACTTGACTCATTTAATATCTTTCGGATAAGACGGAGCACACGAGTGAGAAGATGCATTTGGGTCCTACGCTATGTGAATAGAAGAGTGACGGAGTGGTCATTTAAGATAAATGGCCGCATATTCACACAATTACACAAATCAAGGCAAATTGGCCCGTCTTTCATAAGCATTGTTTTCTCTGTCAAACACACATGATTCACAGCCGATTTGCCACAAAGACTCTCAAGATTCAGGATTGTACTCAGGTCATCCGCATATAGCGTTTGACTTCTCATTTGTGTTGATTGTGTATTGGTCAGACCAGCCACAGTCCGAAAGTACATTTATTTGCGACATTTGTCGACGAGAAACCTTTTGGAGATGCCTTTGTGCTACATTTGTCACCATCGAATATCTGTGCCCGTTGGTCATGTATGGCCCAAGCCTCTCGGATGTCGTGTTGTTCTGTTCTCAGTGGCTCACACAAAGCCTCGCGCTCGACTGTCATCGGGATGATCTCACAAGACACGAATGTCAATGATCATGAATGCTACTTCCAATGCGCAGTCAATGCATAACCATAATGATCAACGCGTAGACTAGGCACGTTTGTACTGATCCTAGTCGTATGATGCATGTTCAGTCCGATCCCTTCTGACATGCCTATGCTGATGATGTATGATTCATCTTACCCAATGAACCAAACAGGGACTACACCAGCCAGAGATAGCAAGTCTCAGGCAGGAATGTCAAGACTTGCTTGCATTCAAGATTCTGACTTTGTGTTTCCACTGAGAAACGAACCAAGGCGCGGAGGCCTGTGTTCTTGTGGTCCAGCACTGGTCTAACCCTTGAGCGGCAAAAGTAAATACAATTGGAAGTAGTGAAGTAAAATAAAAATAAATCCATCAAAATGTCCTGCGAGGCCAGGGAGATCCTCAAGAAGTTGGGACAGAAGTCCGACTGGCGCGAGTGGCAACGAGCTGTACGTCAAGAAGCTAGTCGCCTAGGCTTACTTGAGAACTACACGAATGTAGTCAACGCGCCGGCCGTTCCACATGGTGCACCGCAAGGTAATACCAGTCGCGAAGAAGCGACCCGCCAGAAGTGGCGCAACCTGAAAGACATAATCATACGAAGTCTGAAAGGTGCGGCCAAGTCGTTCGTCGACAATCGGAATAACGATGGCGCGGTGGACGAAATGGATGCTGGTGAAGTTGTTGTTCTACTTCGTGATCAAGGGAACTTCAACGCAAACAATCGCCAGGAGCAGCGCATGAAGGTCAAGCCGTTGTCGGAGGGACTGATGAAGTTCCACAACAGCGACCAGCCTGCAGATGTCAAGGAGTTCCTCTCGAAGATCCGCGACATCATGAACCAATCGCCCACCGTCTTCCCGCCGGATGCAGATCTGCCCGAAGCTGATCAACAGAACGGAGCGATCCTGCTGAAGTTGCCTGAGTTGTTCTGCAAGAACTTCAGAGCGACTATCGAGCGGATGCAAGAAGAAGACGGCCTGACATTTGACCAAATTGGAGACCGACTTGAGAAACGTCCCACAACGTTGATCGAGGAGGGAACCTACAAAATTGAGAGCGACTCCTTCGGGAAAGCGTTTCCGGTCAATGTTCAGGAAACCTCGAACAAGCGTCCTCGTGAGCGTGATGATAAGAATGAGGATGATGACGAGGCAGAGGCCAATAAGGCAGATGGTAAGACCTTCACTTCCGCTAACGCCCTCAAGCGTTTCAAGCAGAAAGAAAAGAAGAAGGCAATCGCCGAGGTCTACAATTCCTACGGGTACCAACCCAAAGGAGGAAAGAACGGCGGACAAAAGCCGAAGAAAGATAAAGGAAAAGGAAATAACAAGCATACCTATCCACCCCGCTGTGCTTGCTGCCACAAGGTCGGACACACGTCCTCCGAGTGCTGGCATAACACGCAAGCCCTTCAACAGGGACAGGGAAGCTGGACTACCGGAGCCTCATCTAGTAGCTCTAGAGGCAAAGGTGGAAAGGGTAATAGCAGTGGCATGATCCACATGTCGCAGGTTGCGGAGATGCTCAACGTCATGAACTCGCACAGCCGAAGCTGAGCGACAGAACCAACCGTACGAATTTGGGAAGTGTTCGCTGAATTTCGAAGAAGATGAAATAACGGCAAATGTTTTTAGTTATGCTGATAGCTACAATACGGATGGATATAGTTTCACAACATTGAACACTAGAACACCAGAAGAAGCAACTCTAGTTGACAGTTGTGCAAAAAAATATCTATCACGACACAAAGACGATTTCGATGAAATTGGTCACAACATTTGTAGAATAACAGGTAGCGCAGGCACTAAAGACGGAAGAATCGGAAAACTCAAGAACAACATATTTGGACTAAAGAATGGAGCTTACTATGATTCTCTACCTGGAAACATAGATCGCGCATTGCCATGGTTAGGAGACGGAAACTGCTCACAATTAGGGTGGGAGTTCAATTTCAAAGGCACTGGTGGTTGTATCGTACACACGGACACCGGCCAGATGCTACCCATCAGAGCTCACCCACGCTTGCAGCTACCCGCACTCGCATGTAGTTTCTTTGAAAACAAGCACGAAAGTGGTTTCACTTGTGCATCCATTCGAGAAGGTGTCTCTAGTTGCTATCTTACGAGATTAGAACTACACAGGAGATGCGGACACTTTCACATAGATGGTTGGCAAGTTAGTTGCCCAGAATGTGACCTACATAAAGGACAACGAAGATCCCATGCAAATTCTAGAGACATGACCACCTACAAACCCGAACCCCTCAAACTACTTGCAATAGACTTTGCTGTAGGAATAAAACCTGTCTCAGTAAGATCTATGAGATGTGTTCTAGTTGTCATATGTGACGTAATTAAGAAGCAAGGCTTTTTGTCGACCGCTGAAGCTTAAGAGCGACTGTGTGGAGGAAATAGAACAAGTCATAAAAGGCATCCGACAGGACTACTCCTTATCGCTTGATGGCAAGGTAGTATGGTTCATCCGGAGGGATGGAGAGCCAGTCCTCGGCAGTGATGACATGACCAAACTCATGCAATCGCTGCGGGTCTCAGACAATCCGGCTGCTCCTTATAGTCCGGAAATGAATGAGACTGCTGAACGTTTTATGCGGGCCTTGTTTGGCAGCGTGAGAACAATGCCAACGAAGGTCGATCGACGTCTTTGGTGTTACTGTGTTGAGTACGCTAGTGACTGCTGGGATCGTCTTCCGCATAATTACGCTAAAATGCCAGAACACGATGGAAAGAGTCCAATAGAGACTCTAGAAGAAAGAACTGGTAGAAATTCTTCCAAAAGCAAAATCGGCATGCTCCGCCGATTTGGTTGTCTTGTTTACTTTCGTGAACAAATCCAAGCCAACACTCCTGAACCCAAGCTCTCGGCCAAGTATCGCCGTGGCGTCTTCCTTGGACTCTGTCCGAAGTCGTCTGGTTGGTTGGTTGCTACCTTCGCTCATGACGATCGTTGCAAGCTTGGATATCGATGGGCGGAATACTCTACCCTAGATGTCAAGTTCAGAGAGGGCTATCTAATAAAGGACATAGATTGGCTAACGCCAGATAGAAAGGGCTTTTACTATGAGTGCGATGAACTGGAAAACTTGCAGCGTGGAGCGTCGTCGCTGGGCTCCCCCTTGATTGGGCAGTCAGTGCAAAGGCTGGATCAGCAATCGGGGTTCTCTGGCACGGAGCGCACCTCAGGTGGACCGACCGGCATTCCCGAAGAACTATATGCTGAAACCTTAGACAAGAAGGCTGAATCCGACGTGACTGACTCTCCTGAAGGTGTTTCACTTGAGGAGGGGAAAGTTGAAACGAAGGATCGAGTCTCTGACTCACCTAGTCCGACTAGATCGAAAGCGCTATCTCCCGCACGTGTTGTGGCAGGCGAACGCCATACACACAGCAAGAAGCGTGGCCGACCGAAAGGAGCCAAGGACAAGGCTGGAGGAAGGATTCGTAGAACAAAGAAACAGATGGAAGAACTCAGAAAGGGTTTGGCGCTGTTCGCAAGTGCTACTGGTGGCACGTGCGAGATCGACGAAGATGAGGAAATCGTCGAATCACATGTGATGCTGTCCGTTGCCAATGCGTTAAAGAGTCCTGAAGCTGAAAAGTGGAAGGAAAGAAGTCATTGACATTGAGCACGCGAGACTACTAGCCTTTAAAACGTGGGAAGAAGCTACTGACGAGCAGCTAGCAACCGCGTTGCGGGCTCTACCAATTGCCATCATACTAACAAGAAAGAGATGTGGAAAATACAAGGCAAGAGCCTGCGTACTCGGTAACTTAGATCGTTCAGGAGAGCTAAACACCTTTGCTCCCGTGGTATCGCATGCCGCTAATAGGTTGCTCCTCACTTCTGCTGCGTCAGAAGGGGGCTATGTGATCCCGTTCGATTTAGATTCAGCGTTCCTCAATGCCGAACTCGATCGAGATGCCTACTGCCGTCTTCCACCCATCTGGGCGAAGCAGCATGGATACGAGATCGCGAAGCTCAAGAAAGCTCTATACGGCTTGAAGGATGCACCACGAGCATGGTCCAAGAGCAGAGGCATCACGAGACTCTAGCCAGTCTTGGTTGGGAGCCGTGTACTTCTGCACCTGGATTGTGGCGCAAACCGAGCAGCAAAGCACCGGGGAAGTTCCTGAAGATGTCTGTCTATGTAGATGACAATCTTGCTACAGGTCCTGACCAAGATGAGCTCAAGACCGAACTAGACCTCATTTTCACACGTGCTCCAGGCCGTGCGATTGAAGTCGAGTCAATTCTAACCCCCTGGGGTCTCGAATGGCTAAAGTTCGACTTCTTAGGTGCGATCGTGTACTATGGCCGTGAAGCTAAGTCGTTCAGACTGTGCATGGAGCAGTACATCGATAAAATTGCTAAGAAGTATGAAGCTCAACTAGGGAAACCGGTTTACTCGCCCAACTTTGACGAAACAACTTTTCTTGAAGACGGGATCAAGATAGTTGATGGGTATCCCTTTCGTGAGGTAGTTGGTGCCTTACTATGGGTAGCTGTAACCGCGCGCCCGGATATCTCTGTTCCGGTAGCAGCGTTGGCTAGACATGTCAGTAAACCCACGTCAACAAGAATGGCCAAAGCAGCCAAGAAAGTCCTAAAATGCCTGGTGTCAACAAAAGACCAAGGAGTAGAATACTCACCAGAAAAGGAAGAAGAATTCAACAAAATATATGAGAAACTTCTACCAGAAGGCAGAGACATGCCAGAAGTAAACATATTCAGTGATGCTGGTTTCGCGAACTGCATCAAAACAATGAGGAGTACTAGCGGCTCCATAATGTACTACAAAGGTACACCCATAGCATGGAGAAGTAACAGACAAACGGTTAGAGCCTACTCAACGGCTGAAAGTGAGTATATTGCAGCCTCTGACACGATAGTGCTCAGTGAGATGCATGACTTCACAGACTTCTATAGGCCTCTTCCAACTCAGTTGGTACACACACAGAACGGCTTGTCTCCCTCCTTAGACAATGCTGCATTGTGGATAGACAACCAGTCTGCGATCACAACAGCCAAAGCAACAGACGCTCGCCCTAAAAGTAGACACTATGCTTTACGTTATCTAAGAGTGCGCGACGCTGCTAGTAAGATCGTGCTCTGTCCTACCAACTTGATGAAGGCAGACCCACTTTCGAAACTAACCGGCAGTGCCACTCAGCGTAGACTTATCCTACACCACGTAGATAACCCGATAACTACAAGTAGAGAAGATGACTGCGATTCCTCTGATGATGAACCAGATGAGGACGATTTAGCTTACTATAGTGTAATGTATTCGGTTTATTTTGGTTTCTAAACCACCGTAGCCAGGTCACATACACTAAACAAGAGACGTGATTGCCGTGACTCAACACACAGTGAGGCGGTCACGTGAGACGGACTTCGACCCGCATCGATTGAGGAGGGGCGTTGGTCATGTATGGCTCAAGCCTCTCGGATGTCGTGTTGTTCTGTTCTCAGTGGCTCACACAAAGCCTCGCGCTCGACTGTCATCGGGATGATCTCACAAGACACGAATGCCAATGATCATGAATGCTACTCCCAATGCGCAATCAATGCATAATCATAATGATCAATGCGTAGACTAGGCACGTTCGTACTGATCCTAGTCGTATGATGCATGTTCAGTCCGATCCCTTCTGACATGCCTATGCTGATGATGTATGATTCATCTTACCCAATGAACCAAACAGGGACTACACCAGCCAGAGATCGCAAGTCTCAGGCAGGAATATCAAGGCTTGCTTGCATTCAAGATTCTGACTTTGTGTCTCCACTGAGAAACGAACCAAGGCGCTGAGGCCTGTGTTCTTGTGGTCCAACAGTACCGGAATTATCCATATTCTAAAAGACGCGAGATACACGCCTTTCCAGGTAGTGTTGCCATTAGGGACGCATCCCCATTTTAGATGTCTTAACTGTGTGTTCTTAATTGGTTCAAGTGGTGGAGAACGATACTGGCAACTAGTGCCATAATTTGGGTATTAGTGTAGTTATAGTAACGTTGGCATAGTAGTGCTTACATTATAGAAACCCTAAAGCTTAACGCTGTATTACATAACGCGCGTTGGTTGTGAGTCTAGCCAGCTCACCCCGTCGACCGTGTAATACATACCCTGCGCATTCTGGTGCAATAGAGTTTATCCGGGCGTCTTGGCGGGCAAGCGGATATCTCGAGGCGCAACATATAGGCTTGCGCCCTTTGTTGATTTATATTTATCAATCTGGTTTATTTCTGATTTATTTGCCGGCTTATAGTTTCTGCTTAAGAATACTATCTGCCACGCCAGGTTTGCATTTATACGAATATTTGCATCCTCACTTTATTGTCTCTAGTATATCTACTTTACGTTATGTTAGAGCCTATAGATAGACCTAAAAAAAAATGTCCACTCACGAGGCGACAGCATCGGGTCGGCCGATACGGAACCCATTCACCCCGAGCCTGACCTTACAGGGGGTCCGAGTTGATGGAAGTCCGGTTGATCTCGACGGGCTGGGTATCTCTGATGACCCTTCCGGCTTGCAAGATAGTGGACTTTTCGAGTCTCCGAACCCGCGTGGTGCCCCTGAGACTGATCTTTCCTCTGCAGCTCCGCCTCCGTTCGCCCCGCAGCTTCCTGTTTCGAACCTTTCTCCTATCAGTGAGCGGGATGATGAGTCTCCGGCTCTTGCTCCTGTTTTGCGCACTTCGACAAACTTACCTCCACTCCGACATCAAACGGGGCATGGAGGTATTTTAGTCGGGCAGCGCTTGTTTGGTGATAGTGACGATCTTACGGACATTGAAGCGCTAACCTCGCAGGGAACGGAGGCGCGACCGAGTGCTCCCCCGGATTCAGGCATCTTGTATCCAACATCTTCTGCCTCCGCGTGTGATGTTCGCTCGGACCAGCAACCGGCGAGTCTGGAGCCGGTGAGGCCGCCTATTTTTGACGTTGAAAATCGAAGATACGCTCCCAAAGTTCCTCGCCTTAGGTCTTCCAACAGCGCGACGAGCCGCGCTGCAGACTATCGCGCAGTCAATGCAGACGCAGATCAAAGTCACACTCAACATCAGGGAAGTAGAGATCTGACGCAAATGCCAGAACTACAAATGGAGGACTGGAGGACGATTCTTCTCGAAGAGGCTCGAAGAGAAATCCGCTCCGAGTTTTCAAGGAAATTTTCGGACCAAATGGCGGAATTCCAGCGCAGACAGGACATCCCCGATGATGCGATTGCACGATTTGAGGCTCGGCCCTCTACTGGAGCTCAAAGCCTGCCTGTAGCGCCGAAAGTGTCTGCAGCAGATTCCATCCTACCATATCCTGGGCGGAGTGGCTGTTCTGCCTCTCGAGCACGTGCTGATTGCCGCCATGTGTGGAAATGCGGCTCGGTTGTTCGGAACGACAGTCCGGATTCCAGAAATGCGGGCGGTCGGAAGGTCATCCCGAAATGTCAGATATGAGCCAGCTGCGGGCTCTTGCCAAGATCATCGATTGGAGCCGGTCGGCGAGTTTGAGGACCTCCCTGACCCGCCGAACTCGCCACTCAAGAACCAAGGTTCTGGGCAAAGTTTAAAGACGACTCGAGTCCACCATCCCAACATCTACGGACCGACGGGCTTGAGCGCCGACGTCTATCCGAGTGTTGACGGCCGGGACGACCCCGATCGCCTTTGCACACCTCTCGAAGATCTTCACACAGAGCGAAGCGGCCGAAGTGACCCTTTAGAGCACCAAGCTCGATTGGAACCGGTAGTAGTTGAAGGTTCAGGAAGAGTAGACGCCTTTGCGGCGAGAGACTGCGATGACTTGTTTGCAGATGCGGTTAACTCTGGGTTTTCAGTATGGATAACAGGAGAAACGCAGCTCGGCCGATCCGGTGGCAACTATTCACTGCCTCGAGTTGATTTTCTCACTCCTCAGAATAACGCGCAACGAGATAACAGAGAACTCCTGGAACAGTGTTTGGCCCGCACTACTGCTATGTTGAAAACGAGGCTCGGGACTGTTTCGGCATCCATCTTGACTTGTCTGCACGGAGTCTTGCTTGGAGCTGCGTTCTCCGCAGGACGCGCTACTCGCAGTGAGAGGATGAGGCATCATTTGGAGTTCCCTTCTGAAAAGTCTCTCCGACTTTGGACAGCTGCCTGGGACCTGTTTAAACAACAAGGAGCAGACGGCCTTTGGTGTAGTGAGGACAGTTCGATCCGTATTGAACATGTCTCCGCTGGCTACAAGGGCAAGGCGCTAGCGTCGCCCGGAAGTGGTGCGGAGTATAATACTTGTATTTGTCTCCTACGGTCGCACCTACAGGTGTACTCAGGATCCTACGCTCGTCTACTGGACCTGAAGAACTTGGTTGGCGTGTTGTTAGACCTCGGAAATCTTGTGGTCGCCTGCCTATTCCTGGACATACAGCGGCGCCTTTTCCGCCAGTTACAGGTGGTCCATTCGCCGCACTACGTAGTGACTTTGCCTCGCCAGCCGGCCGGAGCGACCCAGTAGCATCATCTGTGCAAGGTCTTGCCCCACAGAACGCAGCGAAGGCTGAGGCGATTTCACGAACCCCGCACTTCGGCACTACGAGCTTACCATCGCACTATCCTCCAGGACTGGTTCCTGAGTCGCCGTCTATGGACCTGATATATGCGCCGGCACTCCCACCTGGCGGGGTCCCGAGCTTAGGAGCAGGTCATGGAGATACAGCTATCCCGTCGTCTGCGGTTTATCACCCTGCGCGACCTTCGACTTCAGGAACCCGCGGACACTCGACAGCCGCCAGTGCGAATTCCGCCCTTCCAGAGCCCGGGCCGACCGGACAACATCTAGCAGAGCATCAAGCGTCTGTAATGGGACCTAGTGGACCGCCAGCGAGCACTCATCTACCGGTCAACCAAGCCAGATCCGAGCTAAACCGGTCTGACGTCGGAGTTGGTGGGCCCATTACACCGCCTCTACCAGCACCGAGGCCTATTTCTACCAGGCATAATTTGGAGCAGAAGTTTCTAGGGGAGATTGGCAAAATCAACGCTAAGGAGACCGAGAAGTCCGAAGCATATCCTGTGTTCCAGAACTTTCTGACCTTTACAGAGACACATCAGCCGAAGGGCGATGTGTCTGCAGGGGTGCCCACACCTTCAACGAGCAGCTCCAAGATGATGCAACCTTATCGCAGAAACATGCCTTCGGCACCGCCCATAGTAGTGGAAGAGGTCGCTGACGACAATCTCTCAGCTCTTTTCCCACTGGAGCTGACCATCCAGAACATGGCCAGTAAACATATTTCATCACTTGTGTCTGGGTCTGGCAGCACTTTTCAAGCCATTGCCCGCCGCCTTAACGGAGCCGCCACACTTGGAGGGTCTGGCGCCAAGCCGCTGGAGCGACAGGCGCCCTCCATAACCTGTGAGGCAGGCATGTCCCAGGTAGCAATGAACGAACGCGAAGCCCTGTGGAAGTTCCTCAGAGACTTCGACTTCACGCAGACTGCTTTCGAGGCCGTCAAAATCGAGTCGAAAGTAGGAAGAGATGCGTGGGACATTGCGAATGCGGTGTCCGGTGACTTAAACAAGGCGTATGCACTGTTCACGGAACTAGAAAAGGGTTGGAGACTTACATATCGAGGCGTCATCCGAGAAGTACAGTCGCAGAGGAGCTTGCCGATTGGGCAAAGGTTTGAGAATGCAAGGGCCAACCGTCTCCAGTGGGCACAACAGCAGAAGGGGCACATCTCCGAGCTGAACCGCCTCTACTACCCGAATTCAGATCCGAGTAGCCGCAACGATAGTAAAGTCTTTCACGCAATTCTTAGACCGCTTCAACAGCAGGGCATGTTCATGGAAAACATGTATAAGACCATGAGACAGGACGCAGCCATAAACGGGCGCGCCTTTGATATTGAGGCGGGCCGACGCCTTTCAGAGGTCCTTGAATTCGTCATCAAGGACGCACTTGAGGGTCAGTCAATAGATCCGGATAGATTCTATAGGGAACGACAACCCAAGAAGAGAACCTTCAGAGTCGCCGACTCAACGAGGAGCAGGGCGATCAGGAGGACTACAACAACGAGTATCAGCGAGGTGGCACTTTAGAAGGGCCATCCCTTTCAGGTGCGGACACCCGAAATAAACTCGACGTCGCAGACCTACTTTGGAGGTCCACAGAACCGAACCAGACAAAAGGAAAAGGATCAGGTAAGAACAGTAAGAAGTGCGGCGGTAGTCACTCTCGACTTGACTGTGTTATATTCCACCTTATTACAGCTGCCCACTGTTTTGCGCACACTACTACACCGCAGAACGTGGATTGTCCGACTTGTGGCACTAAACATAGCAGCATCAAGATACGACGCGAGGGAGTGTCGGATCAAGTTTGGATCTGTGCTGATCTGATTGCAAAATGGAGAACTGAAAACGGCGCCAAGATGCCAACTGGCACTTGTTTCAACTCAGTGGACAAGAACCAGCTGGGCTACCTTTTCAAGAAGGCTTTGCAGGCTTTTACTGAGAAGGAGCGGTCGTTTGATAAGACTTTTGTTGAGAGCGAAAGAGTCTCGCAAGCGTTACGCGAGGCACGGCTTATGGACCACGTCGTAAACCAGTACAAGCCCCGAGTGGCACGTTCCAAAGTCAGAGATCTAAAACATAAAATGCTTCAGACGGTGCGACATCTCGGAGGATGGGATAGCAGTTTGACACGAGATCAGAGAGTTCGAGTCTCGAAACAGCAGTCCGAGACTAAGCCACCGCGTCAGGACCCGACCCAGCGGAAGGGCAAGCAAGAACCTGCTGTAGCGACACCGTTCGGACGCGTGACCGACGGGACTTTGGCCGAAAGATCCCGGTCGCTTCAGAGAGTGTCTGAAGCTCCTGCTGCACCCCGCTCCCCTACGGTTTCACCACCAACGCCACGACCTCAGCAAGAGTTTCCGACCCCGCCACCTATGCCGTCGGGACACAGATATCGGCGCTTAGAGGTATCCCAAGAGCATGCTGATGCCCTTAGGAAGCGCCACGAAGCCAACCTTTCGATCCCGACAAGGCCACCGCCTTCGTCCACAAACTTCTCGCAGAGGTTTCTGACCCCGCCACCTATGCCGTCGGGGCACAATTATCAGCGTCAAGGTGTATCCCAAGAGCATGCTGATGCCCTTAGGAAGCGCCGCGGACCCGACCTTTCGATCCCGACAAGGCCATCATCTCCTTCCGCCATCTTCTTGCAGAAGTTTTCCACCCCGCCACCTATGCCGTCGGGATGTAACTACCGGCGTTTAGAGGTATCCCAAGAGCATGCTGATGCCCTTAGGAGGCGCCACGAATCCGACCCTTCGATCACGACAAGATCATCACTTTCCTTCGCCAACTTCTTCTCTCGTTGCCCTTGTAACAAGAGCTGCTTGCGGAAACGGCGAGGGAACACGAACGAAAGAGAGGCCCCTCCGAGTGGAGTTTCATCTGACAGGAGGGCCCGAATGTTTGATACAGGCCGTTATCAACAAGCCGCCTCAAGGACTGTCGGCGCCGACCCGGAGGACATGCACACAACCGATGACGGCGATTCTGTGTCGGGCGTAGGCCGCAAAGTGGTCCGAGACACGTTCACCGGAACTTTGCCAAACGTTGCTACCCCTTTCTCGACGAGCAGATCTACATCAGAGGATCCCTGCTTGGTGCATGTAACTCCCGCCCCACAGTCGGGCGACTTCGAGAGCCTTTGGAAAGTTAACCTGTCTACGAAGGGCATGCTTAAATTTCTGGAGAGGAGCCCTCCCTTTCAGGAAATTGTGGAAGAAGATTCTGGACAACAGATCCGCGGTAACATAGTTATTGTCTCGTTTCTGTTCAACGACACCCAGGAGATAGTGGAATTTTTCCACCCACACGGTAGCAACATGCTGTTCGCCTTCCAGAAAAAACGAGTTTTGGACGAATGGGTAAGAATAGCTTTTCAAGCTGAGATCTGTGTGGATGTCGGACCTACTACAGTCGAAGATGAGGATGACGCGGTAGCGCACAAACTGGCACAGCTACGATGTGCTCATATCCAGGCAGAGCGCCGACGTCACTACCGTAACGCTGAGTCCCATTTTACGGAGAGGCTCGGGCTGCGCTGCAGTCCTGCTGATGTTGCAGGACTTTACACGAGTGATGGACCGAGATTTCGAGGCTCCCTGAATGCTTCGCCTGAGCTTAGTCAAATTGGACCTGGAGGCAAGCGCATTGCCCCAGAGCCATTGTCAAACCGAATTGCAGCAGCAGTGGCACTACCACGAGACGGAGAATGCCCTGAGTATTCCGTTGTCAGCATTTTGCCCGATTCTGGTTGTGCCGTCTCCAGGCACTTATACGGAAACTCTTTGGGAAACCGGGACTATTTTGACCACCTTGGAGTGAAGATCCAACGCGACACGAGCAAGGTCGAGTATACTGCCTTTGGTTCGCCATCTGCAGGCGTCCAGCAAGGGGTGCTCGAATATTGTGAAGCATCTCTTGCCTTTGCAGGGTATGACTCCGAGGAGAACTACACTTCCCTTTCAGAAGGGCTCGCAGCCCCGTGCAGCGTTTTGCCATCAAGGTTTCGATATATTAAAGCGTCAGCAACAATCGAGGACGCTGTTAATGGATCAAGATTTTCATGGCTGAAAGAGCCGGAGAATATGGCTGATCTTGGTGGTGCCACAGTACCAGGCACGCTTGTGCTGATGCTAGTGCCGTGGTTGTATGAGCGCGATCGAATTGTTTTAGGAGTAAACGATATGGCGCGAATAGGGTACTGCTTAAACGACACGAACCCGGTTGGCGGCATTTGTGACAAGCTAGGGTGTATTTTGCTCAGCAGGTTGCAGAACCCTTTAACAAAGCAGATTGCGCCCCTCTATGTGCATCGACTCCCTCACTGGATTGACAGTCCGGTCTTCCAGAATACTCGACGGGTCCACTTCCCACCGGAGGGCTGTGGCCTTTGCGAAACCCGCGAGATCTCTTCCTGCACAGAGGAGAATTTGGATAGCATGCAGCAACCACAGCACACTCAGCCAGATGAGCCGCTGCCAGTGTTTTGCCGGCTGGACAGTCACATCTTAGAAGTGTCGAGATACGGCAGATTTTCTGAATTTAGTACGGACGATCCGGATTCGACCTCAGAGCCTTTAGGTGCCCTGCGTTCATGCTCTGTAGAAGAGGCAGACAAAGATGTCCCAGAGCACGCCAAAAAGGCAGTGGAGGAACACGCCAAGAACGGATCTGATACGGATGAACTTCGGAGCGAGTTTGTCCCAAAGTTCTCAGTAGCCTGTGGGGCCTGGCAGTTTCTTATTCTAGTGGTTCAGCTTCTTTACAAAGTGGTGACTCCTATCCTCCGTATTGCAGCGGTGGAAGGGTGCGCCTTTGAGTGGCTACGATCCGCCAAGGTCGGATGCTTTGTTGGACTGGATCATGCGAAAGGATTTCTCCAGTTCCTACTTCACCCCAAGACGCAGAAGGTTACCGCACTTGGATATGGTACTAACGTTTATGTGCCGCTGCGGATGTTCTTGGGGCTTGTTTTCGCGCCAGCAGTCTATTGTCTTTGGGTCTCATTGGTTTTCTTCAACCTACAAGATCCTGGATTTGATTCAAAAGTACTAGCAGCAATTGCAACGGGGTCAATGGGTTATGACGCACTCGTTGACCAACACGGGCACGAAATAAGCAAGAGCACACATTTGCCGCCTTGCCGCACTAATGGATCAGACGACCTTTTTGGCGACTCCTTGTATGTTGACCCACCTTCAGACGAGATGCAGGGCGTAATCAATTCACTGCAGGAGAGTCTTCCGATTGGACGACGCTACAGCGTACCATACATGGACGATTGTAACTACAGAGCAGATAACGCGCTCCAACTTCTTTTCCGGCTCATACAATTTCTAGCGCGTTGCTGTGCGTCCGGATTTAACTTTTCACTCAAGAAAATCTCTCTCGCCATCAGAGTTTACATACTCGGGTGGGAGTTAGATTACGAGCAACGCTGCAGGAGACCAGATCCGCAGAAGGTTGCATCTCTGGCTAGGATGAAGATGCCTACTACGCTTAAAACGCTTAAGAGCTGGGTGTGTGCAGTCAACTACATGCCATGCTCTATCCGCGAGTGGCCCAAGATCCTGGACTTCTTTACCGACTTCATGACGAACAAGAGGCCCATCAAGGAACTCGCATCTGACCCGCGAGCACGAGAACTGTTCAACCAGGCACATTCTGATCTGATACGGGCAGTCGAGCTTTGTGAGTTGGATGTAGATTCAGCCATCCGTTGGAAAGAGACAGGAGGACTCCTACGATTCGGCATTGACTCATCCAGAGAAAGACGCTCTGTTTTTGCAGTCCAGAAACAATTGCAGAAACATCGAATCGCCTTCGCCTCACATTGGAAGTTTGGCGCAGAGGACCAAGTGAGGAACGCTAACAGCTCAGGACGAATGGAACTTCTTGGGTTGCGTTATTTTGTCCGAGAAATTCTCCCACGCATTCCGCTGGCTGCCCCGATAGCACTGCTTTACGACTGTTCGTCACTCGGCGTCCGAGAACTACTTACGGAATCATTGGACGGGCGTTCTCAGCGGTCTGCTCTGCTGCGAAATCCACGCCGCCCTTTCATCTCGAGTTGTGTATCGGGTTCATCGGATTGGTGCATCTTCAAACCTAGAAGATATTGGTAGCAGACATATCGAAAACGCGGAGGGTGGGTGTTGGGTTACCAGAGTCAACGTTTGAGGAATGGCGGGACATTGTCAAGAACTTGCTCTCCCGGGTATATCCGGTCGGACAACCGCTGCGGACTGTCGCCGTTGTCCCCACTCTTGGGGAGACTCTCACGCTCCTCTCACTCGAACATCCATTATTGCATGCGGATGGTTTGTCCTGGGTAGTCGAGAAGTCGAGCCTCGCGCCAGGAATCCCGAGTCTCCATGAGATTCAAGTAGATCCGTGCTCTGTCTTCCATCGCTCACGCGACGACGAATCCTACCATATTTCCGTCGGTGTCAGTTTCACCTCTATGGTTTCAGTGCCCGGGGCTCCGCTGGTGTTTCCGCTAGCGGATCTTGCGCGAGGAATCCAGTTTAACTGCACTCTTGTAGATAAGAGTAGCAGGGTCCTCCGTCCTATGCTCGTTTTGAGAGACGCCGTTACAGGAGATCAGCTTAAGCGCGTTCGTGTCCGCATGACTCAGATAAGTGGAATGGCGCAGGACGCACCAGAGGCAACACAAGATGACGCCGACAAGTCACAGCATTTGAGGTACAAGACATACAGAAATGCGATTTCAGGAGATGCAACCGAGGAGCAGACTAAAGAGGAAATCGCAGCACGAGAAAAGAGCATGCCTGACACAATTGACACGGCCCAGTGGGAGGAGATCACTTCCAAGACGCTCTCTAAGAGTCTGACGCTGCTTCCTTTCCTGCTGCGCATGATGTTCATCAAAATTGTGCTGATATTCCGAGATAAGGTCTGGGGCCCTGGACGGCCTTTCCCTACAGTCCAGCTGTGTAAAGTCTACCACCCGTTGGACGCGAGAAGTCCTTTCGGTGTGGCCCGCAAATTTACACTTCCCGGAGTACTAGACACAGTCATCTTGTTCCTATTACGAGAAGGCTGCGCCGAAGGCTTTCTGGCGCCTTACCATACGTTTGCAGCGCAGATTGGCGCGCCGTCGTTTCTCAGCTCCATTTTCCTTGCGAAGAGAAAGGGATCTTTGTTAGGGCGATTGGTTGTTGACGCTGCCGCGTTGAGCCGCGCATTGCTCCCAGTATCATGGCCGATTAACATATGCTCCGAAGTTTGGTCTGAGCTGCTTACGGGGTCTGAGGTTGTTACGACCAACACAGATATACCGCAGCAACAAGGAGCCATCTGCCTAGAGGACAACTCGACGCAGACTCTTGCTGCTGCTCCTCAGACCCGAGTCACTGACTTGGAAACTTGCGCTTTGAGCCACTTGAGAAGCCTTCTTGAGCGTAAGGCGGCTCGAGTTGTTTTAGTGCATCAGATCAACTGTGTTACGCAATCCGCGAAAGGCATTGCGAAGACGATTCTCGATCTGTTTCCTTGGGCAAACATCTATAGCGACGGTTCGAAAAGAATATTAGGGAGTTGCTATTTGAGATGGGAGCCTGATAGCGAGAAGTTTGGTGTCGCTGGACTTGCTGGACAGCATTATCCTGGCAAAGCGGTGCAAGGGTTTGACGACTCACTCCGCCGCCTTCAGCACTTCAAGACCTCCCTGACTAGACTCAGTGATCTAGTGAAGGCGCACAGAAAGACAGACGACAAGGAGGCGATTGCGGTTTTTCCCGCCCGAATTGGCTGCACCCTCGCAGGAGGTGACTGGGAAAGCTATCGCGAGTGCATCCAGAAGTGGCGAGAAGTGGGCGAGTCTTTCTGTTTCTCACAATGTTTCATCTGTTCGAGGCCACCAGCGAAGTTCGTGACCCCGACGGCGCCTGCCGCCTTTGCTTCAGACTCGCAATTAGAAGAGGGCGACATAGCTGACGAGGACAGCGCGGCAAAGGAAGAGAAGCTACTCCCAGCAGCGCCAACACCTAATACAGTGACCAAGATCCGACTACCTTGTGTACGATTTTCGCTACATGTTAGAAGAAAGACGGATGAGCGGGGTGATAGTTTGGTTATCACAGTCCCAGACACTTCTCTTTTGCCTCCTTCAGGCTCAAGGTGGTTGCGTTTTAGGGATGATTGGCCGTGCCCAGCGGATCGCGCCTACGAGATTGTCCTCAAGATGTTTGGACACTCCCTTGGGCATCCTAAGGAACATTCATGGCGCGAGTTCAAAGCGCTTCCGAGCCGAGAAACGACGCGCAAGGCGGATGTCTGGCATTCGTGGTCATCCTATTTGCCGAAGAAGGCAAAGCTACATGACCCACAGAACCCGCTCTGTCCAACAGCGGTTCGACTATATGAATGCGATACATACACACAGCTCAGATGTGGATGCAGTCTTGCAGTAGATGTTCCTGAGGTGGGGCCGCCACCGGGACCTCCCTGCGACATCCCAGACATGCTACTCCCAGGTGGAATTGAGACCGATTCCAAACTGCTGCTTGAGAAGCTTGACACCTTGCCAGAGGGAGATCATGTTTTTCATGACGATTCCAACGTGGATGGTTCTTTCTTCGGGATAGCAGAGAAGTTCGATAAATCATCTCATCCGGGAGACCTTGGACATTCGTGGACCACAATTCACGCACTTATTGGCACAGGAGACGCTGAGTCCTACAAGTGTGAAGGCGCCTGTAGGTTCTATTTCATCTCTGCCAAGGAAAAGCGGACACCTGTAGCGGATGGAGATTTGAGCTACACACCTCTAGGCGGAGGTCTGCTACAGGAGGACTTCGAGTATGCAGGTGACGCCGATCAGAGCCATACACCTACGGATGGCGACCCGTTCGGCGGACCCCCTGTAGTTGCGCCCGCCTTTAAGGAGCTCCCACGTAAGCGGAAATACCGTATCCGGCGACATGGAGGGCCTCACTTTTTCCAGATAGTGGGCAGTGACTTTCTAGAAACACGAACGAAAGAGACAGTCTATGTGATTTTCTGCCGAAAACCAGTCGACTTCCTTTCGATACCAAGCAACTTTCTTGCTCGACTTGCAGAAGCGCAGAAGTCTCAGTTCTTTGCGCGGTTTGCGGCACTTGAGGCGCAGACCCGACATCCGGACTCTTCTGGCGCAGCCACTGCGCAGTCTTGTCAGAAAAAGGAAAAGTCGGCTTCGAAACGGAAAGCGATGGCCTTCCTTGAAGAATCCAATCGCTATCGCATTTACGCAGGAGCATTGCGACAGCGAGTGACAGGCGAATACAAATTCCTCCTTACCACTCTCCTTGAGGCAGAGCCACTGGAATACGAAGGGAAAGAGTACGCCCACACATCGACTGCGGTAGCGGTGGTTACACACATTCACGATGACGCGCACTCCAGCCGCGGGGTTTTGCACTGCTTAGTAATGCGCAGAGGATTCTTTACTACGGACCTTTCTACCCTTTGCGCACGAGTGGTCGACGCGTGTCTTACCTGCTCGATGTCACCCGCTGCATTTCACTACGACATCCAGACGCAGCCTCGTTTGGAGATGTACAAACACCGGGGCACGGTTCTGTTTGTCGACGGACTTCGTCACCAATCTTGGACCGAGTAGCTTTGGCGCGGTTCGAGGGTCAGAGTACGCCTCTATCTTCACGGCCACGGATGGCCGAAGCAACCTCACTTGGGCAGTGCCGACCCGTGACTCAACTGCAGATACAGCAGCGCGGGAAACATTCAACGCCATGCTTTCTACGTTCCAACTTTATTCGTTTATCAGGTGCGATAACGGATCGCACTTTTTGAGGGAATTTCTTGACGCCTTGAACTCGCTGGCTTCAAAGGTTGCCCCCAGCCACACGGTTGGCACGTGGCATTCGCCACACTACCTTGCATCCGGGAGTTGGATTGTGGAGCATCCGCATGCTCTTTTGAACTTCCTGATCCGGATTTTTCACCTCCAGTCGGAATCCAAGGCTCACCTCAAACGAGATCCAGACTCAGGACATCTTCAAGTCAAGAAGTTGCCTAAGGGATTTAAAGCACTTGTCGGCACTCATCGGATTGAGCCCGACTCTATTCCAGAAGACAAGGCGCTCCTCCCAGAGGATGCAGCTAACAACTCAGAAGAAGATCATCAGAACGACATTTCTTTACAGGAATCCGAAGCAGAAGTGGAGCTTGGATGCCAGGAGGATGAGTTTGTCGACGCGGTTGAGGATGATCTGTTTGCGGATTTTTCGATCACCGCGCGTTCAAAGAAGAAAAGTAAAGACCTTGACGACCCTCAAGAGGAGGAAGTTGCTTTGCTTCCTATTAATTGGCGTGAGTTTGTTCATCGCGCTGCTCTAGCACTTGCTCGCAGCCCATTGCCTTCTCTTGATGGAGCGTCGACTCTTGAGCGCCATACAGGCTCCAACTTCATCACTACAAAGGAGGAGGCTTTTGAATCGTCACCGTGCGTCACAGACGCTTGCGGGCGAGGTCTCGCTAGCAGTTCGACGACGAAGGCAGGCCGATTCGATTTACTATGCAAACCGACTCCGAAACCATCATAAAGGGCTCCGCCGTGAAGCCGCAAAGGATGACTTGCGCACTCAGATGGGGTCCATTGTGGTTCGACTTCGTGCCAAGAAGGGCAAACTCGAGAGCCGCATGCTCCCACGACTCTTTGTTGTAACACGTCGAGGCTCTAATAGTGCATCGATGCAACTTTTGTCAGGAGCACCACACAAGCTAGGTAATCCGCAAAGCATCAGAATGATCCGCCCGGTCGAGTTGTCTCATGGCGCGATCATCGTGTACCTTTCGAAATGCCTGACCCGACGAGAACTGGCGAAACGTGTAGTGGAGCTTGAGGAGCTCGAGGTATTCCCACAGGGTCAGCATGCGCGCACTCTTGCAGCATTCCGCACCGGGGTCGATCGTAGTCTCCCGACACCTACAGACTCGCTTAGTGCGGTCAGCTACACCATTGACGGACTTGCAGCGACCTTGGAGGACTCTAAAAGACTGCAAGACTTTTACTCGGTATTTGAAACTTCTCCGCATTTCGTTTTTATCCAGGAAGCCAAGCTTTCAGCAACCACAGAAACGAAGTTTCAGAAACTACTCGAGGAGCATTTAGGATCGAAGTATGTCATCTATTTCCGAAATTCAACTACGCGCGTCGGCTACAGCAGCCCTGCAACCTTTGTTCGCCGAGATTTTAGACATCGGTACTGTGGCGACCAGTTGGACTACAGCAGCATCCCAACATCGGGAGGTATCTTGGGTTTTGCAGATCGCGAAGGCCGGTTTGCAGTGCTCGAGTTCGATTTGTTTGGGGTTACAGCGCGCATCGCGAATATCTACAGTGTCAATTCTTCGGAGGAGCTGCGCCGATTTGACGTTGCTCAAGCCTTTGGCAAGGCGCTTGGTCAGTGGTTTGATACTACCGCCCCTTCCATAGCCTTTGGGGATTTCAGTCGACTTTTGTCACGATGTCACGTTTGCTTGCATAGACGCAACGATCGAGAGACGCCGTCTTGTAGCAAACGGGAGACAAAATCCCTCCAAGACAGTCTACTTGGACGGGCGGCAGCGTGCGTCACACAAGGAGATGGCACCTGGACTTTCCGCTGCCAGCCCAGACAAAACGGGTTTCGCAGTTGACTATTTTGTTGCGAATAAAGCAGCAGTGACACACTTCGAGAAGAGCGCCAAAAGCGATACCGGGCGAGTTCGAATGCCGTATGAGAAACAGCACTTCTTTCACGTTCCCGGCCTACGTCTTCGACTTCGAACGACGCGCCGAAATTTTGACCACCAGACTCTTTCTATTGATTGCGACAGGGTGGGTGCTGAAGATAATGAGACTCCTAGGGGGTAATCGTAAAGAGGGTAAAGTATATCTACAGTGGCAGTATATATATATGTGTTGGCTAGGTTTAGATAAAATGCTGGCTTTCACCATCTCATCAAGCGTCTTTCCTAATTACAAAATGGGGAACGAGACTGATCCGCAATCAGCCCCCCTATGAGGCCCACACTACAGCTTGGTAGCTGAGGCAACACCTAAGCGTTGTTCACAGCGCCGCCTTGCAGTCGGAGTCTCTTGCTGATCCTCCAAGTCCTCTAGTCCTAATAATGACAGCCGCCCTACCGGGTCGATCTCGGCAGCAGCCGTCTAGGGTATTTAGTCACTCAGCGTTTGTTCCTTGGAGTTATTTGGCGCACTTCTTCACGAAGGGCCGCCCTGTTTACACCCGGGCCAGGTCCTACACTGCCCCCCCTACGCAGTGAGGCGTCGGAGCCATCCTTTTAAGAGCTCCGTCCGGTGGTACTTATATTCCTATCACCATTACAGCGAAGGTGCCCAAATACCGAGTGAATCCTAGCCCCTTCCCGTCTCCAGGAAGTTCGCCTGGTATCCTCGCAGATACCAACAATTCTATTCTTCTTTCATATCTTACAACCGCCAAAGGGTTTACTAAGGTCTCGCAACCTTTTAGTCACCTGGCCTAGATCATCCTATCCTTACTACTCCAGGGCTTCCCCTCGAGATTCAGGACCTGATCAAATCTATCGTAGGCAGCTCATTTGGCCAAACTTTCCATGAGCCTTTCCTTCTTGAATAGCTTCCCCTAGATTGCTCGCCTAAACCACAGAACGACTGATCTAGTGTTTCACGTTGTTCATTTCCTACTGTTCACGGCGCTTCCCTCCCTCGGAGGTATCACTACCCAGCAGTCCTTGCTACTACTTAATTCTTATCCAGGCCTACTTGAACTAAGCCAAGGAGTCTGGACATTTACTCGCTTTGCTTCTTTCACAAAGCAGAAACATCTCTCGAGTATTCGTCCTTTTCACAGAGTCCGAAGCGGTTACTTATACAGACAGACGCCCCCAGGTCGACGCCTCCTCTGCTGCTTCAAGACAGACGAGCCTTAAACTAGCCAGAACTTGCCCCAGGAAAGCAGGTGATCAATCCACTTCCTGACTCGAAGTTCCTTCCCACGGATCCAGAGATCCCTCCAACACTGTGCTAGGGTAGGCCTCAGCACCGGGCTAGCAGCAAAGTGCTGGAAGTCGACCTCTCTTCATTCATCGAATCCGTTCGGACTCCACCGCATAAGAGCGACGCTTCACAACACCAGTCCGGTTATCTCTATGCTACTTATACCCTACTTCAAAACACAGAACATTCCTTGCAGACTCCCAACTTATCTCAGACCCTTCGTGGAGCCATCCGCTCCCCCCTTCTCCCGCCAGTGGCTGCAGCAGTCTCCTAAAGTAGGAAGTAGGGCCATTTTGTCATTTTACGCAATATTAGAGTTTTCGTCAAACCTCCCAGATTTCCTCAGGGACTGGCTCTACAACCACGTCAGGAGTTCATCCTACTCAGTCTGTTCCTCCACCTTCCGCGTGAACACCTCCTTTGTTCTTCCTAACATTTCATCCGTCGAAGGGAGATAGTCCAGATTCCGCAAGAAATCCTCGGCACTTGATGCGGGTACAGCACGGGTCAGCAGCTTTAGTGGAACCTTCCCACTGGCCGCTCCCGTTGCTGCTTCACCCAATAGATCCAGCAATATTGCGTGGCGCGGTCCTACCGACTCCACCTTAAACAACGCTGGAAAATTCTTCGGGTCAAAACTATCTTTTCGCGCGTGCATGTTTCTTACTACCACCAGATCACCAGTAATCAGAGGTGCTTCCAGTGAATGCCCTCTCAGCTTTGTTTGTGCGATTTGACGAAGCTTCGAATTTTCATTCCCAGTCAGGTTTGACTGTGACAAAATTTCCTCCCGAAACTTATTCGCCGCTTCCAAATAAGAATCCACACCCGGTGTTCCTCCGAGCGCCGTTCTCAGAGTCTCCGCAAAAGCGTGCCGCGGCTTACAGCCAAACACTAGCTCATACGGCGAGCGATCACCTAACACCTCGATCGGTGTTGTCCGAGCAATCCAATTTAGGTAGGGAACCAACTCTACCCATTTGGCGTTCTCCGCAAATTTGATCAAAATCTTCCGCAGCGGCTTATGGAGCACTTCAACCAGCCAATTCGCCTGCGGCGAATACGGCATAGTTGGCGCATGATGCACCCCATACGTCTGCAAATATTTCCCCAAGCTTTCATCCCCCGACTCACCGAATCCTCGATCGGATCGCATCACAATCGGGTAGCCGACCATACAAAATGCGTTAGCAGCCAAAGCCTCTGCGGCCTCTTTGCAAGACTTCGTTTTCACCGGAATGAACCAGGAAAACAACGTCGCCGAGTCACGAACCGACAATAAGTAATTTAAACCTTTATCCAATTTGAATGGACCCACATGGTCAACGTGCAGCACTCTGAAAAACCCTAGATACTTCTCATACCCCAACGGGGCCTGCGTTGCCTTGGCCGCGTGGGCGATCGTGCAAGCAATGCAATTTTTACAATGTGCTTGCACATCCCTCCACATGGTTGCCCAAAACGCCCCTCTATCCAACAGATGATTATAGGTTTGTCGAGCACCTCCATGCCCCGTCCCCAGCAAGGAATTATGAGCCAGGAGAAGGTAATACTTCTTCCAACTCACCTCCTTCCCTACTACGGTAGACAGCCAAGCTCCTCCCGCTGGCAAGCACACTACAGCCGTCTCATGATGACGCGTCATCAACAACTTAGTATCTTCGTCAATCCAATGCTCATACATTCTAGCGGTCGACATACGGGCCTTTCCCAGGTCCCACTTGCGTGCAGCCGCAAGCTCAACCTGTTCCCGGTCCTTTTCCCTGTCGCGCAGTTCACATGCCAAATAAACAGGACCCCATTCCTTACAAGCCTTCTGATCCTCCACCAAGCGCTGGCGTAGCCCTGCTCCTTGCAGTGAAACTAACGCTGCCACCACGGAGTCTTCCCCTGCAAAAGGGAAATGGAAAGTCCTCAACTCCCAATGTTTTTTCAGCCGCAGCTTACAACTTTCCTCATCCCACAGGGATCCGAAAGCCCTCACCGGGCCTGCCTGAAGCGAGGCCACGTTCCTTGGGTTCCACATGGCCACTCGGGTCACTTTCTCCGATGTTTCATGCACTTCTATGCACAAATCCTCATTATTCGCAGTTTCGCGGATCATCGTAGCCTCGTCACTAATGACTGGCAATGATGGAAACAAAATCCGGAAAGATTCCACTCCATCGCGTTTCCTAATAAACTGCTCGCGAACCTCCTTTGAAATTTTCACGCATTCCGGCGCGGTTAGGAATTCAGTCACATCAGGGGCCTCCCCTCCTATCACGCCTTCACCACAGAGGCACCGACATAATGAAGCGGACACCCTCCCTATCCGACACTTCCGAATCTCTTTGAAGTTCGTACAAGGAGCAGAATCCAAAAAACAGGCTCTAGTATCCCAAGAGGCTGAGATCGTGAAGAGATCCGCTGCAACCTTTTTCACCACGTCCGCCCTCTCAGGCTTCCGAAAAAGATGAAAATACTCTTGATGAACCACGGACCTCCCATTCACGATTCTTTCACCCAATCGTCTAGCTGCCGCTGTTTCGGCTTCTTGCATCAATTCCTTCAAACGATCCCAAGCTTTATCATAAGCTTGCTTAAACGTCATGCTCGGAGTAATTTTAATCCACTCCCGATCCGTTGAACGGCCATCCATCACACCGGAGACCACTACGTTATCTCCTCTCTCGTCAGTCTTCCGATATAATCGCCGGGGAAGGAAAATCCCCCTATAGCGCTCGGTTACTGCCGAGGGTCGCAACTGATCTCTCATTGCTTTGAGCATCGTCTTCAGCCGTCGCTTTTGACGTGATGCTCCTAACTTTTCGATAAATACTTCCCAGGTTACCGACCTTGGACTGAGTACGGAAGCCGTTTCCAGCCATCCGTGGTCCGCCGTGGAATTTACCCGCAGCAAAACCCAGTAGACTCCTAGATCGTAAAGGCTCGGGCAGGTTGCATATTGACACTCTAGCTTCTCGGCGTTTTTAACGCATAACGGCACCAACCGCCGAAGCCCTTGGTTAACTCCTTCTCCCTCATTCAATCTCCCTCCGGGAAACCGAATAGAAATATCTTCAAAAACTTCGTTGTCTTGCGCATCTGCAATTAACACCTTCCCACTTGGGGAAACCACCACCGCACAAACCCGCTTCTGTTTCGAGGACGTCGAACCCTCCCCACTCCTTCCTAGGTCCAGGAGGTCTAAATCCTCATCTAGTAACGACGAACTCGCGTTACATGGTCGATCGGGGACGCCATCCCCCTGATACAAGTGGAATCCGGCTCCATCCTGCAACATCATGCATTCGCCTTCGTCGCACATCGTACACATTAACTGGGATGGACTCTGCCACTCCTGATCTCCATTCCCTCCCTCGCTTTCTTTCATGCTCGCGTCCTTCTTCATCTTAATTCCAATGCACTTCGCCCCCACGTCACTGCCTACCGCTTGATCCGATGCCAGAGCACTCGGCAAGTGATCATGCGGGTCCTCAAAGTCTTCACTTGGGTGAACGGGTGGCACAAAATGATCCACCTCCAGTAACTTCTTTCTTTCTGACATCATCTGGCCAAGTTGATCTGGCTGGCAGAAGATAAACTGCACTAGAGAACGAATCCGCGGCAACATAAAAGAAAGATTATCAATCTCCTTCAGAGCCGGATCCTCCTCAGACTTCATCCTCGAAAGCGCGTCCGCAATGACGTTCGCTTCCCCCTTCAAATATACTCGCTTCCCAGTAGAAAGCGGTCTAGCAATGAGATAAAACCATCGTAAGATCTTACCTCCGGTAGTTCTATTGGCACACAGTGAGTTGAGCTCTTTCATGCCCAAATTCTGATGATCCGTGTACAGGATCCACTTCGAGCCCCGAATCAGCTCATAGCCCGACTTTATGAAGTCCACGATGGCAAATAATTCGCGCGCTAAAGTCGACCACTGCTTCTGCGTTTTGTCAAACGAATGCGTAGAACATTTCCACGCTCGCAGTTTACCTTCAGCTGTTCGCTGACAAATTGCCCAGGCATAGCGATACTGCGAGGCGTCCGCGAACACCTCGAATGGCCGCTGCCAAGTATTTGCTGCTTCGTAGTCTGGCTTAATCAGAGTCGCATTCTTTGAGACCACGTCCTTTAGTGCCTGAAAAGCGGCTACTGCCTGCTCATCTGAGGCAAACTCATTAAAAGGCCTTTTCTTGAGTTCGTACTCCTTCAAGGGTGCCGCGACATTCTGTAGCTCGCTTGTGTAACATTGCAGATACCGCACCACATGAACGAACGAAGTCAAATCTTCTTTGTTTGTGGGGAGAGGCCAATTCTGAATTTGGAATAACTTTGCCGGACTAAGGTGCGTCCCGGCTTCGTCAATGATATGCCCTAACACTTCAATTTTCGGAGCACCAATAAAAGTCCTAGTCAGCGAGAGTCGGGCCCCACTTTTCTCACAACATTGGAATACCCTCTCTAGTCGCGATATGAACTCTTCCATTGAGTTCTCTCCATAGCCGACGTCATCTATAAATGCTTCACACTCATGCCCAAACGCCACCTCAGTTTGAGCTTGGAACCACCCGGGCGCGGGACTTGGTCCTAACGTCAATCGCGTAGGCAAGTACACCCCAGAATGGGTCACCACCGCCAGGAGACGTTTCGTTTGCACATCGAGTTTCGCTAGATTGTAGGCCAGCGACAAATCCGACCCAAAATAAAACTTTTCCCCTTTTAGATTGTGGAAAGTCTTTTCTTGGTTAGGAGCCGGCAACGCAATCGGCGTCAACGCCTCGTTACACTTCCTGTAATCCACCACAATCCTTCCAATCACGGAATTCTTGCGAGGTGCTAAAAAAGCAGGACTGCAAAAAATTGGTCGACTTTCATCAGACCCATCCCACTTTTCAAACAACCCGTCGTCGAGCTGAGTCTGGAACAAAAAATCCAAACACTTCTTTCCGTACGCGCTCAACTGCAACGGCTGAGGTAAACTCCGATGCGTCACCCTGTTAGGATTATAATCGAAGTGGCGCACTGTTTTCAACGAAGGGAACGGACATCCTTCATCGTAGAAGAAATGCGCACTCCGTTCAATCGTAGCCAACAGCGCTTCTTTACTTTCTTCAGGCATATGGTCGAACTCCTTTACTTGCGCTCTAAAGACTTGCGTGACGTTCTCCGTCCACTCGACAGACGGCACGTCCCATTTTCTGCTGCGCTGTCTTTTGGTACTTCGATCCTGTATTTCCTTGTCCAAATCCCCGAAGTCTTTCGGCTTCGTCTTATTTTTATATTTTGACATGTTCAAGATTTCTTCGATCTTTCGAATACCTTCCCACTCTTGAAACAGACTACTCAAATGTGTTACATCCCTGGCCTCCGGTAGTTGTTCCGAGAAGACCTTCATCTTACTCGTCGCTCCGGCTGCCAAAGTGTTTTTAAAGTCCTTCCGTCCTTCTTTTTCCTCGTTTTCCTTCTTCCACTTGTACCAATCCCATCGGACGCTATTCACGTCGACGGTGGTATCAGAAAAGTTGTAGACCTCTTTATCCCACTCACTGACCTTTTCCGTTTCTTCTCCAAACTAGCCCTGTAATCGCCAAACATCAGCACATACTCGACTTCCTAAACTCGCCTCACCTTCGTCATATGTAATTCCATGAATTGCTCCTACAGGGGCTTCGCCTCCCTTTCCCAGCCAATGCTGGGTCAGCAGAGGCCAGCATCCATAGTCTGTTAATAATGCTCCAACTGTTATTGCAGTTTTCCAGTTCTCGAGAGGTTTGGGCGTACTTTCTTTTTCGAATTTTTTAAGTTCAGGACTCGTTTGCAGGAGGGCATCATCACCCCCCTCGCCCCCTGAAAGCGGCTTCGAAGAATCTGCTGTCACTCGACTCATCAGATTACAAGCTCGCAGTGGGGCCAGTGGTTGGATCTTCAAACGCTCTCTCGTCAATGTCACTTGCCGATCCTTGTTCCTGTGATTAAAAATCTCAATCGGGTGCTCGGTGTCCTCCGATTCCGATCCCGTGATAAGAACCGGTAAAAATGAAATCCCGTCTTTCGTGGCCTTTAGACTTGGTTGCGCCACCGCTGTGGTATTCTCATGATTAATCGGCGGGCAAACAAACGTCGCAGATACCGACGCGAAGGCCGCCACATGGGCTAACCTTGTAAAGGCGTTCATCACGGGCTTCTTTGTTGTACTATTATACTCCACAACTGGCACCCGTTCGCCAAGCAACTCTATCTCGCGGCTACCTTCTCGTAGCGGCGCATAGTTAGTCCCAAGCTGATACACTGCTGTATCCCCGGCAATCAACGCCCCGGGCGTGTTCAGTCCCTCTACAATCAGAAACTTTCGTTTCAAATCCAGGACCTTCCCACTTCGAGTGGAAATCTGCAAGCACAAAATGCACTCCCGATTCGCTGTATGGGAAAAAGACTCTCTTCCAAAAGAAATTTCCACTGGTGGGCAAGGCATAGGCGGAGACACGAAGTCACTTACATCCTTCCGTGCTCTCAGACGTTCGCAACTTGCCTTGTCAGTCACATCGTACCCCAGCCACGCCCCCGGGTCTAAATATAGAGGAATTGGAAGGGCTTTGCCTAGAAAACCCGCAATATAAATTGGGGCTCGCCGTTCTTCTTTCGGTCGTCTTGCTGTGCTTTCCCATGCAGAATTCATCATGGATACTACTCCGTTCTTTCTTAGGAACCTTTCGCGTACTTTCGAAACCATGCGGGGAACTGTGTCTGCAGTCAACCCTAAACGTTCCGAAGCGTAGGCTTCTCCCATTCTTAATATCAAATAAACCAAAACTCCAATTCGGATAAACAGCCAACAGAAGGAGCTCGGATCTCTATCCTCACTCAATTTGCAGGCCTCGGATGTTTCCATCCGATTTATCGAAGGGGTTAATGGCACATTTGCCCACATCTCCCAATCTAAATCGTTTTTTGTCATTTCCTCCCCTCCTCCTGTCGACGGTTCCGTCACGGAGGGACCGAGGTTCATTTGGTTGGCCCGCCGCGGGGGCGGGGCGGGTCTCCTCTTAGCGAAAGCCACTTTTTTCACTGGAGGCCCCGTTTTCTTTGACTTCAAATCTTTCTGAGCAAATCTCTTTGAATTCAGTTTATTAGATTTCACAAAGGCGGGTGGATGAAACAAACGACGTTCTCTTTCCGGCACAAGCTTACACGTCGGGTTCTTCCCGTCGCGCTTCAATTCCAGGAGTTCTTTTCCCAGTCCTGCTTGAAAGTCCGGTTTCCGAAATGACGGATGATGCGGAACGCCCTTAGCGTCCACCAAAACATCGCAAAAGATTAACTTTGTTTTTTCGTCTCTCTTTAACAGCCTCCCGGCTGCGCGAGCCAGCAAATTCGGACAACAGATCTGCCCTGCCTTATTCACTGGATGTTTCCTTTTGTTGCACGCGGGCAGTGGACAAGTTTGAGGCTCCTTATTCCAATCCACATCCGCAAGGGACGCGTAGTGCAATCCTCTCGTGTGGTTTGGATCCCCACAGAGATGCCACTTTTTCTTCGTTTCGTCCTGATATTCTTCACAAGGCTGGCACATCACCAATTTCGCAGAACGATCTCCTCGCGGATAAAGTTCCATCTTGTTCAACAGATTCTCTTCTGAACCCGGCTCAGGGGCGAAATCTGAATCCATCTGATTGAAGAAACCAGGCTCCGGCTCATACGAGCCATCCCCCGAAAATCTTGATTCACTTGTTGTTGCTTTCACGTTAGCTCTCGCCAACGCATACTCACGCGCAGAGTCCAAAGATGTGTACTCAATTCCTCTTTTGCCAATCAAATTCTCTTCAAACGAACGTGCGTACTCTTGTGGAATCCGTTGCAGAAAATGCCGCAAGAACCGTCTTAGTTCCTGGGACGTTCCCACAATATCAGACGTCTGAAACACCTGGCCGCTCTTTTGAATCAGCCTTTCAGCCATCAATTCGCGGAATTTGTTCACGTACTGGGTACAGAAAATTCCTACCGAAATTCCAGCGCCATCCTTGCAGACAAGACTGAACATCTGCATTTCCAGTTCTTCTTGCACAATAATTGGCCTGAGGCCTGCCTGTTTCGAAAACTGCTCTCTAAAGCTGACCAAGCAGGCCGCTGCACTCATGTCACGGGAGAGGTTGGAAAACCGATTAGCTTCCGCCTCCACTGCATCCACCACATTACTTGCAACGCCCATAGCCTTCATGGCTCCGCTTTTCACCGCTTGCCAACCGTGCAAAGGGGCTTGAAGATGTTCTAGGCGAAGCCGGTCAAACGTTTGCCTGGCCGCAAGCGCCGCTCTGACAGAGTAAGTTTCCAGATTCAAGGGAGTAGCACTCAATTTGGAGAAGGAATCATTCCCATTGATTCTCGAATTATCCACCAAAAACAAACCTACTTCAAAGGAATTCTCATCAATCGGTCGCACTACCACCATCTTCAACTTTGTGAAATCCAACATTTCTAAACGTCCTTGCATTTCCTGTGCACAATCATATCTTTGGAATACGCTCTCATTTTCAGGCATCTTTACAGTCCTATCCAAACAAATTCCTAATCCAGTGGACTTCGTCACAGTTTCCAAAATTGGACAAACCCTGCGCGTTCTAAATCCTGTCAAGTTCAGTTTCTTCTGTGCCTCTTACTTTCTCCAGGGTAGTCGTACCTTGATTCGGCACGGTTTCAATGAACGTGCTCCCCGTCCAAGGTTGACCAAGTCCTAGTCCATGACCTTGTCCATCAAAGATCGACGGCAACTTGTAAGCGGGTGGCACATCTCCTTCTGGTTCATCCTTTGTTTCCCCAGTTTCCTGCTGTCGGGATTTCGCTTGGTACATTTCAAATAGCAAAATACCAAGTCCGATCAGCATGCTCAAATGCGCAACCAAGTTGGCGATTTGATCATACAGTCGCTGCCATTGGACCTTTGTCAACAGCCAATAAGCACCTTCTTCATATTCCTCATAATGTTCATAATTGTTGCCGCCTCCGTCACCAGGCGCCCCCGGAGGGTTGCCCGGCGGCTTACCGTAACGGTAATACACCGGATCCGGTCGAGCCATCGAGATAAACCCGAGGATTGCTGTGACGACCCCAGAGGTCACGACAGCGCTCGACATACCGCCACAAGTGACGGGCGAACGAGTGACTGTGGTCATCCTGTAAGTTTTTTCGCTCCAAAATCTCTCTCAAACCCTGCTAAAGTGGTGGTGGTTTTTTGGGAAAAGACAAAAGGCAATCGCCAAATAAGTGCTAATGCTTATCTCTGCTAACATCATTGAGTCTGGTTCTACATCTTTTCAAACAATTACAAGAGAAAGAAACACAGCTGTCAATTTCAACTACACTACTGCAACAACATGTTCTTGGCAGAATTCACCCAACCTTCGGCGCACTATTCACTACTTCCAACCAACAGAAAAAACTTCTAATCAAACACAAAAAACACGGAACAGTCTCTCTTTCTTGATCCTTCCACCGCGTGGAGCTTATCTTTCTTTTCTTCTTTTCTACATTTCCAGCACCTGAAGGGTTTCCCCCCCAAGTTCTGAAGGCCCCTCCTCCGCCTTCAAACGTCACACACAGCCTCGTGCATTGCAGTGCGCCCGGCCAACTATAACACCGAATCACTCTGATCGTTTGTTTTCTTTCACGTCCCATCACATCTCAGTCTTACTGGTACTTGTCTGAACAACATCGCTTCTCTTTGGATACATTCCACCGTCTTGCTCTTTCTGAGCACTAAGACTGCTGCCTCAGTTCAAGGCAGAAGCTTCTCGTTGTCTACTTTTTATTATTTTTTTTTTTTAGATTTTATCTCTACGAATGACTCGGGGAAATCATGGGTAGAGGTTCCTTTTAGAAGCAGGGGGTAAAATAGCCTAGCTCCATGTTTTAGAGTTTTTTATAACTCCATCATGTTCCAGAGTTCCTACAACCCCCTACCTCCACCCCTAAGTTGAGGAGTTCATTCCCCCTCTAGCGGCTAAGTCGCTGTCTCAGCAAGCTAGCGATGCTTGGGCCACAAGTTGGGGGAGCTGACGCGGACAGAACATCCTCAACTTGAACCAAGGACTCTTCATCGGAACTTGTCGCCGCAGAACTTTCGGCCGGCTCGACTGGAGCCGTTGTAGCCGCTCCCTTGGACGAGCTCGCAGAAGCAGCCGGTGGCGCAACTGTTGATGATGGTTTCATTTCATTCTGTACTAGTATCAGTTCATTTTTTACTAGTGAGGTTCTCATCAGATTAGTTCCCACGTCGAATTGGTCTAATTCAGTAGTTTCGACAGACACTTCGTTCCTCATGTCGTCGTCTGGAGACCCTAGAGAGGCATAGTCACTCGCTCTAGGGGATTCGTCTGGCCGACGAGGTGTATATATTTCAAAGTATTCTGTACCAGAAGCTGTGACGTTTTTCGACTGAGAAGAGCGGCGGCGAGCGTCTTCACTCACTCGGCTCTTCTCGTGTAGCTCGTCCACCGTGACGTTGGCGTTACCACCAACCGATTCAATCGGGGAACTAGCCTTTGGATGCAACTGAGCCTGCAGTTGCTGTGCCCAGATCGGTGCATTCTGCATCTGGCACAAAGCCTCGACTTTCGCACAGCATTGCGCTTTGCGCTGCTCCAGAATACGGTCTTGGAGCACCTTGCAGGCTGAAAGACTAAGCCCTTCATGTCCGTACTTGAGCTCTTCAGTCGAATTGACCATATCCCAAATCGCCGAAAAGCAGACTGTGCCTGGAAATCGTCGAGCAACTTCCGACGCAGCGATAGCCGTCAAAAGGTTGCATTCTTGGTGATTCTGGCAACTGATTGCCAAATCGACTAAATCCACACTGGACCGACGTCGAATGACATTAGTCAGAGCTTCCGGCGCTTTCGCCACTAGATGCGCTTTCGGCAAAAAATTCGGTGGTTGAACGAATGGTGCTTCAATCGACATCAAAAGCGCCTTGATGGTATCGCTCAACGGCTCCTGTAAGTGGAAGGCTCATACTGATTACCTGCTCAAGAGTCAAGAAGTTTAGTTCATAATTTTCAACCTTTCTTCCTTTACTTGACCCTGGTATCTTGTTTTCTTATCACGAGAATGTTCTTTATCTTTGTGTCTCTTCACCACTTCTCATTTCTGAATTTCTAAATTTCTAAATTTCTACCCCGTTGTTGGTTTCCACCACAAAAATTCCGTCAAACGGAACTTCCCGGAGCTTGAACGCGGTAGGATCTGGGTGAGTCGAATCCTTGTACAGTAGGAGCGTGTTCTTCAAAAACAACTCCTTCAAGGTTGAAGCCGCCGTCTTCACCCAGGTCTTCATGTTGTATTGATTGTCCAGACCAACAGCGAAGTGGGCATCACCGCGTAACAACTTTAAAGAGTTGTCATCAACCGGGACAATGTGCACCTGCAACGGCAGGGGAACCAAGAATCCAGCAAGATCAGTCTGCATCTCATCTCGCACATACAGTTCTTTCTCTCGTTCTTGTCCTCCCATGACAACATCTCCCTTGCCTTCGCTGGTTGAAGAAGAGGCTGTTTTCATGTTGGCCTCTACCAACGGCTCAGCCGAACCTTGTTCGATTGAAGATGAAGATGCGCCACCTTTCCACGAGGAAGAATCAGTCTGCGTCTTCTCTCCCTCCTCTTTCTCAGCCTTCTCAGCTTTCTTGGCCATCTTCTTCTCCTTTTTCCGTTCCTTCTTCGTAGATGTTGTATTGTTCGGACCTTTTCCTACCGACTCATCCGAGTTGTTCCAGGACTCCTCCTTGTCCCAGGATTTCTCCCCGGCGTTCCAATCCTTCCAGCCCTGGGGCTGGTTGTTGGAGTAGCCTTTGTTCTTGCCGTAGTTGTAGTTGTAGTCGCGACCCTGATCCTTGTCATAGGAGTGGTGGTTCTGGTTTTGGTAGGACTTGCCACCACCATAGCCACCTTTGCCACCACCATAGCCTCCTTTTCCACCTCCATATCCTCCCTGATATCCTTTGTCGTAGGAAGAGGAACTGTTATTGTCATGCCAGCCCTTTTTTCCGCCTCGTTTCTCGTCATACTTACGGACTGGATAATTCCAACCTCCCATCTTTAGTCGTTTTTTCTTACAAAATTAGATATAAGTTCGTGGTGAACCCAAATCTAGACTGAAAGATTTATCACTTCTACCGCTCGGGTGTCCGTGATGAACTTTTAGAAGATGCAATCTCCTATCCCTGCATTTGGAAAAGGAGGTGAATAATCTTAAGATGCTTATTTTCTAAATTTTCTGAATTTTCTGATATTCACAGAAACTGCAATTAACATTCGCTTTGCTCATCCAACTGTTCATGGTACAGCCTTGGGAAACAAAACGCTCCCGCGTTTCTTCACTCCCAGTCTTGGGTTTTCCTCAAGGTTCTCGACGCACCATTCAGATTTCAGATTTTGTTTGATCCTTTCCGTCAACCACATCGAGCATTTATTAGCGAAAGAAAGATTCCATGCTCAAGGAAAAAAAACCCTGGCCAGAATGGAGCTCACTTCTGACGTCAATCTTGCATACTTTCCGGCATTAGAATCACGTCGCCACTCTGTGAGTTCCCAACTCACATTCTTTTTATACCTGCCAAACGCGGTCACTCTTCAACTGTTGTTTTCTTGCCAACTGTCATCCCCGTACGTCTAGACTCGCGCTTGGAACTGTTCTTCAACAAAATTTTCCTACGGGTCTCGCACCCCGGAACAGCCCCCAGTTATGTGCTGGCTAGGTTTAGATACAATGCTGGTTTTCACCATCAAGCGTCTTTCCTAATTACAAAATGGGGAACGAGACTGATCCGCAATCAGCCCCCCTATGAGGCCCACACTACAGCTTGGTAGCTGAGGCAACACCTAAGCGCTGTTCACAGCGCCGCCTTGCAGTCGGAATCTCTTGTTGATCCTCCAAGTCCTCTAGTCCTAATAATGACAGCCGCCCTACCGGGTCGATCTCGGCAGCAGCCGTCTAGGGTATTTAGTCACTCAACGTTTGTTCCTTGGAGTTATTTGGCGTGCTTCTTCACGAAGGGCCGCCCTGTTTACACCCGGGCCAGGTCCTACACTGCCCCCCCTACGCAGTGAGGCGTCGGAGCCATCCTTTTAAGAGCTCCGTCCGGTGGTACTTATATTCCTATCACCATTACAGCGAAGGTGCCCAAATACCGAGTGAATCCTAGCCCCTTCCCGTCTCCAGGAAGTTCGCCTGGTATCCTCGCAGATTCCAACAATTCTATTCTTCTTTCATATCTTAAAACCGCCAAAGGGTTTTCTAAGGTCTCGCAACCTTTTAGTCACCTGGCCTAGATCATCCTATCCTTACTACTCCAGGGTTTCCCCTCGAGATTCAGGACCCGATCAAATCTATCGTAGGCAGCTCATTTGGCCAAACCTTCCATGAGCCTTTCCTTCTTGAATAGCTTCCCCTAGATTGCTCGCCTAAACCACAGAACGACTGATCTAGTGTTTCACGTTGTTCATTTCCTACTGTTCACGGCGCTTCCCTCCCTCAGAGGTATCACTACCCAGCAGTCCTTGCTACTACTTAATTCTTATCCAGGCCTACTTGAACTAAGCCAAGGAGTCTGAACATTTGCTCGCTTTGCTTCTTTCACAAAGCAGAAACATCTCTCGAGTATTCGTCCTCTTCACAGAGTCCGAAGCGGTTACTTATACAGACATACATCTTTACAGCGTAAACAGACATATCCTAGAATTATAGGCGTACTGGGTTATATTTGTATTATAACACTGCGTTAGCTCTGATTGGCAGGAGGCGCAGCAATTATATTAGATTTATAACAGTACAGACCTACATTTCTAGTAGACCCATGCTGCCTGTATCTCCATGAGGAGCTGCAGCTAGCGTGATTTGATCTTTGGTTCAGAGAGAACTAGTCTCGCCACACAGACAGTTCTCTCTGCTCAAATAAAGAAAAGAAGTCTCTCTATCGTGTTCTTCTGACATCCTTCGAAATGGAATGACCTGTCAATCGTACTGCGCCTGATTTGCCTTTCACAAAGTAATATCAAAACCAATTGCACCTTTGACGCGCTATTTCCAGAGAGTCATGGCATAGTCGAAAAGAAAATCTATGTCGCCCTGATTTGGGTGGACCGATGTAATCCTTCTACTGTTTGCAGGTGCGCTACTGAAAGTGTATAACACAGTAGGATATGGAGTTGCATCCGTCACGACCGTGCGCAAGATTCCACGAAGTAAATGCATCACCATAACGTAACTATTTAAAACAAAAGAAACTACATACAAAAAAAATACAAAAAAAAAGCATAATAATCATACAAGATTGATAACAAAAATCGACCCAACTGCTTCTAGGTTCTTGTTAGACTTCAGAATATTCAAGTAGGATAAGACATACCAGAAAGTAAGACGATCATGTGGGGCGAGGATATGCAGTCTGTGACTATATGGATGGTCTCTTTTGTGTCTCTAGTGTTATCTGCGGGGGTATTTCAAAGGACATTCTGGCATATTCTGTATTTCCCTCCTTCTATCTTCTTGACAATTACGGACTTGTTTCTCCTTTTTGGCCATCAGCTTTTCTCTCTTCTGTCCATTGCCTTTTGGTTTGTCTTCACACAACTATGGGATAGGGGATTCCAGTTCCACGAATCATTTTGCGACTTCGGTGCGGCGACACTCCTGAGTCTCTTCCTTCCCAAGGTTTCTACTTGGGTTTTTTGCGCACCGCGCTACCTGGCGTCAGAGTGCCTGCTCCGCTGTAATCTTTGGGGACGCAGACGCGCGCTGACCAATCCGGAGCCATTTGTCACAAGTCGCATCGTCATCACTTGGAGTAGTTATTACGGTCTACCTTACCCGAGTCTAGCGCAAGCTTACATCGGAATGTCGGAGAATCCGGATGACTCGGACTGTGATCGAGGTGCCAACAATGTGCAGGGGTATGGAGCCAACAATCAGGGGCGACATGTACCGCCGAGTCAGGAGATATTAGACTTTGGAATCCATCAAGACGGCCAGGGTGTCGACGGTCACGTGCGCGCTGCTCCTTATTCGTCATGGCGCGTCTCCTTGTTCCAAGAGCACTCTCCAGTCCTCGTCAAGTTTTGGCGCTACGTCGTGCTTTTGGCCCTCGTGGGACGTCAAGCCTTCGAGACAGTACGGAGCCGACACTTCGGAGTGTGTCAACGAGCTATCATTGGCTTTCGCTGGACTCCTGTCGCCCTCATCAAGCACACAGGATATACGCGGGAGCTGGTGCTCATCCTACGTCCGGCGACTTGGTCAGGCTGGCTCCTTCCAATTGCATCACTCCACGGAGACGTTATGGGATTGCGTGCCAGTCTGAGCTTCACTCACTCATGGTGGGATGAGGACTACCTACATGAGGCACTCTTGGATGACGCAGAGACCTTCTGGACCCAACACTGGCGTTGAGTCTCGGAAGGAGTTGAGGGACTTTCGAAGAACAACATATCTATAACACAGGGGGGGGAAAGGGACGAGCCGACTCATGTTAACAATTCCGTATACATATCCACATCTACCACCAAAGTCCGTTCAATTAACTAATGGCCAAGTATGTTGACAAAGAGAGGCGCTGAGACTATATATTCACTGGTAGTTCTCCAAACATAGTCTTTAGCAGACTATTGTTTGGAATCGTCCCTCAAGGCCCAGACTCTCCGGCCGAACTACAGCGGAATATAGGTAATCCACGATTAAGCTAATCTATCTTGATAGAGACGACTAATTCGCGAATTACAGGGGGGGTTTGCCAACATACTGACAATCATAAATAATCAAAATTCTTTCATTTTACTCGAAATAGGTATGATTTCATCATATATTTCGCGACCTAATTAATCTTACGGCGTGATAAGGCCATATCAAGCACATACGAGAGACATATCTAGACCTACGACAGACCACATCAAGATCACACTCTAGAAGAGATCGTCCTAGAGATCGGAGAGTGCGGATCTGCTAGACTAGATAGCTCAGGAGAGAGCGAAAAGATCACCCCATTCCAAAAGGGTGCGAAAGAGCACTACATAAACAGAATTGCTTTCAAGATCTGAAACAGAAGCTCCAGATCTTTATTGAAGAAGGACCTACTGAAAAAAACAATACAAATAGTCGCTATCTTATCGAACAAAGGAGGTTCGAGATCGCTTCACTAAGTAACATTCGTTCGATCGCATATGGAGCTCGCGTCTGATCTCTCACCTATTCGCTCGACAAGTTAACACGATTCAAAGATCGACACTTGACTCATTTAATATCTTTCGGATAAGACGGAGCACACGAGTGAAAAGATACACTTGGGTCCTACGCTATGTGAATAGAAGAGTGGCGGAGTGGTCATTTAAGATAAATGGCCGCATATTTACATAATTACATAAATCAAGGCAGGCTGGCCCGTCTTTCATAAGCATTGCTTTCTTTGTCAAGCACACATGATTCACGGCCGATTTGCCGCAAAGACTTTCAAGATTCAAGATTGTACTCAGGTCATCCACATATAGCGTTTGACTTCTCATTTGTGTTGATTGTGTATTGGTCAGACCAGCCACAATCCGAAAGCGCATTCATTTGCGACATTTGTCGACGAGAAACCTTTTGGCGAGGCCTTTGTGCTACATTTGTCACCATCGAATATTTGGGCCGGAATTATCCATATTTTAAAAGACGCGAGACGCACGCCGTTCTAGGTAGTGTTGCCATTAGGGACGCATCCCCATTTTAGATGTCTTAATTTTGTGTTCTTAATTGGTTCACCACTCCGCTGCAGACTCACCGGGAGGCGTTGGAGACCACCGCGCCCGACAATCACCGGTGGCGGAAAATCTTGGCGAAAAGTTGCCGAGGCTCACGCGCGCGGCCCTTGTCCTTGTCTCATTAAAACAGAGCCGAGAGGAGCTCCGAAAACGAAACCGACACAACCCACACACAGACAAGCCAACCACTGCGCCGAGAGCATCACAAGCCGGCGAACCAGTCCGCGGCGTAGCCTCGCGCCAAATTCTCAAACGAATGCACAACGCCAGAGGCCTACCAAGCCTGGAGAGAAGAACAGAGAAACCACAAAAACCACAGACAACAAGCGCGGAGCCCCATGCGGTTTCGCTGCAAGCTGTTGCGAGTTTGTTCTCGGCGACTCATTTCCATTTCTTCATCAAAAAACATGGAAGACGAAAACTTCAAAATCTTCGCGGAATGTTTGCGGAAAGTTTACAAGTTTTGACAATGTTGGAACTTCATGCGCTTATCTTTTCGGAAAGATTCCGCAAAGATTCTTTTGAAAGATTTCGCAAACTTTTCGCCAAGATTTTTTTTTTTCATATAGAGAAAAAAACGAAGAGCCAACCCACGCGCCCAAGCGCAGAAAGATGGCCAACGCCGCCCCGCTTTGCCACTGCTTCCCCGCCTGCGTTTCCCCCGTCCTCCGCCCGGGTTCTCTACACCTCGAAGAGCTTGCACAGGCGTGCCGCGGCTGTATTCCAAGCAGCGCCGACGCCAATGACGTGCGGGCGGTCCGCACTCACCTGGCGCCGGGGCTGTCAACAACAGAGAAACACAACACAAAGACAAAGCACCCGAGGCCGCGCCGCCTCCTTTTCCATACTCGAAAAGACAGAGGCAACGAAGACCAACCCGGGCAACTTTTCGCGAAGCTCTCGCGGCCATGTTTCGCATCGACGCGGTGGTCTCCAAGAGGCAGCCCTTCCTCCTGTGCCAACTCGTACCCCTTCCCTTTTGGCGCAAATATTATTGGAGGGCGTGGAGCAATGCCTTCGACTCTTTCTGTGGAGCCAGCAGTTCTCCACGACGGCGGCGCTTCCTGTATAAGGAGCCTGCTCCCCCTCCACACCTCCCTGCCGCATTCTCCAGCCATAAGTGCTCCTCCTGATGACCCATCCGCCTCTTTGCGATATGTCGGCGCACAATGCGAGGGAGAGGCGATAATCTTCTTCGTTTGTTCTTTGGCGGCACCTCGACTAGAGCTGTTACTTTTGCCCGCTTCCTTTGCTTTCCATCTCCAGGCTTTGTTTGCTCCGAAGAATCAGAGTAGGCCTCCAGGAGCGACATCCTCTCCGCCTCTGCTGCAGCTCGCGCTCGTTTCTCCTCCTCTACTCGCGCGGCAAGCATAGATGAGGCGGCGGAGTCGAGACATTTGCTCTGCCTTCTTCTGCCGCTTTTGCGGCTTTCAGTATTTTCTTAAAATGGCTCATTTTTAATCATTATGCTTCAGCGCTAGGATCTAAACGCGGGCTACCGCTACTATTGATTAAGCAAAGAACTGCCTGCACCTAGAACATCCGGCATAAAAAGCAAGGCTATGGCGTAGGCGTCCCTGATGTAAGGCCAACACTTTACTTACTGAACGAACCAACTCCCGCTATCATTATGTCGAGGGAGCTGATGCGGGCTCGCCAAAATCACTCATCTGCTGCTGTTGTGGTCACTTATGAAAGCAACCAGCTCTAACCGGTGGAGGCATGCCCGGTGGCTATGCTAGAACAGTAGCAGGACACGAACGCCCAAAAAGTTGGCGCCGATGAATTTAAACAGCCAACCTACAGCGAGGCAGCTGCCTTTCCGCGGCGAATATTAAGCGAACACCTCACAAGAAGCAAGCCACAAGCAGAGAGCCACGCCACATACTGACTCACCTGAAATACAAGCCAGCTCGTCACAAAATGCGGACCCCAATCCTAGTAAGCTCTTCAAGAGCTGCCTCTCCCCTCTCTTCTTCCTAGTGCAGTCCACCCGACGGCGTTCCATTACGGCGACCGAATCACCACGAGCAGACCGGACCCAGCTCCCGAGGCCTCTGCCGTAAGGTGGGCCGAACGCCGTAGAGCTGTCCAAATGAGTCCCACCGCATACTTCCCCCTATTATCAGGGTGATTCTTGTCGCTCTCCTTGATGCGTGATGCGTGATGCGTGATGCGTGACGCGTCACGCGTCGCCCCGGAGCCGCCCACGGATCTATCAAGGATCCGCGGAGCGATCGAAGGTCCACGGTTCTTTCAACAGATCCCTCAAGGATCCACGGTTCTTTCAGCGGATCGCTCAAGGATCCACGGCTCTCTCAACGGATCACTCAAGGATCCACGGATCTTGCAAGGGTCCACGGATCTTTAAAGGATCCACGGATCTTTCAAGGATCCACGGATCTTTCAAGGATCCCCGGATCTTTCAAGGATCCACGGATCTTTCAAGGATCCACGGATCTGTCAAGGACTCGCGGATCTATCAAGGATCCACGGATCTATCAAAGAAAGACCCGCGGAGCGATCGAAGATCCACGGATCTACCAAGGATCCACAGATCTACATCTATCAAGGGCCCGCGGATCTATCAAGGACCCACGGATCTACCAAAGCAAGATCCGCGGAGCGATCGAAGATCCACGGATCTATCAAGGAAAGACCAGCGGAGCGATCGAAGATCCGCGGATCTATCAAGGATCCGCGGATCTATCAAGGGTCCGCGGATCTATCAAAGAAAGACCCGCGGAGTTGTCGCAGATGAGATCCGCGGATCTATCAAGGAGCGACAGATCCAGCAAGGATCCACGGATCTATCAAAGAAAGATCCGCGGAGCGATCGAAGATCCAGTCCACAGATCTGTCAGGGATCCGATCCACAGATCTATCAAGGACTCACGGATCTATCAAGGATCCCCGGATCTATCAAAGCAAGATCCGCGGAGCGGTCGAAGATCCCCGGATCTATCAAAGATCCACAGATCTAGACTCGTCAAAATCAAGCCCCTCCTGTCCGTTGTTGCGTGCTGCGTGACGCTTGAAATTGGGGGCAGACATTTCATCACCCCCGAAGCTCTGGGCGTGACGCGGTGGGCGTCACGCGTCACGAAACAGCTCTACGGCGTTCAGTAAGTCCCACAGGCCTCTGCCTCCCACTTGTAACAAGTGAGGCCCTACCAATTTCCGATCCTGTGCTAACACAGGCTGAAGTAAGAAGAACACAACAAACAAGAAGACAAGGAGGGGCGAACACAATTTAAATCGGCCAGCTATATAAGTTGCTAGCAAATTTCGTGCATTTTTCTCATCGGTGTGGCTGGGTTCAACGAAAGAGACTCACAGCAGAGCCTCTCGACGTCATAAAAAGAATGGCTACAGCGGCCCTTCATCTTGGCTGAGACGAAACGCCAGAGGTCGACACGCGAAGCAGGAAGCCGCGCCGCCTTGCAGGTGAGCGTAAGCAAGTAACGACGCCCAAGACGCGAGCCAAGATAATTAAAGCGAGGCAGACGACGGGAGGAGCGTCGCAGCATGAACAGAGAAGCAGCCCGAATACATTAAAGCGAGGCGCAGCCTAATAGTTGGCCGCTTCGCTTCTGTGTTCTTCCAGCCATAGAATCTAACCCGAGCGCACGCCGAAAAGGCGCAGCGGAAGACGCTGCAAGGTATTCAAAAGCCCTAAAAGTTCCTGCGCGGATAGCTATCCAGGCGCCCAACGTCTTTGCACTGATGTGCTTGCGAAGCGGGGAACTTCAGTCGCCGAGCTCACGCAGGAGGCTACCAGAGCAGGTCAGTACACACATGGCCATGGGTGCCCCTTGTCATGTCGTGCCACCTCTTAGGGCGTTACCTCTGAGGCCGTTTGGCCTTCCTGCACCTTTCTACGCAAATCCACTGCATCCAAAGAAGTACACCAATCGCCACGATAATCAGTAAAAAGCGCACCCGTCAACGGTGTCCATGTTGTTCTTGTGATAAAATGCCTCCGCTTCATTCTTTGCCCCTGTGGTAAAACTTCCCAAGCTCTTTGCTGTAGTGGCACAGCCGTCCAGCGCAGATTTGTCTCTGTTAACATTCGAACATACCCACCCCCTGGCCCTGTCCGGCTTCCACTGGTTCACGCAAGTCGCTTCGCCTCCCAACTTCCGCAAACCAACGCGCACCCCGCCTAGCCATCCGCCTGCTTCATGTTAGAAAGATCAACGCCGCGAGCACAGTGCGAACGAATGTAGATTCAGATGAGCGAGGGAACCAAGCTAAGGACCGACCCACTGAAAGCACTCGCGCCTACTGTCTATAGTGCTAGCATCTTGGGGCTGCAGCAGGTCACATCCTCAGCGGCAAACTAAGTGGACCACTCATAACTTATCAGATGCGTCAGGTCAGCGCTCTCACCCTAGGTAGACGCACCAACCAACTGGAAACGCCTCCAACCTTGCCCGCCAGGCTGATGACTCTAGCCCCGGGGCGGTCAGTCTCCACAGTAAGGCGCTCCAATTCTTTCAGGGGCGCCATCTTCACCAAGTCCCTGCCCTCGCCATCATATCGCTGCCAGCAAAATTGGAGGCGTTTGCCAATGAGAACTAGCCACCTTGGGCGAGCTGCTTTCTCTTCAACATACCCACAAGATCTTGCAGCCTTAGCCTTGGCGGCGCGCGGCATTTTGGTCCCTCCTGTAGTACGAAGAAGATGCTGAAGCTGTGCTGTGTATTAGGTCCTTGCTGTTCTGTATGTATCCGCGTCGACGTCTTTTCAGATTCTTGGCAGCAGTGCTCCTACTCCCCTCGGCGACTACGCTAGTACGAAGCTCAGTGAGTTCTTCCCGAAGTTCAATGAGCTCAAAGAACGGCACATAGTGCAGGTGGTTCTTAGTATCTAGCTCGGCCCATTCTCGTTGAAGTTAGAGCCGCCGTAGGTACTCTGTCAGGCTACTGAAAATGTCCCGAGCTGTTAGACTACTGAAGAGCGAAGCAGCTACTGAGTGGATGGCATTTCGTCCAAGCTGGGTAATGTACTTGATGACGAACCAGAGCGGGCTGCTGAACCCTGCGACCCTCTAGCGGGCGGCGTGTCAAATTCGCCACAAGATGAAGCTGGGCCGGATTGTTTGACTTCTGTCGTTTTTCATTCAATGCCAGCGCCTTTATTTCAAACTTTTCCAGTAGCTTTCTAGCTCTACAAAAGTGGCGCTGCCAATGAGACAAGTTCGCGACTCTAGTTCTCTACCTCTACGACGATAGCGCGACAAATATGGGCAACCGCTAGAAAGATAGCGCTACGCCCATCTTTTGGAATGTTCTGAAGACAATGGCACACCAGATTCGCAGCCTCGCGGCCAGTTCAGTCGACACGCACAGGCCAAGGACAGCCACTCCCTTCCTGGTGATGGTCTAAGCGCAAAGGCGTGCGCCATCGAGGTTCATGCCTACGCTCGCGGCAGGCGCTGAACGAGATGAAAATGGCCACACCCATCAACGTGCCGAGCGAGGTTAGGTAGTTCTTCACTTTAGGGGGTGCGGCGTTCAGGGTGAACGACGGGCCTCATGCGTCGCGTCAGCCGTTATTTCGAAGGCGGGCACTACGTTGCAGCAGTGCGGCGCGCAGGTGTCTGGTATTTCTGCCAAGGAAACTCAGTGGCGGCGCTTCGCTCTTTTGTGAATGCTCTCCGCAAGATCTTAGAGCCCCCCAAGCGGTTGCGCTTTACGTTTTAACCCCTCCCGACCCTAACTCAGACTAAACCCCCAGCACATGCTCGGGCTCGCTTCTGCGTGCGGTTGGGGGGGTCAGCCTTTAGCTCAAGCCTCAAAAAAAAAACTGGCCTGGCTGTTTTTTATTTTGGCGCCTGAAAGCGCAGAAAAAGGGGGGCGCTCTCTGGGCTTTGTTTCTCTTTTGTGCAACCGGCGGCAAATGGCTGAAAACCTACAAAGCCTGGGCGTGCTCTTCTAGTTCTAAATAAAACACAGCGACACCCAAGCGACGCCGCGGCGGTGGCCTTTTGCTTGCTCTTAGGTCTGGCCTTCGCCCTCTTTCCTCTTTTTGCTCGCTGCGCTCTCGCCACTGGGCTCAAGCTGATGGCACGGCCCTCCTTTTGCTCGGCGGTCTCTCTTTTTTACTGGCTGCGCTTTTGGCTTTTTCTGCCGGGCTCTTGGGCGGGGGCTGTGGGCACTCTTTGGCGGGGCAAAGCCGCCGGCCGTGCCCGCGTGCTCCTCTCTCGTTGTGCCCCCCCCCCTGCGCCCCGCCTCCGGGGGCGACGGGGCCAGGCGCTCCCGGAGAATGAGGCAGCCGCCCAAAAGTGTCAGCTTTGGGCTGGGGTGTCGTTTTTTGTCCGCCGGCCTGTCTGCGAGCACTTTGAGAAGTGTGAAGCGTGACACCTGCCCGCAGGCGGCGGGCGTGGTGTGTGGTATTGGTAGCGCCCTCCTTTGGAAGTTTCTCGCCGCCGCTCTCCGTCCACCGACTCAATGGCGACAAACGCAAGGCAGACGCTGCCTCGGCGGGTCCATCCGGTGCCCGTGGTTGCGTGGCGTTTTTTCAAGTGGCTACGCGACTCCCCTCCTGTGCGCCGTTCGGCTACCGCCGGGCTTGGTCCTCAACCAAGAATGGGGAAGCCCTTGCCTTCTAGGCAGCGCGCCTTCTCTTGTTTACGGTTACTACTAGTGTCTCTCGTTGCTGAAGGGAGGCACCAGAACAGATCAGCCCCGGCCCCGTCCTGTAGAAAGTCGCTCTCTTTTAAAGAAGCAAAGCTATTCCAGCCCATGCTCTAGCAGGGAGCACGCCATCCCATGCTTTGACGGAAGTCGAAGCGGGCGGGCTCTAGTCGTGTGATGGGTGATCTGATGCGAAGCCGAGACGTTTGCTGGGAGGAAACTCAAAAAGTGGCCGAGGGCGCGGGCCTCCTTGTTCTGCCTTTTGAAGAAAAACGCAGAGCCAAAGCACCGCGCTGGCCCTCAGCGTTTATCTACTCGATACTCAAGGGACGCCCGCAAGCCTTTCCTTTTCTCATCACCGCAGGCGCGGCTCGTCATCTCTCCCCCTCAGCTGCAGCCTTACCTTTCTCGACCACCTCGCCTGGCCCTGTGTTCCTTCGTTGTGTCTTCAGCAGAGGGCCGGAGCACATAAGACCGGAAAAAAGGAGCGTCGCTTAGGCAGCCGCTACTTTTGTTGGAGGAAAGCGCCTGGGAAGTGTCCACCCAAACGAGGAGGAACCCAGGGCGCCCCCTGCCGGTTGGGTGAATAGTAAACACTGAGAAAAAGTGGCCGGCGCTCTTATCATGTGTCCGCCACCAGCTACCAAAACAAGACCACCACGAAAGCCGACGAATTATCGAAAAGAATGGAAGCCGTACCAAATCAAAGAAACTAACGAAAAACACTACACACAAACGAAGCCACCCTTAATTCTCGGCGGCGCTGCACCTCGTCGGGTCGCGTTCCGAGTCTGACAGTAGGCACACCCTGTCGCCCATCTTGTCTGCCCTTGTTTTGGGAGTGAGCTCGAGCGATGCAGAACAGGCGCGCGGAGTATGATTTCCTGTTGCGTTGCCTTGTGTTGTCTTGTGCGTAGTATTGTACGCGTGCGCCTTTGGTTTGTTGGACCCTAGTAAGCAAAGCCCTAAAGCTGTTCTTGTTCTTGTTGGTTAGCGTTGAGCGGTTTCAGTATTAAACTAAGCCCAGCGGCGCTCGCCCTGGGTTGGATGGTTGTTAGCTTGCTCGAGGCCCTTGCTTTCTCGTTGTGAGCGTGGGTCCTTGCCATGCTTTTGGAATAAATTGACTCGAAGGCACAGCAAGACAGTGGCCGTAGCGTATTGACGTTGAGCTGTTCAGTGCCAAACAGTGCCAAGGCTGCCGCTGCGCTAGCTTGAGCTGGGGCGAGTGCTCCTCACCTGAAATAACTTAACAGCTGACGCGGAGCGCTGAGAAAGAAAGACCCAAGACGACACGAGGACGCGACGAAAGCAAAACAAATGATCAGAACAGAAGCAGCCCCAGTTTTGTGCTGGCTCAGTTGTTCTCAACGAGGTCACAAGCTACGCCACCCGCTTCATATTAGACGAGTTGACTTCGGTAAAGTTCTGCTATCTTCTCTTTTGTCTGAACTCAAGCGACGCGGCGAGACGATGACACGGGGCCACTAATTCAGAACCAGCGTTAAGCCGTTGCGTTGTTGTGTCTGCTGTGTCTTCTCTTGCGTATGGGTATGATTTGGGCCGGTCTGATGCGCTGCAAGTGCAAGCGATTCCTTATAGAGCGGGCCTACGCTATTCAGCTCTTTCCTTTTTGAGACGCTAAGAAAAGCGCGGGCTATTTGCTTCTATGTTGTTGCACGGGATAAGCGTAATACTGTCGAGCGAGGTGAAAACTAACCGGCTGCCTTACTTAGTGCTTTGAGCGCCGCTGGGCCTAAACCTTCACCAAAAGGCGAAAGCCAGTCAAGATTTGCAGAACACCCCTAAAGGAAAACGATGGGGAATCAAAGACCTGCTATGGGAGGAGGTTAGCTGCATAAGACTCAGATCAGCAGGGCTGTTTCAAGTGCGTCTGTATGAGCATAGTCACGCTATCAAAGTTGGGCCATCCTTCTCTGATTACTTTCTGCTCTCCCAGATGCATTATTTACAGATAGAATCCACTCAAACCAGCCGCAAGCCTCAACACATATACGCGCAAGAAAGGAGAATAACACAGAACCACGAAAATTACAGACGAGGAGAATTTGGAGGCGACAGCCTTCTTTTCAGATAGTGCGGAACACTGGCAGGCAAAGATAGAAGCAAGAAAGAAAGGCACGGGACTCCACGACTTACGCAACACCCGCTAGATCACCCAGATTTTCTTCGCATCCGTTTGCTGTCTTGCCACAAGAAGCTGTCGCGCATGATCCGGATGCTCGTGGAGCAAGAAACAAGAAGGGACTACGAATGCGGGGAAAACAACGAACAACACACGAGAAGAGGCAAAGACGAGGAAAGAGGAGCGCGCAACTATATTATTTACTTTCTTTACGTTCTTCCTATCTTTATGGGGGAGCCGGGACCCAGTCCGCGCAGGCGCTCTTGTCTTTGCCTGGTGGGTTTCGAGTCTACCGGCACTCAAAGCCATACGGCTGCACGGGATAGGCATAGGCCTAATACTGTCGAGGTGAAAACTAACCGGCTGCCTTACTTAGTGCTTTGAGCGCCGCTGGGCCTAAACCTTCACCCAAAAGGCGAAAGCCAGTCAAGACTTGCAGCACGCCTCTAAAAGAAAATGGCGGGGAATCAAAGACCTGCCATGGGAGGAGGTTAGTCGCATAAGACTCAGATCAGAAAGAGTAAGGCTGCTTCAAGAGCGTCTATATGAGAGTAGTCACTTTATCAAAATTGGGCCATCCTTCTCTTATTATTTGTCGCTCTCCCAGATGCATTAGATTCTCTACAGTGAGAACTCGCCCAAACCAGTCGCAAGCCTCAGCACATTCATATACGCGCAAGAAAGGAGAGCAACACAGAACCACGAAAATTACAGACGGGGAGAGTTTGTATGTGGCAGCCATGTTTTTAATGTGGAACACTGGCCGGCAAAGATAGAAGCAACAGCCGCAAGCGCTAGCTATTTGCTTCTATGTGCATACTACGCCGAAAGCTAGCCAAGCCACTAGGGGGGCTCGCTGCTAGTCTAATGCTAAGAGAACAGCGCCAGTCTGGCTCTGGCACTTCTCCGCTCCTTCTGGCTGCTCTGATTTGATCCCATGCATCGCGATCACTAAGCCAGGCCCACGGCAAGAATCTGACTGAGAGCGAGGCCACACCAGATAGCACACGACTCGCAGCAGCAGCACGCAACGAGTTCCAGAGATGCCACACATTACACGACACAGACCAGACGGCGCGCAGTGTACATCACAGACGGCGGCAGGCCGCGACTTTTATCCTATACCTTGTCCTCCGCCTCGAGCTCGAGGCCCGAGCGCTTTGGCCTTTGCTTTTGCGTTGTTTTGTGGTGGGACGTAGTATTAGTGCCCAGAAGTCGAATCAGCGCAGCCTCTGGCCCAGCGCTGCCCTGGGCTTGATCTCATTGCTTTGATTTGCCCGAACCCATGCATCACAACACACGCGGAGAGGAGTGCGCGGGGGCTGAGCAGAAGGCAGAGCGAAAACGCTCGAGCTTCTCAGCCCTGTCACATGTGCGCGCGCTGTTCTTCAACTTCTACCGAGGCCGAGGTGGACGCTGAAGAACCGGGCCAATTGGGGGCCTTGCATATACTGCCAAGAATTCGGATTCAGCGCAGCCGCTGGCCTGGCGCTGCCCTGGGCTTGATCTCATTGATTTGATATGATTTACCCGACCCCGTGCATCACAACACACGCGGAGAGGAGTGGGAGCTGAACAGAAGGCAAGACGAAAGCGGCGGACCTTCTCAGCCCTGTCACATGTGCGCGCGCTGTTCGTGTTCTTTAGCTTCTGGCCTACCGCAACCGAAGTGGGCGCTGAAGACCCGGGCTTATTTTAGGTCTTGCATATACTGACCAGAATTCGGCTCCGGTGTAGCCTCTGGCCGGGCGCTGCCTTGGGCTTGCTCTCATTGATTTGATTTACCTAACCCCGTGCACCACAACACACGACACGCAGAGAGGAGTGGGGGCTGAGCAGAAGGCAGAACGACAGCGAGAACACTGGACCATCTTAGCCCTGTCACATGTGCGCACGCTGTTCTTCAACTTCTACCGGAACCGAGGTGGGTGCTGAAGGCCCGGGCCTATAATTGTAAGCCTTGCATATACTGCCCAGAATTCAGCTTCAGCGCGGCCTGCCTCTGCCTCGGCTCTGGTCTGGCGCTGCCCTGGGCTTGATCTCATTGATTTACCTGGCCCCATGCACCACAACACACGCAGAGAGGAACAGGGGCGGGGGCTGGGCACTGAGCAGCAGCAGAACGCATGAGAACCAGAGCAGAGCCCTGGCCCCTGTTCACTTCTCACCGCAGCCCCAGCCCGTTCTTCCGCTTCAGCTCAAGCGTGTGGGCGCTGAAGAGCCGGGCTCACTGTAAGCCTCAGCCTTGTAAGTATATACTGCCCAAAATTCAGCCTCAGCGCAGCCTCTGGTCTGTCTCGTCTGGCGCTGCCCTGGGCTTGGTCTCTTTGATTTGCCCAACCCCGCGCAGCACAACACACGCGGAGAAGAGCAGGAGGGGGGCTTCCAGGACCGACGTGGAGTCTCACAGCAACGCTATCAAGCAGAAATAAGCTCTCTCGCGCCATGCATGCCGGTGACCCCTTCACGCCAGGCCTAATCTTAAGCCTGCCACTTGCTGCGTGGAGGCCCTCTCTGGCACAGTCACAGAAGTGGGGAGGCAGCTGCCTCCGCCCCTATTGATTTCCCTAATTCTTCCACGGGCTCTACTAAATGCGAGTGCGCATTTGCGTAAGTGCTGCGAGTTCGTGCATCTAAGCCAGCTCCTTTAATTCATGGCGTTGCGTTCGTCACTAGTTGCGACGCGACGTCTCTTATGAAGATTCGAGGCGCATACTTGAAGGCGCAGACCCAATTGAGGCGAGTGCGTTTTTGCTAGATCTGCCAACATGACAGAATAGCCCACTAGCGGCATCCGATCGCTTTGCACAATGAACCGAAGAGGGGTCGCGAGAATAAGAAAAGCCTGACGCCGAAGGGCGCGCGATTGGACCCGCTAGCGGTCTGATGTGTCACGAGGGCAAGGGAAGAGAGGGTGGGAAAAGAAAAATAGAGAGTAGAGCACTGAAAGAGTACCCGAATAGGAATAGTGTGAGAACAGTTACGAGGAGAATACGAACACCGCACGCGATGGTCAATCACATACGCTGCGTGCAGGCTAAGACGCGCAGCCCCCGAGAATACGAATAGTATACAGAATACTGAAGGAGGAAGAGAAAAGCAGAGGCCCCAATAGTCTGCAAATATAGCACACACCCCAACTAGCTACGTCGAACGCCTTCGCCATTCTTGCACGTCAGTAATAGTTTTGGCACAGCTTGTCTCTCCTGCTCCTTCAATCAATCGAAACCAATGCGGCGAACGTTCGAAAATGTATCCCCATCGCTAACACATGCGAGAAGTTGCGCGCGCGTTCTGAGTTTGCAGGTACTCGAGTGCGACTGTCCAGGAAGCAAGTCCAAAGCGGCCCCCCAGAAGCGACGTCGTCGCTAATGTGGAGGCTGCGTTCGGGGGAAAATAATATCACACGGCGCCCCTCTTTGTAGTCTTCCCTGTCCTTGTCATGCTGTTCACACTATTACCACTGCACTAGAGGCGCTGCCTTCGTTCACTTCAAAGCGCCTCCCAATAAAGTTCCGCTTCTATTTCTCATCAAAGTCGTCACTTTTCAAAAGTATAAGAAGAAGGCGCCAGCCCTCTCTCCCGGCACGGCTCGAAGACGAGGCAGGAGCACGCGTCTGCGCCGGGTTGAAAGGGGACGCGCTCTGGGTGTCCAGCTGGATGAAGTCAAGTCGCCACCACATCGATCCTAAGCCCAAAAGGTTCGGCATCTCGTCGAGGCCAAAGACTTCATCACCATCGGCCTCCTTAGCGTTGTCGCTGTGTCCCTCCTCGGTCCTGCATGTGCATGGTGTCCCTTCGATATCTCCGGCGCCATCAGCCTGCTCAGCCTCGCCGAGGTTGTTGCGGCTGTTCTTGCCAGACATGAACTCCCGACGCGGCATCCTCCTCGGCCTCAGAGAGTGCCCCCCCGGGCTCCTTGCTGCCGCCTAATGGCAGGGATTCATCATCGTCACCACCTCCATCACATGCGTGGCGCTTCGCTTGCTCGATGGCGTTCCTCTCAGCCTGTTGGCGCTAGCTGTAGCAATGAAGCAGAAGACGGGGCGCGCTCGTCATTCTCGCGAAGCTTCAGCTTCACCTTGAAGCCATGCCATCGACGTAGTTCGCCGCTGTGTGGTTTTTGATCATCATCTTCAGCGGCTCCGCGGTCTTCGATCCCACCGCTGTCGCACTCAGCTGCCTGGTGGGCTTTCGACGCTCAGCGAGGCGCTCAAGGATGGCCTCTCGGCCGCGGGTACCTAACGGGCTCGGCCGGTTTCTTGCAGGCAGTCCTGGACTGGATGAAGGGCATTGGTTTCGTTCTCGAAGGTGCCACCAAAGTCCCCAGCCTTGCTGCCTTGCGGGTTGCAGCGCACCTGGTTCCTGATGGGGTTTTCGCTGGTGTCTGTATAGGTCTTACGCAGCAGACCACCCATCGCAGGCCGGAACCTCCTGCCTCTGCTGTTTAGCCTTAGCTTAAAGCCCTTCAGTGCCTCTTCGTTCTCCTGCGCCTTAGTGCTTCCTCATTCATCTTGCGGCTTTTGGTATTCTCCTGCGCATTCGCCGTAGCACTACTGGGCACACACGTCAAGGGGCTGCGCTGTGATTGATGCTGCTGGGTCTTCTGTCTCATGGCTGGCTGCTGGCCTTGTTGGGCGCTAGAGGTCGCCGCGGTAGTGGTGGCGGTGGTGTTCCTCTTATTTAATCGACCCTCGCCACAGCCAGCGGCTTTATGATAGTGGTACTTATTGACGTTGCTGCTAGGGGTAGCGCCTTTGGTGCTTTGCTGTTGTTGCTGTATCCACCAACGCCGTTACGGTTGCCAGTCAAAATAGTTCAGCCGTTTTGATGTGCTTGCGTATGCCATGTATGCTTCTTGTCCAGGCTCTCCAATCTGTTCGAGACACTCGAGACATGGCGCTGGATTTCTTGGCCAAAGAAACCCACCCAGCGCATCTCCGACAGCAGAAGCTGAGCACTCCCGCACGACATTGCCCTGCTGTGCCAGAAGGTTTTCCTTGGTCAGCAATTTCATCTTTCGGCTTTGGTTCGGATGGGTCCGGCTGAGTGGGTAGCTGCTTCGTTTTCTCATAGATGTAGCCAGCACGAGCAGGATCCGCGACGCGGATGCAGATTTCCTGATTGCGCGTTGCTGCATCAGAGTGGCAGGCGATCAAGCTACACGCCGGCGCACCACCTGGGCCACCATCATCGAGCAGCTTTTTGGTGACTGCTTTCAAGCAATAGAAGCCCCGGGCGGGTAGTTGGCTGTCTTCCTGGGGTCACGCTCCCCACACGTCTCCACCAGGTCCTTCATGGTGCTAATGACCATCGGCCGGGAAGCTGTCTCCCTCCTCCTCTTGGGCATGCTTTGTCATCACAGCAAGCACACCCCCACGCGACTTCTTGGCTGTGGTCGTCACGCTGGTGCCTGGTCCACTACCACCAGAATGCTGCACGGAGCTAGTCTGTTGCTGACTTTGGTCCTGGGCCACTAGATTGCCACTGTTGCTCTGGTTATTGTTGCCCTAGTAGGCTTCCCTTGGCGTCTGCTGCTGTTGCCTCATTGGATTAGCATTCGCACCGGCTGCATGGTTCGTGAGCTGTTCTTGTTGTTGGTTCTGTCCTTGTTGCTGCTGCTTTTGTTGGCCTGCTTGCCCTTGCGCTCACATTCCCCCGCGCCGCTGCTGCTGTTGCTGGTTCGTTCCCATCAGGAGCTTCGGCGCGTGTCCATTGCTCACGCTGGGGGTGCCGACGTGGATGCTAGTCAGGTAAGGCGTACATGGATGGCAGGTCGCATTCTCCATCTGGTTGCTGCGGCGTAGCCAAGATTTCATGCTCATCAGGTCCGCGGGCTGGCTGCTGGCTGTGCTGGTGGCTGTGCTGGCGGCTGTCACCTTGTGGGCAGATCCTGGCCTGTGCTGCATCGCAGCAGCTTTTTACGTATTGCGCCGCCATGGTCAGCCTTGCTTTCGCGAAATTAGTAAGGAGCTACAGCCACGCGCGAGATCTTCCATTCGGAAGCACGCTCCAGGTCGCTGATTTTTGTCCTGTAACGTGGACGCTTATAGTGTAACTCTAGATCTTCTAATGCTTCCACGGTCAGCAGCGGGTCGATCGCGTGTCGTGGATACTCGCGCGCCCTTTGGTTGATATGCACAAGGACCGCCAATATGTCAGCCCCGGGCGCTGGTGTCGTGGGACGCCGACCACGCGCCAACGCGTAACTTATGTCGTTTCCTCCTCAATGCCTTAGAGGCTCGCCCTGCAATGCTGTAACGCTGTTCGCTGTTCGTAACGTCATACGTAGAGGAGTCTACGCTTATCGCTGTGCTACGCGTGGCTGCTACTCGGTCGTGGCTGCGCTGTAGTGCTTGGAGTCAAGCTGGGTGCAAGTTGTGGCACCCGTGGCCACAATGAGTGGTAGATCTGGTAGTAGTGCGCAGCTGCAAGCTGTCAGACGTATATCTACCCGCGTGCAAGGTCGCAGCAGCCTAAATAATCAACGACCAGAAAAAGGCCCCCCACCTTTTACGCCTGACGTGGACAAAAGTAGCCGCAGTCCTCTACTGCCTAAGGCAATCCGCATGGCTATCGCCGTCTTCTGAATGCCATCGAGGAGCTTTCGCGGAGTGCCCTCAAATATCCAACGAGCACGGTAATAAACAATCGCTACGCACAAGGAAAAAATCGAGCAAGAAAAATCACAACACAGACGACAAAACGGCCGATCCCTCCGCACTCTCTCACTTATATAACCACAGCCAACCAATCACCATCCAAGTACTCGAGTAATAAATACCCGCCACCGGTCATGAATTTTTTACGCCGGTAACCAAATCCAAAGAATAAAGCAAGCAGACACGCCCCCAGTCAGCGCATGAATGTAGTTAGAATTTGGTTAAAGTTTTCGGCTTTTGAGAAAATCCCGACCGACAGACACCACAACACACCCGCGCCAGCTGATCTGGCTGCCGGGGGGCAACAACCGACCCGACACAAAAAGCCCACGAAAGACCGCACCGAGCGAACCCGTGCCACCGCAATGCAATAACAGGCGCCCGCGAGTCTAGCGCATGCATCTGGGCCGGCCTCCAGCAAGCGGCCCCACACACTTCGAGAAAGATACCTTAGGAAAAAGCCCGACACAAAGAGCCGACACCACACCAGCCCGCGAGGCTCACCGGCGCGGACGTTAAGGCCACACTTCGAGGGGTCAGCGAACCGTGACCCCGACGCCTCCTCCAGAATCACGCGACCCGACCCACGCAACCTGACTGGCGTGGACGTTACAGCCCCACTCCAGCTCAGCGAGCACTGCTCGGCGCGGGGCCTCAACGTCCACACGCGCACCACCCAGCCAACCCCGCGGAGCTTGCACGAGCACCAAGCCACGCCTCGAGGCCTGCCAGCGGAATGCGGCGGGTGCGTCGGATGCGATCCAGTCTACATCACGGCTACGCGGCCCGAAGGCAAGCGCCCCAAGACCCCGCGGGAACCGGTTGAAAAACCAGGCAAAGTTGACGGCTAAAAATAAGAACGGCTAACGTTGACACGGGTAAAATAGCGCCAATCTTGGGAACGGTTAACAAAGACAGCGACACCTCCTTCCAAAACTCGGCGGGAGTGCTCTAAACCGACCCCAAAAGTAAATGTGGGCGACTTCTAGGCGAAATCGCACGAGAAAAAGACCAAAAATTTTGAGCGTTTTTTTGGGAAAGTTTGAGCCCTTTTCTAGCCGTTTTTTAACCGTCGACCGGGACCCGGGACCCAACCCCCCTAGCCCGGACACGACCCCTACCGAGTCCCCCCATCCCTTCGAGTGCGAGGCCCAGCACTTCCACGCGAGCTGTTGCGCCCATCGTCAAGCCCCGGGGCCGTGGCTCAGTGTGGGCACCTAATGACAGAGACACTCCTCCAAATTTCCCCGGCCCCTCCTCCACAGGGGGCGGGGCAAGACGACCAAGCAACAGAAGACAAACACAAACAAACCCAACCCACTGAAAAGCAGCACGAAAACACCCAAGAGACCAGAAGCATCATACCCGAAAGCCGATGGCCTATCGTCACCCTGACCAACTTCAGCAATGCACCCCCTTCAGCCGACACCCCTAAGACATGCACCCCCGAGCCGAGCCACTCAGCCAAAGCACACAGAGCCGGCACCGATCGAAAGAAACGACCGAAAAAGCCCGGGGACTTTTTCGGTCGTCTTTTTTGATCCGCTGCCACAGGTTTCAAGACTCGCGAGACCTCTGTAGAGTACCAGAAAGGACACACACTCCGAAGCGCCTCCCTTGCCGCTCGCAAATATACCAACAAAACAACAAGAGAAAGGCAGAAAAACCCCAGAAACGAAACAGACACACAACGGCCCAAGGCGGGCGCCCCGCGATCCCAAAAAGCCGACTCCTTTAGCCAGTTCCTAACGCCATTGGTGGCCGGGTGCCCGTCCGCCTGAAATAAGAGCAAAACGATAAGCAATGTGTCCACCTCCATCCACAGACAAAGAAAACAACACACAACAGAGAGCCACGCGGCTAAATCTACTATGAACAGCTGGCATAAGCGTAGCGATTCCTTTACCCACTTACTTACTCCGCCACCAGCCAAGACCAACACTACACTCACACACGCAGGGGCGAGATGCTAAGTAATCGCATAACCCTCCACCAGCCACAAAGCAGCACTAAGCAAATGGATCGAGAAGAAGACAGATGGGATCGCAAATTCATCCAGTTTGAATTTCGGCACTGAGGTTCCTTATTCTCAAACCGAGGCTCTCCATCATATTTAAGCCGTAAGCTTCACACATCAGCACCACAGCGCTGGAATTCAGCGCCAGAACTTAGCACAAGACCCCGCGGCTTCGTACTTACTCCCAAGGCCTTCAGCACTTCACAAACACAAAGCAGCAACCGAAAAAGACCGACACGACCGAAGGCACGTAGGTAAATAATCTCGAACAGCACAAGCCGAGGAGCCTGCTCCAGTCGCCAGGTGAAAACTTACATACTCACCCCCTAATACGTAGCCGCGCCCTTATTTTTAAGCCGCCTCTAGTTGTAGACTCACAGGCAGGCCGAATGGCGCCAGGGGTGCTCTTCCGAGTCATGAACTTCCGAACTTTCCAAGCCTTCCACAGTTTCCAAGCCTTCCAAGCTTCCCAAACTCTCCCAGCTTTCCCAGCCTCCCCAACTTTCCAAAATTTCCGAGCTTTCCCAATTTTCCCAACTTTCCGAGCTTTCCAAGCTCTCCAAAACTCCCGAACTTTCCAAGCGTGGCGAGCTTTCCGAGCTTTCCAACCTCTCCGAGCTTTCCCAGCTTTCCGAATTTTCCAAAAGTTCCAACCTTTTCGAAATTTCCGCACGTTCCAAACTTTCCCAAATTCCCCAGCTTTCCGAAGTTATGAACTTAAGGGCTTGCGACTATGAACTTACGACATGACTACGGACTTACGCATCCCGCCCCGCCCGGTCGGTGGGCTCCCATCATCATCACCGCCACCGCTTAGTTCTTACAGCCTTAGGAACTTAGCAAAGGGATTCCGAATTTGCGAGGCTTGGGAACTGGTTAGCCCTGAGCCTACGCAGATGGCCGCGAAAGTTAAAACCTACACGACAAAGCCAAAGCTTTCCCAGCTCCTTCGAATCACCTCAAAAAACTGAGGAAAGGCCTGGGAATGAGGTGACCCTGACCCCGCGCAGATGGGCGCGAGATTTAAAGTCTACACGGTATAGAGAAATAATCAAAATTCTTCCGGCTTGTCCTCAAAAAATTGAAAAAGAGTCCGGGAACTGGTTGGCCTGGGGCCTTAAAGTGTCAAGCTGAAAGCCCACAGCTGAAAGCCCAAAGCTGAGGACCCAAAGTCGAAGGCCCAAGGATAAAGGCCCAGGGCTGAAAGCTCAAAGCCGAAAAGGAAAACCCAAAGCCCAAAACTGAAAGCGCAAAACCCAAACCCCAAAGCCTGAAATTTTAAAGCTAGAAGCCCAAAGAAAACCGAAAGCGCGAAGCGGAAAGCCCCAAGGCAAAAGCCCAAGGCCGGGCGCCTAAGATTAAAGGCCGCGCCTCAGTGTCTGAAAGTTTCAAGCATGAGCCTGGACGCCCAAAGCTCCCAGCTTTCTGCGTAGAAAGCCGACACCTTCCAGAAATTATGCCCCTGGCAGGCTTGTCCCTGTTGTTGTGGTGGTGGTGTTACCGAGTAACACCCGCAACCTAAATAGCGCGCGTCTTGTTCTTGTTCGTCGCCTTAAGTTACGGCGGTACTGTACTGGATGGCCATCCATAATCATAGTGCGCCACCATCTTAAGGGGATCCCCATTAAAATACGGATCCCAGCCGCTGCGACCATCATCAGAAGACTCAGAGCCTTGAGCCTGATGGGATTCACATCATTCAGCGAGAAAATTCAGAAGGAGAAAGACGAAGAGAACCATCAACCAACAGACCAAGAAAGACGGACCAAACGACTTAACTCAAGGAATGCGGAGCACAAAGCGACCTGGCTGGGCCTTGGTCTTCATGCGTAACATTATCCAAGAGAAACGAAGCCCGAAAAATTCCCATCCAAAGTCTTTGGCTGTATCTATCACGAGACGAGGAAGCCCGACGACACAAGTTGCAAACTCGAGCGCTGCAGCTTGGTTGTTGCACGCAAAGAAGGCCAAACCGACCAAAAGAAGAGCACACCGACAAGCCAGCGGCTTCAGCCCATGCCTTTTTAATCAATGGCCGCACGCCGTGCCCCGCCCCACTCTTACTCCAACGATCAGCGCCGCCAGATGGTTGGCGGCGGGGCAAGAGTCAGGGAAGCCGAACCATGCCGGGGCTGAGGAAGTGCGTGCAGGTGGTGGATGATCTTAGTCAGTGGGAGGAGTGCTAACGGGCGCCCAAGTCTACTTCTAAAGAGCGAAATTAAAAAACAACGACGGCCCCCCCGACTCTCAAGCTTCCACTTCCGAGCCCCAAGCCCTTCCACTTCTGACTCCTGTACTTCTGAGCTTTCGAAACTTTCCCAGCCTTCCAAGCTTTCCGAACTTTCCAAGCCTTCCATGCTCTCGAAGCTTTCCGAGCTTTCCAAACTCTCTCGGCCTTCCCAACTTTGGAAGCCTTCCAAGCTTTCGCAACCTTCGCAACTTCTTTCACAGCTTTCACAACTTTCCCAAGCTTCCTAAAATTTCCAACCTTTCCAGGGATGCTCTTTTCCAAGCTTTCCGGCCTTTCCGAGCTTTCCAAACCTTCGAAGCCTTCCACCATCCCCACCCCCGTCCCGATCCCGGCCCCATCATCCTCCCCCTCCTCATCCCCCTCGTCCCTTCGTCCCTTCGTCCCTTCAGCCCTTCAGCCCTCCAGCCCTGCAGCCCTGCAGCCCTGCAGCCCTTCATCCCTTCGTCCCTTCGTCCCTTCGTCCCTTCGTCCCTTCGTCCCTTCGTCCCTTCGTCCCTTCGTCCCTTCGTCCCTTCGTCCCTTCATCCCTTCATCCCTTCATCCCTTCATCCCTCATCCTCACCACCACCAGGCGAGGAGCGCACAACTCCTCATCTTCACCACCACCAGGCGAGGGGCGCACAACTCGTAAGGTCGGTCTGCGAATCTGGAGGAATCTGGACGACGCTGAGGACGCTGAGAACGCTGAGGGCGCTCAGGGCGCTGAGGACGCGGAGGGCGCTACCCCCTTCGGTTCGTGTGGCAGCACTGAGGGCGCTACCCCCTTCGGCTCGTGTGGCACTGAGGGCGCCACCCCCTTCGGCTCGTGTGTGCTGTCTTCTGTTTTGGTGTCTTCTGCTCCTCCATGTCGTCAGCCTTCTCCGTGTCTCCTGTTTTGGGGTCTTCTGCTCCCCAGTGTCGTCAGCCTTCTCCGTGTCCCCGGTTTTGGTGTCTTCTGCTCCTCAGTGTCGTCAGCCTTCTCCGTGTCCTCGGTTTTGGTGTCTTCTGCTCCTCAGTGTCGTCAGCCTTCTCCGTGTCTTCTGTTTTGGTGTCTTCTGCTCGTCAGTGTCGTCAGCCTTCTCCGTGTCCTGTGTTTTGGTGTCTTCTGCTCCTCAGTGTTGTCCGCCTTCTCCGTGTCTTCTGTTTTGGTGTCTTCTGCTCCTCAGTGTCGTCGGCTTCCTCCGTGTCCTGTGTTGGGTGAGAAACTACGCGCGAGCTAGGTAGTGAACACCCAAGTGCCTGCAGTCGTTCTCGCCTTGCTGTCCTTATGTGGAAAGTCCTGGACTCTTATGCGAGGCGGTTGGGGTTGGTGTGAAACGGTTCGGGCTGACCACCCGAGTGCCTGAATGTCGTCGGAAGATGGTCCGGAGCTTGCTCCACCCTCTCGCGCTGGCAGGGCTTCCGGGCTGGCCGGGCGGCGGCAGTGGGGGGCGCGCGATTTCACTCTCCACCCTCGCGCTCGCGCTGGCAAGGCCTCTGGGCCGGCCGGGCGCGGCTGGGGGGTGCGCGATTTCGCTCCCCACTGTCTTGCGCTGGCAAGGCCTCCAGGCTTGTCAGTCTTTCAACTTCAACGCAAGTGGGCGCTGAAGAACCAAGCCGATACTGTCCAGAGCTCAGCCGCGGCGCGGCCTCTGGCCAGGTCTGGGCTGGCGCTGCCCTAGGCTTGATCCCATTGACGCCTACCGCGTGCATCGCTTCACATCACACGCGGAGAGGAGCAGGAGCGGGGGCTGAGCACTGACCTGAGCAGAACACACGAGAGCCAAAGCGCTGGCGTGGCCCTTGTTCTTGTTGGTGTTGTGAGTGTTCACTTCTCGCCCCCTCTCAGCTCGCCCAACCTCCGGCCTGTTCTTCAACTTCAGCGCAAGCTTGTGGACGCTGAAGGGCCAGGCCTATTGCAAGCCTTGCGCATACTGCCCAGGATTCGGCTTCTGCGCAGCCTCTGGCCTGGCGCTGCCCTGGGCTTGATCTCATTGATATCGATTTGCCCCGTGCACCACAACACACGCAAGCACGTGGGCGCTGAAGAACCGGGCCCATTCTGGGCCTTGTATATACTGCCCAGGATTCGGCTGCAGCGCCGCCCCCAGTCTGGCGCTGCCCTGGGCTTGATCTCATTGGTTTGACTTGCCTGGCCCCGTTCATCACAACACACGCGGAGAGGGGTGGGGGCTGAGCAGCAAGCACGACAAGAACGCCGGACCTTCTCAGCCTTGTCACATGTGCGCGCGTTGTTCTTCAACTCCTACCGAAACCGAAGAGGGCGCTGAAGAGCCGGGCCCATTGTAGGCCTCGCCTTGCATGTCGATCCTGCCCAGAACTCGGCCCCCACGCCGCCTCTGGTCTGGCGCTGCCCTGGGCTTGGTCTCATTGATTTGACCAAAGCGGCCCCGTGTATGTGCATCGCAACACACGCGGAGAGGAGTGGGGGCCGAGCAGAAGGCAAGACGAAAACGCTACACCCTCTCAGCCTCAGCCCCGTCGCAACACGTCACACATCACATGTGCGCGCGCTGTTCTTCAACTTCTTCTACCGAACCGAAGTGGGCACTGAAGAACTGGGCCAAGGACGCGGCTTCAGCGCAGCCTCTGGCTTGGCGCTGCCTTGGGCTTGAGCTCTTCCCATGCCATTGATATACTTGTCGCGCCTAACCTCGTGCATCACAACACACGCGGAGAGGAGTGGGGGCTGAGCAGCCTCCTCCTTTTCTTCTCTTAGTGTTGTCTGTGTTCTTTTTTTCTCTTAGTGTTGTCTGTGCCCTTTCCGAGCTAACCCCCTTGGCTGCCGTTGTGGCTTTCTGCGTTTTCTCTCTGCGTATTCCAGACGCAACGCGATAGAACCCCAGTGACCATCCTCGGCTTTAGCTTCGACGTTTGCCGCAGCCAAGTCTTGGCAGCCTCCTTCTTTTCATTCTTTATATATGAGGTCGGGGCTCACTTAGGTCCCGCGACGCTTCAGACCTCTCCAGTTGTTGAATAGCAGAGGAAGCGAAGCCCCTCTCGCTTCCTTCTCGTTGTATCCTCAGAGTGGGCATCTTCTCAACAGTCAAACAGCCTGACCTTACAGCTTCAGGGCAGACTTATGCGCCCCACCACCACCACCACCACCATCCCAATCACCATCACCCCCACCGCCACCATCATCATCATCACCGCCGTCATCATTATCAGCGCCACCACTGAAGGAACGTATGAACTTGCAAGCCCATGAGCCTGCGGGGCTTGGGGGTTGGTTCGCTAGACCTGACCTCACGCAGATGGGCCCGGCAGTTAAAACCTAACCTACGCGATAAATTCAACAACTACACAATTTGAACGCAAAAAATTGAAAAAAGGCCTGGGAGTCGACTAGCGTAGCCCTGTCTTCACGCAGATGGGCAGTGAGTTCAAAGCCTACACGATAAAGCCAAAACTTTTACGATGGATCTGAAGCCAAAAAATTGAAAAAAAGCCCAAGAACTGGCTAGCTTTGAGCCTTGAAGCTTCAAGCTGAAAGCCCACACCTGACGGCCCAAAGCTGCAGACCCAAAGCTGCAGACCCAAAGCCGAAGGCCCAAAGCTGAACGGCCAAAGCTGAAGGCCCGAAGCTGAAAGCTCAAAACCAAAAGCCCCGAGGCGAAACAAAGCTCAAAGCCGAAAGCCCAAAGCTGAAAGCCCGGGGCCCAAAGCCCAAAGTTGAAACTTGAAAACCAAAGACAGAGACAGACAGCTCAGACAAAGCTGAAACAAAGCTCAAAACCCAGCGCAAAGCCGAAGGCCCCAGGCTAAAAACCCAAGGCTGAGCGCTTAAGACTAAAGGCCGCGCCTCAATGTCTCAAGGCTTCAATCTTGAGACAGGAGAGCCAAAGTCTTTGACTACACTATATCCAATAAAGGCGAAGCAAGCTTGAGAAATTCCCTCCCAAAGTCTTTGACTGTATCACAAGACGAGGAGCCCCGACAAGTTGCAAAGCCGAGCGCCGCAACCAACTTGCACGCGAAGAAGGCTAAACCTACCAAAAGAAAAGCACACCGACAAGCCAGCGACTTCGGGTTCGGTCCGTGCCTCTTTAATCGATGGCCACACGCCGTCCCCCCGCCCAGCTCGTGCCCAAACGATCAACCCCGCCAGACGGTTGGCGGGCGGGGCAAGAGCCGGGAGAGCAGAGCCACGCCGGAGTTGAGGGAGCGCGTGCCGGGGGTGGATGATCCTAGTAGGGGGAGCGCTACCGCCAGGCGCTCAAGTCTAGTAGTGGGATCCTTACTTAGTGATGTTGAGACGAGCGCCCTTCTTGGTCATGAGAGTAGCCACTCTATCTCTAATATGTTGACGCTGAATCAAATGCGTTGACTTCCTGGGCTTTTCATATTGATGGGCAAAAGAAGCAGCTAAAGGTAGGGGCCGCGGCAAGCTCCAGCTTAGTCCGTCGCCGATGTAGTTGGCATAAGCTGGCGCATTATATTTATCAACTTTTCGCGGAGTTCGTAAGAAACAAGAAAAAGCTATCTTATGGACTCAGCCAAGAGAATACACAAGCGACCTACCTGGGACCGGTCCTGTTTTCCTAGAGTTGGAAACCCCTAGCCCGAGAACCAGAGGCGCCTGCCCCTAGAGTCAGAGACTCCACTTCCGCTCCTAGAATCAAGCGCGCGCGCTCCTAGAAGACCGACAGACAAGAACTTCTGCAGCCCGTCAGCCACCCCGCGAAGCCTCCTAATGCCTTCACCTACGTCAGCAAGCAGCGGCTACTCAGTAACCCCGCCGCTAGCCTGTGCCTGCTAGGCGAGACGCCAGCACAGATAAGGCGGCCGTGGGGGCGTCGTGGCGCGCGTCGATCCTCGCTGCCGGGAGGGACGAAGCCCCGCGTGCCACATGTGCGGGGGCGTGCTTGCGTGGCTTTACCGCCTAAGACGCCACACATGACCCGCCCGCCCAGCCAAAGCTACGCGACCCAGTGAGAGACACGCCGCCGCCCCTGGTGCGTTCCTCTTTTCTTACCGCTATGAATCGCGAAGCCGTGGCGCTGCTCGCCTGCTCCTCCACAGTCTGAGAGCCCACAGCGGAGGCCCCTGGATGGCTTCGCGAATGCCTCACACGAGACTACGCGGCGCCGCGCCCCGTCGGTCTCCCCTTCAGCTCTTTCGCCTTTTGCAGCAGCTCTCCCCAAGGTGTTGCGCTTTTGCCAGGTCAGCTTGTTCCCCGTCCTGTGTTGTGTCTGTTTCGTTCTTTAACTCGCTTCGTTTCCTTTCATATTCTGCCTCCGTTGTTCTTCTCAGCCACTTCCAGTCTGTGCGAGGTGCTTCCCACCGACATGCCCGGCGCCTTGCGCGGCTTCTCTCCGCCGTTTGTTTGTTTCGTGGTCGCTGGTTCTGTTGTGTCATCTACAACGCCCGCCCCTTGGTGCTTCAGCGCATGCCTGTCATAACTGTACAAGCAGCACACGCCCCATGGCGTTCCGCGGCTTGCTCCGTCCTGTGTTTGAACTATCACACCGCGCGCCCCTTTCTGTTTTGTTTTTGAATCTCGCTCCACTTCCCCAGTCCCTTGCCATGTCTCAGCTTGCTCACAGGCTTCCCCCTGGCCTCGTCTTCGGTTGCTTGGTGGTGTCTCCTCGCTTTGGTTGTGGGTTTCTCTGCCTGTTTCGCATTCTGCTGAGCTTCGCACCCCCTTCCGCCTCGTCGCTGCGTGGTGTTGCATTCTGTTCCACTCCCCCGCCCGCTCTTCACGTTCTGCACCCTGACCCTTTACGTGACGCCGCTAGCCGAGTGAGCTTCCTTTCTGGGGTGCCTCGCATGGGCTTCGCTTCTTTTGTGCCCGCCTTCATCATGTGCACGCATCTGCGAAGCTCTACGCCCCACCCTGGGGCCCCACGTTGCCCCCGCTTTGGTTTGTGTCAGGTATGCCCTCACGCTTCCCTTCCTGCTCAGCTCATTCCCCCGCCCCGCTTGCCAATTCTGTGCCCCTTTTCCTTTCGTATTCGTTTGGTGTTTCACCCCGCTCCCCTGGCTGGTGATTCCTCCACCCCACTCCTTTGGGCTTTCGGTGCTTCTAACTTCTTCCTGGTGTCCCGTTCCGCCTCCTGTCCATTTCGTTCCCCTTCTTTCGCATTTCCTCCCACTTCTTTGGCATTTCCTTCCACTTCCTTGGGGTTTTGTCCTTGCGTCTTTTTTTTTATACTCCACACCCCGCCCCCTTTGCTTCCTTTGGGTTTCGTTCTCTTCAGCCGCTTCATGTTTCGCCCCCCTTTCTTGGCACTTCCTTCCGCCTCATCCCCCGCATCTTGCTCCACACTCTTGGCACTTCGTTCCACTTTCTCCCTGTGTATGTATCACCCCCACCCCGCTCTCCTGTGCTTCGGGTTCGCCCCGCCTCTCCCGCTGGCGTCTGCTCTGTCACTCAGCTTCCCCCAGCCGGCATCGCCCCACCCCCTCAGCATTGCTCCCCACCTCCTTGGCGTTTTGCTGCACTTCCGTGGCGCCTCGTTCCGCCGACCTCTGTCAGATTTCGCCCAACTTTTCCCCTCTGTGCTTGTATTAATTTCACCCCAGTCCCCTGGCGCTTGTCCGCTCTGTCTTCCACCTGTTTCACCTCCTTGCCCTCGTCTTTCTTCCACTTCCCCACGCATTTCGTTCCACTTTCTTCCTCTTGGCATCTTGTTCCACGTCTGTGGCGTTCCGCTCAACTTTCGCCCTGTCCTTCTCGAGCCTCTTGGCGTTGGTTTTGTCCCGCTGTTTTTGGGCTTCGTCCCTCTTTCTCCGCGTTCCATTCGCTCCACCTTCTCCCTGATTCGTCCCACCTCCTTCACACTTCGCCCCATTTCTTTCGCATTTCGTTCCAGTTTCTATCTTCGTACTTCGTCCCACTTCCCTCCGCCAGATTTCTCCCCACTTTCTTCGCCTTTCGTTTCATTTTCTTCACAGTTCACCCCACTTTGTCCCTAGCATTTTCGCACTTCGCTCCACTCTCTTCACCTTGTTCGACTCTCTTCACCCTCTTCGACTCTCTTCACCTTATCGAGCCGACCCCCTTCACCGTTTCACCCTCTTCACATTTCGCTCCACTTTCTAGCCTTTTCGCATTTCGTTCCACTCTCTTCACCTTGTTCGACTCTATTCGCCTTGGCTTGTTCGACTCTCTCCACCTTGTTCGACTCTCTTCCCATTCCCTTCGCATTTCGTTGCCCGACTCTCTTCGTATTTCGTTCGGCTCTCTTCCAATTTCGTTCGACTTTCCTTGTGTTTCGTTCCACTTTTCACCCCGTTCATATGCAAAGACATGAGCGCACAACCCCCAGGCAGTTAAAAACCTTCGAGCAGTTACAAGCCTGGAAGCAGCAAAGAAAGGAAGGCCAGAAAAGACGCCCATACGAGGCCGCCACCCGTCAGTCTCGGGCAAAGAAGGGGCCGCCAAGGAGGCCAAGGCGTGCCGAAGTGGGCGCGAGTTGTTTGCTGTGTGTGTGATTGTGGGGCGCCTTGCGCGTCTCGTGGCGTCCTGCGAGTGTGGGCAACGTCTTGCGAGCGCGAGCGCGAGCATCGTCTTGCGAGTGGGAGCCGCGTCCCGTGAGTGCGCGCCGCGTTTTTCAGGTGCGAGCTGTGTCCTGCGAGTGCGAGGCACGTCCTGCGAGTGTGAGCCGCGTTAGCCTTGCGAGTGGTGTGAGTCACGTCTTGCGAGTGTGGGCCCCGTCGTGTCCATCTTGCGAGTGAGCCCAGCCGCGTCTTGCAAGTGAGCCCAGTCGAGTGCGAGTCGCGTCCTGCGAGTCACGCCGTGCGAGTGCGCGTCGCGTGCGTCTTGCGAGTGTGAGAGAGCGGCAACGCCTTGTAGTGGGTCTGGGTGCGAGCGAGTCGCGTCTTGCGAGTGTTGGCTGCGTCTTGCGAGTGCGCGGAGCGCCTTGCGAGTCGCGTCGTGCGAGTCACGTCGCGCGAGTCGCGTCGCGCGAGTCGCGTCGTGCGAGTCGCGTCGTGCGAGTCGCGTCGTGCGAGTCGCGGCGCCGTGCAAGTCGCGTCGTGCAAGTCACGCCGCGCGACTCACGTCATGCGAGTCGCGTCGTGCGAGTCGCGTCGTGCGAGTCGCGTCGTGCGAGTCGCGTCGTGCGAGTCGCGTCGTGCGAGTCGCGTCGTGCGAGTCGCGTCGTGCAGGTCCGTCGCGTCGTGCGAGTCGCGTCGTGCGAGTCGCGTCGCGCGAGTCGCGTCGTGCGAGTCGCGTCGTGCGAGTCGCGTCATGCGGGTCGCGCCGTGCGGGTCGCGTCGTGCGAGTCGCGTCATGCGAGTCACGTCGTGCGAGTCACGTCGTGCGAGTCGCGTCGTGCGAGTCACGTCGTGCGAGTCACGTCGTGCGAGTCGCGTCATGCGAATCGCGTCGCACGAGTCACGTCATGCGAGTCGCGTCGTGCGAGTCGCCTCATGTGAGTGCGAGCCGGGCCTTGCGGTTGCGGATGCGATTTGCGTCTTGCGAGTGCGAGCGGGGGCCGCGTCCTGCGAGCGCGAGCGGCTCTCTGGCTGCGACTGTGAGTCACGTCATGCGAGTGCGGTCCACGTCTTGCGAGTGTGGGCCGCGTCTTGCGAGTCAGTGCAGGTCGCGCCGTGCAGGTGTGAGGGGCGTCGTGTGAAGTGAGTGCGGGGCGCGTCGTGCGGGTGTGAGAGTGAGTCGCGCCCTGCGAGTGTGAGTGTGTCACGTCTTGCGAGTGTGAGTCAGTCGAGACCTGCGAGCCGCGTCCGCCTGCAGGTCGTGTCCTTCCTCCCTGCGAGCGAGTGCAGGCCGCGTCTTGTGGGTCGCGCCTTGCAGGTCGCGTCTTGTCGTGAGTCACGTCATGCGAGTCACGTCCTGCGGGTCCGGTCGTGTCTTGCGATTCGCGTCCTGCGAGTCGCCCGCGGCTCGTGGGTGCGAGCTGCAAGCTGCGAGTATGGGCCGCGGCTTGTGAGTGCGGGCCGCGTCTTGTGAGTCGCGTCTTGTGAGTGCGTGCGAGTCAGTCGCGCCGTGCGGGTCGCGTCTTCTCTTGTGGGCAGTGTCGTGCGCGTGTTGGTCACGTCTTGCGAGTGCAGGCCGCGTCTTGCGAGCCGTATCATGTGAGAGCGAGCCTGTCGCGCTCACGTCTTGTGGCTGAGTGCGGGCCGCGTGTGTCTATCTTGTGGCTGTGACTTGTGAGCGTGGTGAGGGAGTCGCCCCATGTGGGTCATGTCTTGCGAGTGCGGGCCGTGTGCATGTCTTGTGAGTGTGTGCCGTGTAATGTATTGTGAGTCTGAGCCGCGTCCCATGAGTGCGGCCTCTCTGCATCTTGCGAGTGCAGGCCACGCCTTTTGAGTGTGGGCCGCGTCTTGCGAGTGCGGCTGCGGGTTGCGTGTGCGTCAGTCTTGTGAGTGTGAGCCGCGTCTTGCGAGTGCGGGCCGCGTCTTGTGGGTCCGGGCCGCGTCTTGTGGGTGCGAGCGGTGTCCTGTGGGTCACGTCGTGTGAGAGTGAGTCACGCACCGCGTTGGCGGGTCGCGTCTTCTCTTGCGGGTTCGAGCCGTGTCTCGCAAGTGTGGGCCAGCTGTGTCCTGTGAGTTGTGTGCGCCGCGTCTTGTGGGCGCGGGCAGTCGCGTCGTGTGGGTGTGGGTTGCGTCTCGTGGTTGTGAGTGTGGGCCGTGTCTTGCGCGTGTCAGTCGTGTCTTGTGAGTGTGGCCCGCGTCTTGCGAGTGCGAGCCTGTCGCGTCTGGTGAGGGAGTGGGAGGCGCGTCCTGTGAGGGGGTGCAGGCCTTGCCTGTCGAGAGGGTGCAGACTGTGTCTCTCGAGTGCGAGTCTGTCGCGCCTTTTTCTTTAGATTAGTGTCCTGCGGGTGTGCTGGGAGGGCTATGGGTGTCTTATGCGTTTGCCGTTGCCTCGCATGTCTTCGCTGTTGTGGGTAATGTGGCGCGTGTCTTGCGTGTATGGCCGCGCCTGGCGAGTCATGTGGGCGCGTCTGTCATGTCTGGCAATTATAATCTTGCGCGGCTTTCTATTTCTTAGCGACGCCGCCGACAGGGTGGCTTCCAAGTAGGTGCGCAGCCGCTCATAATGCGCATCGGCGCAAATGCAAAGCGAGCCAAAAGGTGCCGCGTTGTGGTGGGGGTTGCTTGCTTTGTATAGGTGTCTTGCCATACAGCTTGCAGGCCAAATGGGGAGGGAAGACTGGCAAAAAAAGGCACGGGGAAACTGCTGAAAATGTGCGTGCCCCGCATGGTGAAAAAGATCCGCGGGGCCCTGGGACTGATGAGAAGACCCATCTCCATGGCGCCGGGAGACTGCTGAAAACAAAAGTAAGAGCAGCGCAGACCCCTGAAAGAGCAGGCTGGGCTGCTAAAAAGATCACACGGAGGCCGCCTCCGTTAGTTTTTCCGTCGGTTTTCCGCTATCCGTTAGTCCGTTAGTGTCGCCGGTGGTTTATCCGTTAAGCGACCCGAATCCTTTAAGCAGTTCAAAGAATCCCTTCCGCAGTTGTCGAATCTTTTCCGCAGTCACTCAATCTTTTGAGTCGCGTCGTGTGAGTCACGTCGTGCGGGTCGCGTCGTGCGAGTCGCGTCATGCGAGTCACGTCATGCGAGTCACGTCGTGCGGGTCGCGTCGTGTGAGTCGCGTCGCGTGAGTTGCGTCGCGCGAGTCGCGTCGTGTGGTCCCCGTCGTGTGCGTCGCGTCGTGTGAGTGTGAGCCGCGTCTTGCGAGTGCGCGCCGCGTCTTGTGAGCGCGGGCCGCGTCAGTCTTGCGAGTGTGAGCCGCGTCGGTCTTGCGAGTGGGGGCCACGTCAGTCTTGCGAGCAGGAGCCGCGTCTTGCGGGTGTGAGCTGCGTCCTGCGGTGCGGGTGCCGGCCGTGTCTTGTGAGAGAGTTTGGGCCGCGTCTTGCGAGTGTGAGTCACGTCGTGTGAGTACGGGCTGTCTGTGTCTTGCAAGTGCGGGCCGTGTCTTGCGAGTGTGAGCCCCGTCATATCTTGCGAGTGAGCCCACTCGCGTCCTGCAAGTGAGTCCAGTCGTGCCCTGTGAGTGTGAGCCGCGTCCTGCGAGTCGCGCCTTGCGAGTGCGCGTCGCGTGCGTCTTGCGAGTGTGAGAGAGTCGCGTCTTGTAGTGGGCGCGAACGAGTCACGTCTTGCGAAGCGAGTTTGAGCCGCGTCCTGCGAGCGCGAGGAGCGCCCTCCCCTGCGAGTCGCGTCGTGCAAGGCGCGCCCTGTGGGTCACATCTTGCGAGTGTGGGCCGCGTCTTGCGAGTGCGAAAACGAGTCACATTCTGACAATGTGAGTGGGTCACGTCTTGCGAGTGTGCGCCGCGACTTGCGAGTGTGGGCCGCGTCGATCTTGCGAGTGCGGGCCACGTGCGTCTTGCGAGTGCGGGCCACGTGCGTCTTGTGAGTGCGATCCGCGTCTTGCGAGTGCGAGCCGCGTCGTGCGGGCGCGCGTGCGCGTGCGGGTGCGGGTCTTGCGAGTGCGAGCGCAAGCGCGAGTGCGGGTCGTGTCTTGCAAGTGCGAGTGCGAGTGCGCGCCGCGTCTTGCGAGTGCGGGCCGCGTCGTGCGAGTCGCGTCGTGCGAGTCGCGAGCGTCGTGCGGGTCGCGACGTCGTGTGAGTCGCGGCGCCGTGCGAGTCGCGACGTCGCGCAAGTCACGACGTCACGCGAGTCGCGACGTCGCGCGAGTCGCGTCGTGCGAGTCGCCTCATGTGAGTGCGAGCCGAGCCTTGCGAGTGCGATTTGCGTCCTGCGAGTGCGAGCGGGGGCCGCGTCCTGCGAGCGCGGGCTGCTCTCTGGCTGCGACTGTGAGTCGCGTCATGCGAGTGCGATTCACGTCCTGCGAGTGTGGGCCGCGTCTTGCGAATGTGGTTCGCGTCTTGTGGGTCACACCTTGCGGGTCGCGTCTTGTCATGGGTCATGTCATGCGAGTCGCGTCATGCGGGTCGTGTCTTGCGAGTCGCGTTCCGCGAGTCACGCGCGGCTTGTGAGTGCGAGCTGCGGGCTGCGAGTATGGGCCGCGCCTTGTGGCTGCCGGCCGCGTCTTGTGAGTCGCGTCCTGTGAGTGAGTGCGCGCGAGTCGTGGCGCGTCGCGTCGCGTCTTCTCTTCTTGTGGGCAGTGTCGTGCGCGTGTTCGTCGCGTCTTGCGAGTGCGGGCCACGTCTTGCGAGCCGTATCATGTGAGAGCGAGCCTGTCGCGCTCGCGTCTTGTGACTCGGTGCGGGCCGCGTGTGTCTATCTTGTGGCTGTGGCTTGTGAGCGTGGTGAGGGAGTCACCCCTTCCCTTGTGAGTCATGTCTTGCGGGTGCGGGCCGTGTGCGTGTCTTGTGAGTGTGTGCGGTGTCTTGTGAGTGTGAGCCGCGTCTCATGAGTGCGGCCTCTCTGCATCTTGCGAGTGCAGGCCGCGCCTTGTGAGTGTGGGCCGCGTCTTGCGAGTGCGGCTGCGGGTTGCGTGTGCGTCAGTCTTGTGAGTGAGTGCGAGCCGCGTCTTGCGAGTGCGGGCCGCGTCTTGTGGGTTCGGGCCGCGTCTTGTGGGTGCGAGCGGTGTCCTGTGGGTCGCGTCGTGTGAGTCGCGCACCGCGTTGGCGGGTCGCGTCTCCTCTTGCAGGTTCGAGCCGTGTCTAGCAAGTGTGGGCCAGCTGTGTCCTGTGAGTTGTGTGCGCCGCGTCTTGTGGGCGCGAGCAGTCGCGTCGTGTGGGTGCGGGTTGCGTCTCGTGGTTGTGAGTGTGGGCCTTGTCTTGCGCGTGTCAGTCGTGTCGTGTGAGTGTGGCCCGCGTGTTGCGAGTGCGAGCCTGTCGCGTCTGGTGAGGGAGTGGGGGGCGCGTCTTGTGAGGGAGTGCATGCCCTGTCTGTCGAGAGGGTGCAGGCGGTGTCTTTCGAGTGCGAGTCTGTCGCGTCTTTTTCTTTCCATTAGTGTCCTGCGGGTGTGCTGGGAGGGCTATGGGTGTCCTATGTGTTTGCCGTTGCCTCTCATGTCTTCGCTTTTGTGGGTAATGCGGCGCGTGTCTTGCGTGTATGGCCGCGCCTGGCGAGTCATGTGGGCGCGTCTGTCGTGTCTGGCAATTATAATTTTGCGCGGCTTTCTATTTCTTAGCGACGCCGCCGGCAGCGTGGCTTCCAAGTAGGTGCGCAGCCGCTTATAATGCACACCGGCGCAAATGCAAAGCGAGCCAAAGGGTGCCGCGTTGTGGTGGGGGTTGCTTGCTTTGTATAGGTGTCCTGCCATACAGCTAGCGGGCCAACTGGCAAAAAGAGGCGCTGGGAAATTTCTGAAAAGGTGCGCCGCATGGTGAAAAAGATTCGCGGGGCCCTGGGACTGCTGAGAAGATCCATGGCGCCTGGGGACTGCTAAAAAGAGCTGCCGCGACTGCTAAAAAGAGCAGCCGCGACAGCTAAAAAGAGCAGCCGCGACTGCCAAAGAGATCAGTTAGGACTGCTGAAAAGAGCAGCGTGGACCGCTGAGAGAGAAGTCAGGGCTGCTAAAAAGATCACAAGGAGGCCGCTTCCGTTGGTTTTTCCGTCGGTTTTCCGCTACCCGTTAGTCCGTTAGTTTCTCCGTTGGCTTATCCGCTAATCTAGGAAACCCAAATCAGTTCAAGGAATCCCTTTGGCGGTTGTCGAATCTTTTCAGCAGTCGCCCAACCTTCTGAGCAGTGCAACTGCTAAACGGATCAACGTTCAGTCTTTTGCATAACGCCGCTCAGTAAGACAAGGCGCGAAGAGAGCGGAACGAAATGCAGAGAAAACGCACGCGACGAAAAAAGAAGGAAGCAGAACAAAAGCCGAAGAAAGTGGAACGAAATGCGAAAGAAGTGGAACGAAACACGCAAGGAGAAACTGGAACGAACCACGAAGAAAGTGGGACGAAACACGAGAGGAGCGGAACCAACGAAGTGCGAAGCGGAAAGAAGTGCAACGAAACGGGAAAGGAGTGGAACGAAATGCGAAGCAAAGAAATGGAACGGAGGAGCGCAAAAAAGCGGAACAGAATGCCGAGAAACCAGAGCAAAAAGCGAAGGGAGTGCCGTGGAACGAAATGCAGAAAAACTGGCACGAAGGAAGTGGAACGAAATGCGAAGAAAACGGAACGAAATGCGAAGAAAATGGAACGAAACACGGAGAAAGTGGAGCGAAATGCGAAGAAAGTGGAACGAAATGCGAAGAAAGCGGAACGAAGTGCGAAGAAATTGGAACGAAATGCAAAAAAAGAACAAGACAAAACAAAGACGAAGAGAGCGAGACAACGACAGAAGAGAGACCAAGACGACGCGGCAGACAGACGCCAGGAGGCAAACAGAACGGAGCGCAAACATAGAAGAAGAAAGCAGAACGAAACCCGAAAGAAAAACACCACAAGACAGAGCGAAAACCCAAGAGACGAAACGAGAGAGACACCGCGCCAAGTAAGAGGCCGAAACGAGTAAAGGCGAAGAAGGCGAGCCGAACGAAATGCAAAGAAGCGCGAAGAGACTGGCACGCCACAGATGAGAAGCGGAAAGAGACCAAGCGCCAAAGGAGCCAAAAAAGACACACACAAGGGAGACCCAAAGGAAGAGCAGAACAAGCCGCCGAAGATGAGAGCGGGGAGAGACCCGAGAGGAACGAGGAGAACGAAAGAAACGAGGCACAAAGCAAAAGCAACAAGGCACGAAGAGAGTGGAACGAAACGACCCCAAGACAATGGAACCAACGGCGTGCCAAGGATGAACCCGGGGCGAAACACTGCACAGAGCAAGAGAGCAGAAGGGGACAACACACCAAGGAAGAGACTAAGACAGACAGACCGAGAGGCCAACCACACCAGAGCAAGGCGCAGCACTTACAGAAAAGAAACCAAAAAAGCCGACCGAGAAACAAACCACAAAACAAAAAGCGACAAAACAAACAGAGAACCACACCAGCAAGCAAGCACAACGATGCCCAGGCGAGAAATGTCGAACGAAGTGGAAGAGAAGCTGGGCAACATGCTGCACAAGTTGGGAACAAGCTAACAGAGAGGGACGACAAACACGACACAACGCAGCGAAATAAACAAGGCGCCCAGCTGGCGGTGTCCGTTGCGAATGCGACTGGGGTGCAAAATGCGCAAGACGGGGAGAGGAGTGAAAAAGCCGAGGAAGATACAACACCGCACAGCGGAGAAAGCTGGAACGAAATGCAAAGCCTGACGAAATACAAACCAGAAACAGAGAACAAACCCAACCAACCAAGGGCGAAGCCAATGCCAAAACGAAACACAAGACGCGAGGCGGCTAGGTAGATAAGAAGCAGAAGAGCCGCGAGATGTAAGACAAGACACACGAAGCACACAACGCAACAGCCCACGCTGACACAAAACGAACAACCAAAGCAAGCCACGAGCACGAAACAGAACGAAGCGCGCGCCGCCTGTCAAGAGCGAGGGGGAGAAACACGCAAAGAAGCAGACGAAACGACAGACAAAACACAAAGACAGCGACACATAAAACAAGACGAAGCCCAAAGCCAGGGCCACATCAGTGGCAGGCACCTTGCAAAACATGAAACGAAACTCAAGACAGAAAGACGACCGGGCAACAGACGCGGCAAAAATGGAGCGCCCAGAGCTAGCAGAGCCGCAACACAAAAGCGAAAGAGGCGAAAAGGAGACAAAGTCACACAACACGGCGAGAAGCATCAACACGCCCAACCATGCTGCCCCGCTGTCAGCTCCCAGCGGAATAAAAGGACACTCCAACACGCGGGCGAAGCTCATCAGAGAACAAAAAAGCGAAGGAGCACGGGGGCGGCGTGTGGCTTTGTGGGCCCTGGAACTTTTGACCGAGATGCCGCCGCGCGCGGCGCTTCAGCTGCTAAAACCACGCAGACACACCCCCGCCACACGTGGCGCGCGCGGCTTCCTCGCAGCGACGCGCGTCCTCACCCCCAAAGACCGACGCGCCTGCGCCCGCGTCTGTCTCGCCTAGCAGGCTGGTTGCGGGCTCAATCCACGGCGGCCGGCGCTGCTAGCCGACCCAGCTAGGCGAACGCACGGGGGGGGCTTCCCTGGTTCTAAGGGCTGCAAAGGTTTCCAGCTTTGCGCGGTTCTCCTAGGCGCAGGCGCTTCCCATTCTAGGAGCACGCGCTTCCGATTCTAGGAGCAGAATTCCCCAACTCTAGGGGCGGACGCCTTCGACTCTAGGAGCAGCAGCCTCCCCTTCTAGAGAAATCCCATGCCTTGAAGAACCAGCCCCAAGTGAGTAATTCGTATATTTCTTGAGTACTTCAATTGTCTTAAAGATAGTATCTTTATCTTTTTCTACACTTAATGGGCTTACTGCACACGGGTCACGAGAGGGGAACAAGAACGAAGCCCCTACTACTTTTGTTGAAAAAAAACGCGACAGGTGGCTCTAGCTTTTTACGTACCAAGTTGAATTCTCGGAGTACAAAGTTTAGGGCGATAGCAGTTGTGTCAGCCCTTAAGAGATACGCCACGTCGCGCTTCAGGATAGCCCATTCGGAATCGGTATGCTGTCTGTCATTGACGGACCATAGTAGTGCCTTACAGGTTAGAAGGGATTGCTCTTGCAAAAAAGTTGCACTCTTTTTCAGACGGTAATAGTTGTTCTAGCACTGATTTCTGAGCTCCAACTCCTCTACTATGTGTTGTATGGCAACAGTTGTGTGGTAGTCGTATCGCTCGCTGACAGCAAATGGGCTGTGGTGACGCGAGAGAGAAAAGGGGAGCACTCCCTCGGATGATCGTCAAACATTGGCAAACTTGCACTCGAAGATGAGAAGACAAAGAAATGGACTTTAGCTCATCGCTTATTCGTGAAATAGATTACGTCACGACAATGCCTTCGTTCCCAAATCACCTCTAGGCATTAGGTTTTGGTCTTTGAAGATCATTCGATTGGAACTATAAGAGAACAGCTACTAAGTGCCCAGGAGCACTAGACCACGAGTAGGCGCGAGGGCACTAATTGTCTATTCATAGTGTTCATGCCGGAGAAGGAGCACGCTTATGCGCAAGCCTAGAGGCTAGTCTGTCCGATCTTCTAGGGTTACAGTCGAGTGAACCGAGAGTACGCAAGGACTATTTCATATGCAACAGCGAGAGCGTCAAAAATGCAAGAGTTTGTAACTGTTGCAAGAATTTCTTTGGAAGTGGATGTAAAATATCCTCTAGAGTACTGAGATTGCCAGACTATCAGGAGTTCTTTTATTCTAGTACATGCTTGCACACAGCACAGGCCTTAACCATATTCTCGCTTCGCCATGCTCCTGGCCATACGCATTCTTCCTCTTATCATGAGAGCCCATTATTTGGAACAAGAATCTATATTAATCAAGAATCCGTAAATCCACCCACTAGAAGCACTTCCTCGCTCCAAGGAATTGTTCTGTGACGTCTACTAAATAAAATTCTGTATCTAAGTAAACAACAACGAGACAGCATTGAAGAGGGGAGTTGTTGTATCTTGGAACCGGAAGAATATCAACAATCTGAGTTTTCTTAATTATATCTCTGAATTTCTACAGCAAAACGCTACTACTCGACATGATGTTGACAAGTTGAGTAATATCGTCTGGCGTCATATTCTTCAATTAAATCGTCGAGCATCGCTACAATTGGGTCCACTTTCACGGCCTCCGCTTCTCTCTGAGACTCAGCATCGGGATTTTTACTTGCTTTGCCCACGTGCATCCTAATATAGACAGTAATGAGTAAGAGTATCACAAATTAGGAGTCAATGATAGAGAGGAATAGGGGCACCCCGGCCCAGGGAGTTCTTAATATAAATACGCTTTTTTATGTCATCTGGGTTCTTCTGAATCTGATTGTCATCTTACATATTAAGTTCTTCTGATTTTATCATCTAGCAAAGAATCACCTGTTTTCCTCAGCAAGAAACTCTCTATCGACTTCGAGGAAAGCGTTGGTGTCCTCGTCAGCATTCCCCTCGTCTCTACTTGCAGGATTCGGCGCACGCTGCCTAGAATCTGCTGTGGACACATACATAGTTGTGCCGATTACGGCAGCTTTTCCGGGACATTTTCGCACCATAATGGAAAATGTTGGCTGAAGATCCAACAATACGTTGAACAAACGACTTCAGACGTCAGGCGACAAGACGTCAGACGACAAGAACAAAACAAAATAAGAACAGAAGCTAACTTACTCGTCCTCAAGAAAAAAGTCTGTCGGTCAAGGAAAAAGTCGGGCCAAGAGATGAGAACGCTCGCATAGAAGATACGTGTTCTATCTAAGATGGCCGCTCCTTTGCTTCGACTAAAAAGTTCTCTCGCTCGCTCCTTTTTTCCTCGTTTTTCAGTCCCTAGCTAGTCTCATTCTTTTCTCTCCTGCTCATCGCCCTCTTACAAAGACATCCAGGCTCGGGCAGCAGGCTTACCTTTTACCATGATATAATATTCTTTGTCGGTGGATATGGTAATTGCAGCAGAATGTAACTTTGGCCCTTCTGAATTTTGCTCCGTTTTCCGGAATACAATACAATATAATTAGTCTCGCTTTTTTTTTGTAGTGCCGTGCTTATCCGAAAGGGAAGAGCTTGCATGTTTATCCGCGAAGCTGCCGGCGACGCACAAAGTTCACTGCAGACTGCCATAAGGGTTAAATAAATATGGCGCAGAACACCATTCAAGTGGCTGAGAGCAGGATCATGATGAGGAGCATCTTTTACAACAAATTGCAAATCTTCTTGGTCATCTTAGATATTATGAGGAAGTTCTTGATGTGCTTGTGCACTTTTTGCATTATTTTCTATTTGAAGTAGAAGAGGTAACGAGTTTTATTACTTTGTCATATCTCATCTGGTTCTTCAACATCTTCTGGTCCGTTTGTCTGTACAGAAAATTTTCAACAATTCGAGCTACTAGTACAACTTCTATTACAACTGCTAGTTCACATCAAGATCAACAGCACGACTTTTTGGATGATTGCTCTTTCTGTACCGGCGCAGCACTGGGAGCGGAATCACTAGAGCTAAGTGATTGTTGTTCTTGTACCGGCGCAGCACTGGGAGAAGAATCACTAGAGCTAATTGGTTGTTGTTCTTCTTTTTGTAGCGGAGCAGAACTGGGACTGGACGCGGAGGCACTAGGGCTAGTACTTGGTTGTCGTTCTGGTACCGCCGGCGCAGAATTACTAGAGCTCGTATCTGGTTGTTGTTCTGGTACCGCCGGCGCAGATCCAGAACTGGGAGAGGAGGCGCCAGCGCTCGTAGTTGGTTGTTGTTGTACCTCCTGCTTTGCACGACTGGCTGTCCCGGACTCGTCACTAGGTCGTTGCTGTACTATCCCGTGATGATCTTCCTTCAATGCACTCGGAGCGTCTACGACTTCTCCTGCGATTATTTTACGTGTTTGATTTTGAGACAATATCCAAGTCCTACTAGGAAGTTGTAGGTACTACGTGAAGCAGATCGATGCAATTCTCATTATGAGTACTGCAACTAAGTTGCACTAGGTACGCGAAGTGGATAGAGGTACCACGTACTGTAAGTTCCGATGGCAATGCGTTTTTGCTTAAATTTTGTGAGTAGAGGTACGTTCTGTAGCTAAAGAAAGGGTTAATGCTGATGGTCGAATCTTTGAGAATGAAGTTAGGAGTTAGACGAATCTTCATGCGAAGACGGGAGTTGCTCTACATCGTACAGGAAGAACTCATCTACTGCAAGAACTATGTATAAGAACTCAAATCTACTCTATTTGAAGAACTCAAAGTGATTGTAAGTAGAGGTACGTAGTTCTGTGAGTTCCGATGGCAATGTGTTTTTGCTTATTTCCTTTGCTTTTGTCCATGCCTCTTCTTCTGTTTTCGGCGGCTCGCCACCAGAATAGAGCTCTCTGTGAAGTTCAAGTTTCATCCCTAGCTCCTAGTGTTAGGGAGATGACATTGATATTTCTAGTGATAGATCGTCCTTCTACTAGATAAGCATGATCATGCTCTCTAGTTGTGAAGATGACCCTCTTCTGTGAAGATCATCGGCAAGATGAGACTCTTCTTGGCGAGGAGGTGCTCTGGAGTGTCCATCTTCTATAGAGCTACATGAAGAGCCTAGACCTATAGATGGATTATTCGAAAAAAATAAAGTACGTACGTGATCTTCCTTACTCGACGATCTGACCCTTAACATCGAATGGCATTGTCGATGGCCTGGGCGACTTTCCGGTATTTCATCGACAGCGTTTATGAGTGGCGCCACTGATTGAGCCAATCATGGAAGAAGGGAATGTCGACACTCTCTTGTGGCCTTCTTCAATGAACGAGTGAGGCCACAAGATGAAGATGATGCGTCACTCGTTCGACCTTGTTTGAAAAGTCCTACGTACTGTAGCCCTTTCTTCGATATCAATCAAGTGTGCTACAACTGTAGTACGTGCCGGAGGTTGGCGTTCCCTTTCCTTCGGCCTCACTCGTCTTATTTGTTTGAACAGTAGTACTACGTACTACCGGGCTCCTAGTAGTAGTAGTAGTAGTTGTAGTAGTTGTAGTAGTTGTAGTAGTTGTAGTAGTTGTAGTAGTTGTAGTAATTAACAAGGCGCAGTCTTAAGTGCAGAGGGGATGGGAAAGCTAAAGTTAGGAGGGTAGTGGCCTCACTCCTTCCTCTTTGAGCGGAGGTTGCCGTTCCCTTCCCTTCGTTCTCAATCAGTGGCGCCGTACGATATAGCGAACATCTCCTCTTTCTGTATTGGAGCAGGCCTACAACAGCTGCAGGTACAAATAGCAGTTCATCCAAAAATGGACCTACTTGTTCAATACGCCCCTTCAAAGTGCTTCCTCTATAGAGCCTAAGCCACTAGGAAAAGGAAACCTCAACGAAGAAACCACGCCGCAATCCACCAGAAGTGAGGTCCTTTATAACAACTACCACGTCCAACATTATAGTGATGGAACACTAGTGTAGTCCCTACACCTACCAGATGAAATAATATCTCCCCTGAGCTGGAGAGGGTAAACTACAACGTAAATAGGGTAAACAACGTAAACGACGTAAATAACTATAACTCTAATATCATGATCTATAATAAATTAGGTTTAGGATCTACTACTACTTCTCTTCATAACGAAAAACCCTTGTTTCCTCCCGAGCTCCAGTTGATCCTGTGCATACGGTAGAGGCGCGATTAGGTCAAAAAGATCGGCGACAACAGCCTTATAGTAGCTTGCTTCATCAAACCAATCCGCGCTTTTTGGCTTTGTAGCTGTCTATGAAAAAACGGATTCTAAGGGTAAGGTGCTGGGTATGAAAACGGATACTAAAAGAGGAGATCCCTAAGCCCTACGCCCTCGCACTCTAGTTCTATTTGTTGTATCCCTTTATTTTTACTGGAGCAATCAGGGTGTAAGTCTAAGTACTAGAATTCCAGTTTTAGTAGCCCTTTTATTTCTGAGGACCCGTATTCTACTGAGGAGTCCTCAGAAAAAGGGCTACTAAACCTCACTATTAAATATTTCCGTCAATCATTACCCTCCAAATGTGGGTTCCCGGTCCTTCCACTTTGAGATCAAGCCTTTATGAATTCAGAATTCTGTTCATATGTCTGTCCTGCCTCTTGGCTGCCAACCGCAAGCAACCGTCCAGTAATAGTGGAGCCTCATGCGGAATAGTTCCAGCAGTTTCTTCATCTCTTAGCAGGTTCCTTGTTGTTGTTACCTTCTAAAACAAAGGAACAAAACGAAAAGGAATTATATTATAAGTAAATATCAAATATTATTAAGACGAAGGATAGAGTCGATATTTTTAATATCATTTGACTGGTTGCTTATCAAAGGAACAGTCCTGAGAGATGAGAAAGGGAGATGAGAAATGCTATCAGTACGGCTTATCTTCAAACAAACGCACTGGAGAGATGAATGAATGAATGAATGAATGAATGAATGAATGAATGAATGTGCTTAACTGCTTTCGTTTCCATGTCATCGCTTCCTCCACTCAGCAGCGCATCCTTCGTCTTTTTGAGAAAATCTACATCCGTTACAACCGGGAAAGTTAGAAGAGTATATTACCAGAGTGGTCGCAGTGTTGATGGATGAGAGAGAGAGAGCAACTACTCTAATATACAGGCCGCTGTTGACCTTTTGATGTTGCATGAGAGTTCCTACTCTAATGTGTTCTTGAATCAAATATGTTGACTCATACTCTGTTGTTTCACTTTCATGATGAGTGATAACAGGGGCCATGCCAGGCTCCAGCATAGTTTGTTGGCAGTTGGCAGCGGATGAAACAAAGTGCCTATTCGTAATATGGTGGCGCTACGCTAGAGCTGGTGGCGCTACGCTACGTCCTAGTTCCTAAGCTACACTAGACCGATACAGAGCCCGAAAATGGCCAACAGAGCCAGCTAATTCTGGGTCTGCTGATGGATTTAGCTGAATCCAGAAGGTTCCCCATTTGGGAGAATGTTCGCTCTTAGTTGGCAGAGAATCATGAAACAAAATATTTATTTGTAATTTTGGGTGACTGTTTTCGATGTAGTTGATGATTGACTCATCCCGTAGTAAAATCTTGAGGGTGATAGCAGTTGTCTCGTCAGTTGTTGCATCCTTAATAGATACTCCACGCCGCTCTGCAGGCCCGTCCATGCGGCATCATCCATTTGATCACCCGGTCTGATGTTGGCTAGTATCGGTCTACAAATTAGAAGAGAGTCTTACGAAAAAGTTGCAGTCTTTTTCTTTCGATGGTAATAGCAGTCGTAGTCGTAGTTGTAGCACTAATTTCTGAACTTGATCATGAGGAGCTACAAGTCTTCTACTATTTATGAACGGGGAAGGGGGCGTTGCATTTTGGGTTTTTGGAAAGGGTATAGATAGAGGAAGAGACTCAAGGTAAAGCTAACAGACAACTATGCAATTGCTAGAAGAAAGCGGGGTCACAGTGAGGCACTTTTGCGCAAACGTGGTTGGCGTGGACACTAGAGACAGACGCGTGGCCAAGACCGACCTGTTGTGAGAGCCTGCACGACAAGCGGCGATGCTCTCTATACCTCACAGTGACATTACCCTTTCTTCGACGACCAATGAGTAAAAAGAACACTGCGATATCTTTCGTTGAACACTAAAATCTGCAAAGGCCGCCGAGAGGAACCGCTTTGCTTCATGCTACAGTGAGTACAATACTTATCAAGTCGATAGATCAAAATGAGGACAATCATCGTTTTCAACTTCGCTATCTCCGTCAGAAAGAAGCCCGTCGATGCCATCATCATTCTTTAGTTCTAGCTTCGCTGCGCGAAGCATTCCTTCACATTCGAGCGCTTTTGCATCAACATAACGTCTCCAAGCCTGCTGCTTATTATTCCACTTACCAGAAATAAGAATTTGCGAGATACTACCACCCGCGGCAGCTACTGCTGCGGCGCCACCTCTTCTAAGACTATGCGTTCCCCAATCACCAAGCTGATTACACCTCCGCAAACTCCTCTTAAGTTCTTTTAAAACTATCGGATAAGTGAGAGACGGGAAAACTCTATGCCCAGGTTCAACTTTGTCGAGAAAACAGAGATAAAATGAACAAAAAGGACAAAAATTTTTCGCCCAAGAGAAAGGAGACTCAGTTGAGGACGAGCTCACACTTTTGGCATCGCCGCAAGTGCACGAGCGAACAACACAGTCCCCTTCTAGCTTATTCTTTCTACTCCTTAATCTAATAGTAACCGCGCGATCTTCTATGTTGCCCCAAACTGCACTATGATGCTTTAACTTCGTAACACATTTCTTGCCGTCGTCAGAGAACATCTTCTTTAAATAGACAGCTTCGTCACCAACTCTCAAAAGGAAAATCCATGAAATGACTACTAAAAATTTGAACTGATTCGTTGTTGTACTGTCCTGAAGGAGAAGACTCAAGCAACTAGGAGAAGTCGGCGTCTTACTCCTCGAAGGAGCCTGATGCCTCCTGATACCCTTCGAGATTGCAGAACTATCAACTTCTGGCCATGCCACTCCACTCTTCATTGAACAAAATTTTTTTAATGCTGAACGAGCTACATTCATCGAAGGCGCACAACCTTGAATAGCTAAATAACCTTCGATCTTCCCTTTTGTAGGAGGGAAGGGCTTCTCACACATCGTCGCACTGTAGTCCATATATTGTTTAAGGTGACTCAAATAAGGTTTCCAAGATTCGTCTGATAGTGCTTCACCCTTGATAAAACTAGCGCTCGCAACTACTGTCCTTTTGGCCACTGTTGGGCCTTGGCTAGCTAAAGTCCGTATCTTCTGGGATGGACCTAAATCTTGATCGAAAACTAACGCTTTCTGCCCCATGACGTACTTCTTAAAACGCTCAAACAGCACATCACTCTTGGTGCTAGCATTGACGAAAACAGAGGCGGACGCACTACCAGGTAAATCACTGACGTCCTTCTCACTAGCCAACGACTTAAACGGCAACGGCCTACTTCGTTTGTACTTCGAAGTACTAGAAGAAGAGCAACTAGAGCCAACGAACGGGACAATACTAGAAGAGGAGGAGGAGGAAAAGCCTCCACTAGAATCCGGCGTGCAGATGTCCCGAACTGGGACTAGCTTCCTGGTACTGTCGAGAGTCCACTTACTCGAATTCGTTAAAGAGGAAGATTTTGCCACAGGTAGCACAGATGCCAAAGGCTCCTTTTTTGCCTGTGACGCCTGGAACATGTTCCACATTCTGATACAATTCTTTACTCACTTAAGCCCTTAATCAATATGAAAATCTTCTAAGTTCAACTATGGAAATGCAAACTTTGTGTAATTCTGGACCATTCTAATTCTTTCTTTAATAAAAGTTAATACTTCTATCATTACACTACAAAATCACATAACTCGATCGAGAGACAGCCCACCCAAGTCAACACAAATCAATCTAGCCTGCTGGTCGTTGAACCTCATCCCGACGATTCTGCTACAACTGCAGCACTGGCAGGCGACACAGTGCTCGCGTTGCTTGCTACAGTGGTGTTGGACGACCCCGACGGGGCAGAAACGACACGAGGATGCTCACTATCATAATCAAGATCGAGGCTCCAATCATTCAACGAACGAGCAAAATTCTTAATATCTTGAGCTTCAGAGCGAGTACTAGGCAAAGAATGATCAAAAGAGCACGAAGGGTTCCCACAATTCAAACCACGACCAGGTCCTTGACGAATCCAAGTAAAACACTTCCTACCACCCTTACCTTTCCCTTTTCCTTTCGACCCATCACCATACGGACCATTTGGCTTCTGTGGCGACCACTGTTGTCGCACAGCAAGCGCATCAAAAGCAGCAGCCTTTCTATCCAACTCCTTCATCTTGTTGCCCAACTCTCGGCTCTTGTACGTAGTAGCCAACCTGGAAGATAGCTGTCAATGGCCATGCAAAATACTTCAGAAGGAAGGGGGTGGTAGTCGCGATAAGAAATGGGGAAAAACTGCCTCTGGATCAAACGTTCAGCAAAATAATAGTCATTCTCGATTCGCCTTTCTATCTCCAATCCACCACGAAGAAGATAATCTTGGCTCCTCACATAATTGGCCCTGAGTAAAAGAGTTATAAAAATTTTTCCTAGGTAAACACTATTCACACAAACGAAAACCCAAAACTGGTTTATTAAAATAAAATAAGCTATCACACTTGACCTCTCAATCTTGACTTCCAGCACCTCCTGAAAAGCGCCATTGGCGAAAAAATCGGAGATACGAGCTGCATACTCAGCACCACCATCGGCTGCCATGCCACCAATGCGAATCGTACGATTCTGATACACATCATTCATAGCCTCGGCCAAAACTTCTTCATCTGCCTCTCGTGCAATCTTCTTGGTGAAAACCTAAAGTTTTAAAACCGAAAGAAACATAATGCTGGAAACGAAAAAGAAGGGGTGACGAGATGGATGTTCTACAAATTAAGAGAGTCCTAATTCAAGATTAAACAGTAAAAATAAAGATGGAGTAGACATTAAGCCAATACGTGAGTCAAGTTCGTGGAGATCTTGCGAGCGCGTTGCAACGTAGCACCATCAATATGAGCAGGCTGGGCTGCAACTCCAGCAACTGCAGGCACTGCAGGAATGCCAGGAAATCCGTCCGCTGCAGGGACCTCGGGCACTGCAGCAACTGGCGCAACAGCAGCTACAGGCGGGCGATAACCACCAAGCAAGGTGATGCCAACCGCATCTCGCACAACTCTTTCCATTGTCTTCTCAAAAGGTTGCTTCTGAAATTTTCGCTCGTGCAAAGACCTGGCAACAAATAAAACAACATGAGATTAAACATTGGATTGGCATAACAATGGAAGATGTTGCTACGATCTCACCTTCTTAACAAATTTTGAAAACTTGCAACTACTTGACACTATTACGCATGACTACAAGAACAGCACAGCAGTACGTTCCCATGTTGAGCTTTTCCAAGTTCGAAGTGTCACCCTCAGCAACTCCGCAAACAAGGTCGCCAAAATCGCGGCAGCAATTGCGAACGAAACGAACCTTCCCTACATCTGGACGATCATGCGTCTGCTCCTGTGCGATCAAATTGAACGCATTGCGCAGCGCCACAACTCCTTCCTCAGCCATCTTTACTTCTCTTCACTAGCAAACGAACGATCTAGTAAAATTTCGCGATTATCGACTTCCAACTTAAGCAATTTGTAAACTCTATCCTTTATTTCTTCACTCAACTGAACTTCTTGCGCATCGAAACTAATCTTAAAACTTTCATACAAGAAGCCGACTTTTGTAGGCAGGTCAGCTATGTTCACTGCTGATGGAACACGAAAAATTTGCGGGGAAATGTGAAACCTAGACGCATGCTTCCAAAATTCAAAAGCAAGAGCGGCGAGATGACTACGCCCGCTGTTCATCCTAATCAAAAGCCCTTCTGCACAACAGTTATCAATGAAACAATCAACCCGAGAACCTGCAAGAAGATCAGACCAAACCCATAAAGCAACAACTGCAGCACAACCTTCGAGAAAGTTAATAGGATATAAAGCGGCATCCTCAAAAGTCTCAGACTGAAAAACAAGAGTCTTCCAATAGGCCACTGCGCCAAGCGACCTAGAATCTTTGTTAACTTGCCAACAGTCTACCAAACACGCTGCTATGTAGCCCTTCTCTCTCTGCCAACTCGCATCCGAATAAATCAGATACCTAGTAGGGAGAAAAATTAAAGACCTAGCGGGAAGAGAAACAACTAACTCGGCGCAAGCACTAAGGGACGCCTTCAAGACTCGACGCAAAGAATGATCAGAGCAGGAAGAGAACACTCTAGCTAAAATAGGCCGCATCATGGGATGAAGCATGCGCTCACACACGGCACAAAAGGCGAACGAAAGTTTTCCATAGATCCGAGACGCGTCGTTCGGTGTCAACTTCTCACTATCAATAATTTTTCTAATTTCAGCAGCACAGGCTTGAGCTCTCCCTGGAGCTACTACTACTGAAGGTTTACCTCTAAGTTGAAAGATCAAACCAAGCAACAATACGGCCGAATCACTAACTTCCACTTTTTCTAGCTTATACTCCCAGCCGAGAACGTCCAAAAGACGGCAAACTCTATCGGCAGAAGCTTGGCCCATATTAGCCCGAACAAAAGCATGGTAGTCGTCGATGAAAACGGAAGAAGGAATCGTAAAGACTCGCCTCAAAACTGCATTAATCAAAAACGCTACCCTGCACCAACAAACTACCGAATGCGTATTCCCAAAAAGAAGAGTCTTCCCTTCGAACGCAACATATTTCTTTCCGGTGGGATCCCACACGACTAGAAAATTTGCGAACTCTTGACCACTCAAAATCCCTAACGTCTTATAAGCGCCTTTCACATCAATAACAATCCCTTCGACTGCATCACTACAACTAAAACAACCTTCTAACTCTGCCCCCGCTTCAAGAAGCAATTTGGACAAAGCCTCAAAAGAATCAGCAGGAACAAATTCCGACTTACGCTTCCTGGACTGAAACGAGAAGCATGCAGCAATTCTTTTATCTAACCCGGGGCACGACTGAATTCTTGCGGTCACAGTCGCCGCTGCCAACGCCTGTAAAGGTGAAGGTAGCGGCGCCCGCTTATCTAGCTTGGCTGAACAATTAAAAAGACGAGCGCCATCTATCATACGATATCGAGTCTTTTGCCAAATCGCGAATCTAGGAACAACATGCTGAACGGACTGGGGCAGTTGATCAAAATCAAACGGACCGGCCAACAAGCCTTCATCTCGTTCGTTAATTGTAGTAGACCAAATCAACTTAAGAGCTTCCTCCTCAACACGGAGTGGGGGCTTGGAAAAGATTTTTGAATTTATGAAGCACTTGCGATTCAAATGATCAAAATTTTCGTCGTCGTTCTTGGGCTTCTTGTTCTCCCAAAAAGAAGGGCGCCACAACTTGCCAACACACGTGCCTCCCTTAAGAGCTAACAGCCACGCAGTGGAATCCTCGGGATAAAACTCTTGACTAAGAAGCTTAAGCAAAGCAATATTTTTCCAGCCAATAACTCTATGATCCTCGATATCTATGTGTTGGTTAGGTTTAGATACAATGCTGGTTTTCACCTTCAAGCGTCTTTCCTAATTACAAAATGGGGAACGAGACTGATCCGCAATCAGCCCCCCTATGAGGCCCACACTACAGCTTGGTAGCTGAGGCAACACCTAAGCGTTGTTCACAGCGCCGCCTTGCAGTCGGAATCTCTTGTTGATCCTCCAAGTCCTCTAGTTCTAATAATGACAGCCGCCCTACCGGGTCGATCTCGGCAGCAGCCGCCTAGGGTATTTAGTCACTCAACGCTTGTTCCTTGGAGTTATTGGCGCACTTCTTCACGAAGGGCCGCCCTGTTTACACCCGGGCCAGGTCCTACACTGCCCCCCCTACGCAGTGAGGCGTCGGAGCCATCCTTTTAAGAGCTCCGCCCGGTGGTACTTATATTCCTATCACCATTACAGCGAAGGTGCCCAAATACCGAGTGAATCCTAGCCCCTTCCCGTCTCCAGGAAGTTCGCCTGGTATCCTCGCAGATACCAACAGTTCTATTCTTCTTTCATGTCTTAAAACCACCAAAGGGTTTACAAAGGTCTCGCAGCCTTTTAGTCACCTGGCCTAGATCATCCTATCCTTACTACTCCAGGGCTTCCCCTCGAGATTCGGGACCCGATCAAATCTATCGCAAGCAGCTCACTTGGCCAAACCTTCCATGAGCCTTTCCTTCTTGAATAGCTTCCCCTAGATTGCTCGTCTAAACCACAGAACGACTGATCTAGTGTTTCACGTTGTTCATTTCCTACTGTTCACGGCGCTTCCCTCCCTCGGAGGTATCACTACCCAGCAGTCCTTGCTACTACTTAATTCTTATCCAGGCCTACTTGAACTAAGCCAAGGAGTCTGAACATTTACTCGCTTTGCTTCCTTCACAAAGCAGAAACATCTCTCGAGTATTCGTCCTTTTCACAGAGTCCGAAGCGGTTACTTATACAGACAGACGCCCCCAGGTCGACGCCTCCTCTGCTGCTTCAAGACAGACGAACCTTAAACTAGCCAGAACTTGCCCCAGGAAAGCAGGTGATCAATCCACTTCCTGACTCGAAGTTCCTTCCCACGGATCCAGAGATCCCTCCAACACTGTGCTAGGGTAGGCCTCAGCACCGGGCTAGCAGCAAAGTGCTGGAAGTCGACCTCTCTTCATTCATCGAATCCGTTCGGACTCCACCGCATAAGAGCGACGCTTCACAACACCAGTCCGGTTATCTCTATGCTACTTATACCCTACTTCAAAACACAGAACATTCCTTGCAGACTCCCAACTTATCTCAGACCCTTCGTGGAGCCATCCGCTCCCCCCTTCTCCCGCCAGTGGCTGCAGCAGTCTCCTAAAGTAGGAAGTAGGGCCATTTTGTCATTTTACGCAATATTAGAGTTTTCGTCAAACCTCCCAGATTTCCTCAGGGACTGGCTCTACAACCACGTCAGGAGTTCATCCTACTCAGTCTGTTCCTCCACCTTCCGCGTGAACACCTCCTTTGTTCTTCCTAACATTTCATCCGTCGAAGGGAGATAGTCCAGATTCCGCAAGAAATCCTCGGCACTTGATGCGGGTACAGCACGGGTCAGCAGCTTCAGTGGAACCTTCCCACTGGCCGCTCCCGTTGCTGCTTCACCCAATAGATCCAGCAATATCGCGTGGCGCGGTCCTACCGACTCCACCTTAAACAACGCTGGAAAATTCTTCGGGTCAAAACTATCTTTTCGCGCGTGCATGTTTCTTACTACCACCAGATCACCAGTAATCAGAGGTGCTTCCAGTGAATGCCCTCTCAGCTTTGTTTGTGCGATTTGACGAAGCTTCGAATTTTCATTCCCAGTCAGGTTTGATTGTGACAAAATTTCCTCCCGAAACTTATTCGCCGCTTCCAAATAAGAATCCACACCCGGTGTTCCTCCGAGCGCCGTTCTCAGAGTCTCCGCAAAAGCGTGCCGCGGCTTACAGCCAAACACTAGCTCATACGGCGAGCGATCACCTAACACCTCGAACGGTGTTGTCCGAGCAATCCAATTTAGGTAGGGAACCAACTCTACCCATTTGGCGTTCTCCGCAAATTTGATCAAAATCTTCCGCAACGGCTTATGGAGCACTTCAACCAGCCAATTCGCCTGCGGCGAATACGGCATAGTTGGCGCATGATGCACCCCATATGTCTGCAAGTATTTCCCCAGGCTTTCATCCCCCGACTCACCGAATCCTCGATCGGATCGTATCACAATCGGGCATCCGACCATACAAAATGCGTTAGCAACCAAAGCCTCTGCGGCCTCTTTGCAAGACTTCGTTTTCACCGGAATGAACCAGGAAAACAACGTCGCCGAGTCACGAACCGACAATAAGTAATTAAACCCTTTATCCAATTTGAATGGACCCACATGGTCAACGTGCAGCACTCTGAAAAACCCTAGATACTTCTCATACCCCAACGGGGCCTGCGTTGCCTTGGCCGCGTGGGCGATCGTGCAAGCAATGCAATTTTTACAATGCACTTGCACATCCCTCCACATGGTTGCCCAAAACACCCCTCTATCCAGCAGATGATTATAGGTTTGTCGAGCACCTCCATGCCCCGTTCCCAGCAAGGAATTATGAGCCAGGAGAAGGTAATACTTCTTCCAACTCACCTCCTTCCCTACTACGGTAGACAGCCAAGCTCCTCCCGCTGGCAAGCATACTACAGCCGTCTCATGATGACGTGTCATCAACAACTTAGTATCTTCGTCAATCCAATGCTCATACATTCTAGCGGTCGACATACGGGCCTTTCCCAGGTCCCACTTGCGTGCAACCGCAAGCTCAACCTGTTCCCGGTCCTTTTCCCTGTCGCGCAGTTCACATGCCAAATAAACGGGACCCCATTCCTTACAAACCTTCTGATCCTCCACCAAGCGCTTACGGAGTCCTGCTCCTTGCAGTGAAACTAACGCTGCCACCACGGAGTCCTCCCCTGCAAAAGGGAAATGGAAAATCCTCAACTCCCAATGCTTTTTCAGCCGCAGCTTACAACTTTCCTCATCCCACAGGGATCCGAAAGCCCTCACCGGGCCTGCCTGAAGCGAGGTCACGTTCCTTGGGTTCCACATGGCCACTCGGGTCACTTTCTCCGATGTTTCATGCACTTCTATGTACAAATCCTCACTATTCGCAGTCTCGCGGATCATCGTAGCCTCGTCACTAATGACTGGCAATGATGGAAACAAAATCCGGAAAGATTCCACTCCATCGCATTTCCTAATAAACTGCTCGCGAACCTCCTTTGAAATTTTCACGCATTCCGGCGCGGTTAGGAATTCAGTCACATCAGGGGCCTCCCCTCCTATCACGCCTTCACCACAGAGGCACCGACATAATGAAGCGGACACCCTCCCTATCCGACACTTCCGAATCTCTTTGAAGTTCGTACAAGGAGCAGAATCCAAAAAACAGGCTCTAGTATCCCAAGAGGCTGAGATCGTGAAGAGATCCGCTGCAACCTTTTTCACCACGTCCGCCCTCTCAGGCTTCCGAAAAAGATGAAAATACTCTTGATGAACCACAGACCTCCCATTCACGATTCTTTCACCCAATCGTCTAGCTGCCGCTGTTTCGGCTTCTTGCATCAATTCCTTCAAACGATCCCAAGCTTTATCATAAGCTTGCTTAATCGTCATGCTCGGAGTAATTTTAATCCATTCCCGATCCGTTGAACGACCATCCATCACACCGGAGACCACTACGTTATCTCCTCTCTCGTCAGTCTTCCGATATAATCGCCGGGGAAGGAAAGTCCCCCTATAGCGCTCGGTTACTGCCGAGGGTCGCAACTGATCTCTCATTGCTTTGAGCATCGTCTTCAGCCGTCGCTTTTGACGTGATGCTCCTAACTTTTCGATAAATACTTCCCAGGTTACCGACCTTGGACTGAGTACGGAAGCCGTTTCCAGCCATCCGTGGTCCGCCGTGGAATTTACCCGCAGCAAAACCCAGTAGACTCCTAGATCGTAAAGGCTCGGGCAGGTTGCATATTGACACTCTAGCTTCTCGGCGTTTTTAACGCATAACGGCATCAACCGCCGAAGCCCTTGGTTAACTCCTTCTCCCTCATTCAATCTCCCTCCTTGAAACCGAGTTGAAATATCTTCAAAAACTTCGTTTTCTTGCGCATCTGTATTTAACACCTTCCCACTTGGGGAAACCACCACCGCACAAACCCGCTTCTGTTTCGAGGACGTCGAACCCTCCCCACTCCTTCCTAGGTCAAGGAGGTCTAAGTCCTCATCTAGTAACGACGAACTCGCGTTACATGGTCGATCGGGGATGCCATCCCCCTGATACAAGTGGAATCCTGCCCCATCCTGCAACATCATGCATTCGCCTTCATCGCACATCGTACACATTAACTGAGATGGACTCTGCCACTCCTGATCTCCATTCCTTCCCTCGCTTTCTTTCATGCTCGCGTCCTTCTTCATCATAATTCCAATGCACTTCGCCCCCACATCACTGCCTACCGCTTGATCCGATGCCAGAGCACTCGGCAAGTGATCACGCGGGTCCTCAAAGTCTTCACTTGGGTGAACGGGTGGCACAAAATGATCCACCTCCAGTAACTTTTTTCTTTCTGACATTATCTGGCCAAGTTGATCTGGCTGGCAGAAGATAAACTGCACTAGAGAACGAATCCGCGGCAACATAAAAGAAAGATTATCAATCTCCTTCAGTGCCGGATCCTCCTCAGACTTCATCCTCGAAAGCGCGTCCGCAATGACGTTCGCTTCCCCCTTCAAATATACTCGCTTCCCAGTAGAAAGCGGTCTAGCAATGAGATAAAACCATCGTAAGATCTTACCTCCGGTAGTTCTATTGGCACACAGTGAGTTGAGCTCTTTCGTGCCCAAATTCTGATGATCCGTGTACAGGATCCACTTCGAGCCTCGAATCAGCTCATAGCCCGACTTTATGAAGTCCACGATGGCAAATAATTCGCGCTCTAAAGTCGACCACTGCTTCTGCGTTTTGTCAAACGAATGCGTAGAACATTTCCACACTCGCAGTTTTCCTTCAGCTGTTCGCTGACAAATTGCCCAGGCATAGCGATTCTGCGAGGCGTCCGTGAACACCTCGAATGGCCGCTGCCAAGTATTTGCTGCTTCGTAGTCTGGCTTAATCAGAATCGCATTCTTCGAGACCACGTCCTTTAGTGCCTGAAAAGCGGCTACTGCCTGCTCATCTGAGGCAAACTCATTAAAAGGCCTTTTCTTGAGTTCGTATTCCTTCAAGGGTGCCGCGACATTCTGTAGCTCGCTTGTGTAACATTGCAGATACCGCACCACATGAACGAACGAAGTCAAATCTTCTTTGTTTGTGGGGAGAGGCCAATTCTGAATTTGGAATAACTTTGCCGGACTAGGGTGCGTCCCGGCTTCATCAATGATATGCCCTAACACTTCAATTTTCGGAGCACCAATAAAAGTCTTAGTCAGCGAGAGTCGGGCCCCACTTTTCTCACAACATTGGAATACCCTCTCTAGTCGCGACATGAACTCTTCCATTGAGTTCTCTCCATAGCCGATGTCATCTATAAATACTTCACACTCGTGCCCAAACGCCGCCTCAGTTTGAGCTTGGAACCACCCAGGCGCGGGACTTGGTCCTAACGTCAATCGCGTAGGCAAGTACACCCCAGAATGGGTCACCACCGCCAGGAGACGTTTCGTTTGCACATCGAGTTTCGCTAGATTGTAGGCCAGCGACAAATCCGACCCAAAATAAAACTTCTTCCCTTTTAGATTGTGGAAAGTCTTTTCTTGGTTAGGAGCCGGCAACGCAATCGGCGTCATCGCCTCGTTACACTTCCTGTAATCCACCACAATCCTTCCAATCACGGAATTCTTGCGAGGTGCTAAAAAAGCAGGACTGCAAAAAATTGGTCGACTTTCATCAGACCCATCCCACTTTTCAAACAACCCGTCGTCGAGCTGAGTCTGGAACAAAAAATCCAATCACTTCTTTCCGTACGCGCTCAACTGCAACGGCTGAGGTAAACTCCGATGCGTCACCCTGTTAGGATTATAATCGAAGTGGCGCACTGTTTTCAACGAAGGGAACGGACATCCTTCATCGTAGAAGAAATGCGCATTCCGTTCAATCGTAGCCAACAGCGCTTCTTTACTTTCTTCAGGCATATGGTCGAACTCCTTTACTTGCGCGCTAAAGACTTGCGTGACGTTCTCCGTCCACTCGACAGACGGCACGTCCCATTTTCTGTTGCGCTGTCTTTTGGTACTTCGATCCTGTATTTCCTTGTCCAAATCCCCGATGAAGTCTTTCGGCTTCGTCTTATTTTTATATTTTGACACGTTCAACAAGATTGCTTCGATCTTTCGAATACCTTCCCACTCTTGAAACAGACTACTCAAATGTTTCACATCCCTGGCCTCCGGTAGTTGTTCCGAGAAGACCTTCATCTTACTCGTCGCTCCGGCTGCCAAAGTGTTTTTAAAGTCCTTTCGTCCTTCTTTTTCCTCGTTTTCCTTCTTCCACTTGTACCAATCCCATCGGACGCTATTCACGTCGACGGTGGTATCAGAAAAGTTGTAGACCTCTCTATCCCACTCACTGACCTTTTCCGTTTCTTCTCCAAACTGACCCTGTAATCGCCAAACATCAGCACATACTCGACTTCCTAAACTCGCCTCACCTTCGTCATATGTAATTCCATGAATTGCTCCTACAGGGGCTTCGCCTCCCTTTCCCAGCCAAGGCTGAGTCAGCAGAGGCCAGCATCCATAGTCTGTTAATAATGCTCCAACTGTTATTGCAGTTTTCCAGTTCTCGAGAGGTTTGGGCGTACTTTCTTTTTCGAATTTTTTAAATTCAGGACTCGCTTGCAGGAGGGCATCATCACCCCCCTCGCCCCCTGACAGCGGCTTCGAAGAATCTGCTGTCATCCGACTCATCAGATTACAAGCTCGCAGTGGGGTCAGTGGTTGGATCTTCAAATGCTCTCTCGTCAATGTCACTTGCCGATCCTTGTTCCTGTGATTAAAAATCTCAATCGGGTGCTCGGTGTCCTCCGATTCCGATCCCGTGATAAGAACCGGTAAAAATGAAGTCCCGTCTTTCATGGCCTTTAGACTTGGCTGCGCCACCGCTGTGGTATTCTCATGATTAATCGGTGGGCAAACAAACGTCGCAGATACCGACGCGAAGGCCGCCACATGGGCTAACCTTGTAAAGGCGTTCATCACGGGCTTCTTTGTTGTACTATTATACTCCACAATTGGCACCCGTTCGCCAAGCAACTCTATCTCGCGGCTACCTTCTCGTAGCGGCGCATAGTTAATCCCAAGCTGATGCACTGCTGTATCCCCGGCAATCAACGCCCCGGGCGTGTTCAGTCCCTCTACAATCAGAAACTTTCGTTTCAAATCCAAGACCTTCCCACTTCGAGTGGAAATCTGTAAGCACAAAATGCACTCCCGATTCGCTGTATGGGAAAAAGACTTTCTTCCAAAAGAAATCTCCACTGGTGGGCAAGGCATAGGCGGAGACACAAAGTCACTTACATCCTTCCGTACTCTCAGACGTTCGTGACTTGCCTTGTCAGTCACATCGTACCCTAGCCACGCCCCCGGGTCTAAATATAGAGGAATTGGAAGGGCTTTGCCTAGAAAACCCGCAATATAAATTGGGGCTCGCCGTTCTTCTTTCGGTCGTCTTGCTGTGCTTTCCCAGGCAGAATTCATCATGGATACTACTCCGCTCTTTCTTAGGAACTTTTCGCGTACTTTCGAAACCATGCGGGGAACTGTGTCTGCAGTCAACCCTAAATATTCCGAAACGTAGGCTTCTCCCATTCTTAATATCAAATAAACCAAAATTCCAATTCGGATAAACAGCCAACAGAAGGAGCTCGGACCTCTATCCTCACTCAATTTGCAGGCCTCGGGCGTTTCCATCCGATTTATCGAAGGGGTTAATGGCACATTTGCCCACATCTCCCAATCTAAATCGTTTTTTGTCATTTCCTCTCCTCCTCCGGTCGACGTTTCCGTCACGGGGGGATCGAGGTTCATTTGGTTGGCCCGCCGCGGGGGCGGGGCGGGTCTCCTCTTCGCGAAAGCCACTTTTTTCACTGGAGGCCCCGTTTTCTTTGACTTCAAATCTTTCTGAGCAAATCTCTTTGAATTCAGTTTATTAGATTTCACAAAGGCGGGTGGATGAGACAAACGATGTCCTCTTTCCGGCACAAACTTACACGTCGGGTTTTTTCCGTCGCGCTTCAGTTCCAGGAGTTCTTTTCCCAGTCCTGCTTGAGAGTCTGGCTTCCGAAATGATGGATGACGCGGAACGCCCTTAGCGTCCACCAAAACATCGCAAAAGATTAACTTTGTTTTTTCGTCTCTCTTTAACAGCCTCCCGGCTGCGCGAGCCAGCAAATTCGGACAGCAGACCTGTCCTGCCTTATTCACTGGATGTTTCCTTTTGTTGCACGCGGGCAGTGGACAAGTTTGAGGCTCCTTATTCCAATCTACATCCGCAAGGGACGCGTAGTGCAATCCTCTCATGTGGTTTGGATCCCCACAGAGATACCACTTTTTCTTCGTTTCATCCTGATATTCTTCACAAGGCTGGCACATCACCAATTTCGCAGAACGATCTCCTCGCGGATAAAATTCCATCTTGTTCAACAGATTTTCTTCTAAACCCGGCTCAGGGGCGAAATCTGAATCCATCTGATTGAAGAAACCAGGCTCCGGCTCATACGAGCCATCCCCTGAAAATCTTGATTCACTTGTTGTTGCTTTCACGTTAGCTCTCGCCAACGCATACTCACACGCAGAGTCCAAAGATGTGTACTCAATTCCTCTTTTGCCAATCAAATTCTCTTCAAACGAACGCGCGTACTCTTGTGGAATCCGTTGCAGAAAATGCCGCAAGAACCGTCTTAGTTCCTGGGACGTTCCCACAATATCAGACGTCTGAAACACCTGACCGCTCTTTTGAATCAGCCTTTCAGCCATCAATTCGCGGAATTTGTTCACGTACTGGGTACAGAAAATTCCTACCGAAATTCCAGTGCCATCCTTGCAGACAAGACTGAACATCTGCATTCCCAGTTCTTCTTGCACAATAATTGGCCTGAGACCTGCCTGCTTCGAAAACTGCTCTCTAAAGCTGACCAAGCAGGCCGCTGCACTCATGTCACGGGAGAGGTTGGAAAACCGATTAGCTTCCGCCTCCACTGCATCCACCACATTACTTGCAACGCCCATAGCCTTCATGGCTCCGCTTTTCACCGCTTGCCAACCGTGCAAAGGGGCTTGAAGATGTTCTAGGCGAAGCCGGTCAAACGTTTGCCTGGCCGCAAGCGCCGCTCTGACAGAGTAAGTTTCCAGATTCAAGGGAGTAGCACTCAATTTGGAGAAGGAATCATTCCCATTGAATCTCGAATTATCCACCAAAAGCAACCCCATTTCAAAGGAATTCTCATCAATCGGTCTTACTACCACCATCTTCAACTTTGTGAAATCCAACATTTCTAAATGTCCTTGCATTTCCTGTGCACAAACATATCTTTGGAATACGCTCTCATTTTCAGGCATCTTTACAGTCCTATCCAAACAAATTCCTAATCCAGTGGACTTCGTCACAGTGTCCAAAATTGGACAAACCCTACGAGTTCTAAATCCTGTCAAATTCAGTTTCTTCTGTGCCTCTTTCTCCAGGGTAGTCGTACCTTGATTCGGCACGGTTTCAATGAACGTGCTCCCCGTCCAAGGTTGACCAAGTCCTAGTCCATGACCTTGTCCATCAAAGACCGACAGCAACTTGTAAGCGGGTGGCACATCTCCTTCTGGTTCATCCGTTGTTTCCCCAGTTTCCTGCTGTCGGGATTTCGCTTGGTACATTTCAAATAGCAAAATACCAAGTCCGATCAGCATGCTCAAATGCGCAACCAAGTTGGCGATTTGATCATACAGTCGCTGCCATTGGACCTTTGTCAACAGCCAATAAGCACCTTCTTCATATTCCTCATAATGTTCATAATTGTTGCCGCCTCCGTCACCAGGCGCCCCCGGAGGGTTGCCCGGCGGCTTACCGTAACGGTAATACACCGGATCCGGTCGAGCCATCGAGATAAACCCGAGGATTGCTGTGACGACCCCAGAGGTCACGACAGCGCTCGACATACCGCCACAAGTGACGGGCGAACGAGTGACTGTGGTCATCCTGTAAGTTTTTTCGCTCCAAAATCTCTCTCAAACCCTGCTAAAGTGGTGGTGGTTTTTTGGGAAAAGACAAAAGGCAATCGCCAAATAAGTGCTAATGCTTATCTCTGCTAACATCATTGAGTCTGGTTCTACATCTTTTCAAACAATTACAAGAGAAAGAAACACAGCTGTCAATTTCAACTACACTACTGCAACAACATGTTCTTGGCAGAATTCACCCAACCTTCGGCGCACTATTCACTACTTCCAACCAACAGAAAAAACTTCTAATCAAACACAAAAAACACGGAACAGTCTCTCTTTCTTGATCCTTCCACCGCGTGGAGCTTATCTTTCTTTTCTTCTTTTCTACATTTCCAGCACCTGAAGGGTTTCCCCCCCAAGTTCTGAAGGCCCCTCCTCCGCCTTCAAACGTCACACACAGCCTCGTGCATTGCAGTGCGCCCGGCCAACTATAACACCGAATCACTCTGATCGTTTGTTTTCTTTCACGTCCCATCACATCTCAGTCTTACTGGTACTTGTCTGAACAACATCGCTTCTCTTTGGATACATTCCACCGTCTTGCTCTTTCTGAGCACTAAGACCGCTGCCTCAGTTCAAGGCAGAAGCTTCTCGTTGTCTACTTTTTATTATTTTTTTTTTTTAGATTTTATCTCTACGAATGACGCGGGGAAATCATGGGTAGAGGTTCCTTTTAGAAGCAGGGGGCAAAATAGCCTAGCTCCATGTTTTAGAGTTTTTTATAACTCCATCATGTTCCAGAGTTCCTACAACCCCCTACCTCCACCCCTAAGTTGAGGAGTTCATTCCCCCTCTAGCGGCTAAGTCGCTGTCTCAGCAAGCTAGCGATGCTTGGGCCACAAGTTGGTGGAGCTGACGCGGACAGAACATCCTCAACTTGAACCAAGGACTCTTCATCGGAACTTGTCGCCGCAGAACTTTCGGCCGGCTCGACTGGAGCCGTTGTAGCCGCTCCCTTGGACGAGCTCGCAGAAGCAGCCGGTGGCGCAACTGTTGATGATGGTTTCATTTCATTCTGTACTAGTATCAGTTCATTTTTTACTAGTGAGGTTCTCATCAGATTAGTTCCCACGTCGAATTGGTCTAATTCAGTAGTTTCGACAGACACTTCGTTCCTCATGTCGTCGTCTGGAGACCCTAGAGAGGCATAGTCACTCGCTCTAGGGGATTCGTCTGGTCGACGAGGTGTATATATTTCAAAGTATTCTGTGCCAGAAGCTGTGATGTTTTTCGACTGAGAAGAGCGGCGGCGAGCGTCTTCACTCACTCGACTCTTCTCGTGTAGCTCGTCCACCGTGACGTTGGCGTTACCACCAACCGACTCAATCGGGGAACTAGCCTTTGGATGCAACTGAGCCTGCAGTTGCTGTGCCCAGATCGGTGCATTCTGCATCTGGCACAAAGCCTCGACTTTCGCACAGCATTGCGCTTTGCGCTGCTCCAGAATACGGTCTTGGAGCGCCTTGCAGGCTGAAAGACTAAGCCCTTCATGTCCGTACTTGAGCTCTTCAGTCGAATTGACCATATCCCAAATCGCCGAAAAACAGACTGTGCCTGGAAATCGTCGAGCAACTTCCGATGCAGCGATCGCCGTCAAAAGGTTGCATTCTTGGTGATTCTGGCAACTGATTGCCAAATCGACTAAATCCACATTGGACCGACGTCGAATGACATTGATCAGAGCTTCCGGCGCTTTCACCACTAGATGCGCTTTCGGCAAAAAATTCGGTGGTTGAACGAATGATGCTTCAATCGACATCAAAAACGCCTTGATGGTATCGTTCAACGGCTCCTGTAAGTGGAAGGTTCATACTGATTACCTGCTCAAGAATCAAGAAGTTTAGTTCATAATTTTCAACCTTTCTTCCTTTACTTGACCTTGGTATCTTGTTTTCTTATCACGAGAATGTTCTTTATCTTTGTGTCACGTCACCACTTCTCATTTCTGAATTTCTAAATTTCTAAATTTCTACCCCGTTGTTGGTTTCCACCACAAAAATTCCGTCAAACGGAACTTCCCGGAGCTTGAACGCGGTAGGGTCTGGGTGAGTCGAATCCTTGTACAGTAGGAGCGTGTTCTTCAAAAACAACTCCTTCAAGGTGGAAGCCGCCGTCTTCACCCAGGTCTTCATGTTGTATTGATTGTCCAGACCAACAGCGAAGTGGGCGTCACCGCGTAACAACTTTAAAGAGTTGTCATCAACCGGGACAATGTGCACTTGCAACGGCAGGGGAACCAAGAACCCAGCAAGATCAGTCTGCATCTCATCTCGCACATACAGTTCTTTCTCGCGTTCTTGTCCTCCCATGACAACATCTCCCTTGCCTTCGCTGGTTGAAGAAGAGGCTGTTTTCATGTTGGTCTCTACCAACGGCTCAACCGAACCTTGTTCGATTGAAGATGAAGATGCGCCACCTTTCCACGAGGAAGAATCAGTCTGCATCTTCTCTCCCTCCTCTTTCTCAGCCTTCTCAGCTTTCTTGGCCATCTTTTTCTCCTTTTTTCGTTCCTTCTTCGTAGATGTTGTATTGTTCGGACCTTTTCCTACCGACTCATCCGAGTTGTTCCAGGACTCCTCCTTGTCCCAAGATTTCTCCCCGGCGTTCCAATCCTTCCAGCCCTGGGGCTGGTTGTTGGAGTAGCTTTTGTTCTTGCCGTAGTTGTAGTTGTAGTCGCGACCTTGATCCTTGTCATAGGAGTGGTGGTTCTGGTTTTGGTAGGACTTGCCACCACCATAGCCACCTTTGCCACCACCATAGCCTCCTTTTCCACCTCCATATCCTCCCTGATATCCTTTGTCGTAGGAAGAGGAACTGTTATTGTCATGCCAGCCCTTTTTTCCGCCTCGTTTCTCGTCATACTTACGGACTGGATAATTCCAACCTCCCATCTTTAGTCGTTTTTTTTTTCTTACAAAATTAGATATAAGTTCGTGGTGAACCCAAATCTAGACTGAAAGATTTATCACTTCTACCGCTCGGGTGTCCGTGATGAACTTTTAGAAGATACAATCTCCTATCCCTGCATTTGGAAAAGGAGGTGAATAATCTTAGGATGCTTGTTTTCTAAATTTTCTAAATTTTCTGATATTCACAGAAACTGCAGTTAACATTCGCTTTGCTCATCCAACTGTTCATGGTACAGCCTTGGGAAACAAAACACTCCCGCGTTTCTTCACTCCCAGTCTTGGGTTTTCCTCAAGGTTCTCGACGCACCATTCAGATTTTAGATTTTGTTTGATCCTTTCCGTCAACCACATCGAGCATTTATTTGTGAAAGAAAGATTCCATGCTCAAGAAAAAAAACCCTGGTCAGAATGGAATTCACTTCTGACGTCAATCTTGCATACTTTCCGGCATTAGAATCACATCACAACTCTGTGAGTTCCCAACTCACATTCTTTTTATACCTGTCGAACACGGTCATTCTTCAACTGTTGTTTTCTTGCCAACTGTCATCCCCGTACGTCTAGACTCGCACTTGGAACTGTTCTTCAACAAAATTTTCCTACGGGTCTCGCACCCCGGAACAGCCCCCAGTTATGTGTTGGCTAGGTTTAGATACAATGCTGGTTTTCACCTTCAAGCGTCTTTCCTAATTACAAAATGGGGAACGAGACTGATCCGCAATCAGCCCCCCTATGAGGCCCACACTACAGCTTGGTAGCTGAGGCAACACCTAAGCGCTGTTCACAGCGCCGCCTTGCAGTCGGAATCTCTTGCTGATCCTCCAAGTCCTCTAGTCCTAATAATGAAAGCCGCCCTACCGGGTCGATCTCGGCAGCAGCCGTCTAGGGTATTTAGTCATTCAACGTTTGTTCCTTGGAGTTATTTGGCGCACTTCTTCACGAAGGGCCGCCCTGTTTACACCCGGGCCAGGTTCTACACTGCCCCCCCTACGCAGTGAGGCGTCGGAGCCATCCTTTTAAGAGCTCCGTCCGGTGGTACTTATATTCCTATCACCTTTACAGCGAAGGTGCCCAAATACCGAGTGAATCCTAGCCCCTTCCCGTCTCCAGGAAGTTCGCCTGGTATCCTCGCAGATTCCAACAATTCTATTCTTCTTTCATATCTTACAACCGCCAAAGGGTTTACTAAGGTCTCGCAACCTTTTAGTCACCTGGCCTAGATCATCCTATCCTTACTACTCCAGGGCTTCCCCTCGAGATTCAGGACCTGATCAAATCTATCGTAGGCAGCTCATTTGGCCAAACTTTCCATGAGCCTTTCCTTCTTGAATAGCTTCCCCTAGATTGCTCGCCTAAACCACAGAACGATTGATCTAGTGTTTCACGTTGTTCATTTCCTACTGTTCACGGCGCTTCCCTCCCTCGGAGGTATCACTACCCAGCAGTCCTTGCTACTACTTAATTCTTATCCAGGCCTACTTGAACTAAGCCAAGGAGCCTGAACATTTACTCGCTTTGCTTCCTTCACAAAGCAGAAACATCTCTCGAGTATTCGTCCTTTTCACAGAGTCCGAAGCGGTTACTTATACAGACATATCTATGAACTTCGTATCTAAAACTGACGCCGGAAGACAATACGACAGCGAAAGAAGTGACTCTATCTTCTCATCACCGCGCGCTAGAGAATGCGCATTAGGAAGACCGTCAAGAATGATCTTAAGATTTTCTTCTTCAATAATTTGGTCGACACGCCTAGCATTTGCCGACTCAACATCTTCGAAAACTCTATCGACATACTTCGCAGCGAGTGAGCACTTTTCTTTCACAGAATCCAACACCATCATGATCAATCGAAGAAAATTTTTAAAGACCAAGGCAATTCTCCAAGGAGGGAAAAGGGAGGGAGCGCACCAAGAAGATCTCCTATCATTTTGATTTTAATTTCATCGCAAAAGATTTTTGACGACCAGAAGACGCGACTCATTTTTAGAATGAACTCTCATCGCTTAGTCTTCTCTTTTCGAAAGAAAGAAAGTAAAGAAAGAACGAGGCTGACTTGGGGCACATTGCACACATTTGCTACCATTTCCAGAACACTCTCGAAAACAAAGAAGAACAAGAGCAGCTCGATATCCTGAACACTTTCATCCATCTTTTTCTTCAGATCACTGGCTTGGACAATTCGCGTCATGACGTAGTCAAACTTATCGATTAAAAAACAACAACTAACTCGCCGCCTAAGAGGCAAAGCTCTGAGAGACTCGACGCTCAATTTTTAAAACCGGCCCCGAGGCACGTCTAAGGAGGGTAGTCACTGTCAGAAGACCGTGACTAACGAGCCTCTCAGAGACGCGCCTCTTAGGCGGCGCAGGAGCGGGTGGGTGGGATTTTTTAAAACAGACGAATCCTCAACACCACCGAAAACAAGCTACGCTCCTGAAAATCCAATCCGGATCAGAAACAAAGTCCAAACTGGACAATCAACAAAAAGACTGTGAGCTTCTAAAGGGTCTTCACACTCACGGCCCAAACAAGGAAGAACGGCGCTAAAACCATTTCACTATCCTTCCGCGTTCATAAACAGAAATTTAA